TTTTGATTTTTTTACAGAGAGGAAGGGAGAGGGATAGAGAGTTAGAAACATTGATGAGAGAGAAATATCAATCAGCTGCCTCCTGCACACCCCCTACTGGGGATGTGCCCACAACCAAGGTACATGCCCTTGACTGGAATCGAACCTGGGGCCCTTAAGCCCGCAGGCTGGCGCTTTATCCACTGAACTAAACCAGTTAGGGCAAAAAAATATCCCTTTTTTTTGAAGTCTAACACCCGAGGCAAAAAAACAAAACAAAACAAAACAAAAAAACACCTCAAGAGGAAAAAGCATTCTATTTTTATTTTAGTAACACTCTTGCTAAAAAGACCACTGTACCAACCTCTTAAAATCGTGATATGGTAACAGTGATAGATGACCCATATAACCTTTGAAAAAAGAAAAAAGTAGCTTTACTTAAAAAGATACAGTAGCAGCCCTGGCCGGTTTGGCTCAGTGGATAGAGCATCGGCCTGCGGACTCAAGGGTCCCAGGTTCGATTCCGGTCAAGGGCATGTATCTTGGTTGCGGGCACATCCCCAGTGGGGAGTGTGCAGGAGGCGGCTGATCGATGTTTCTCTCTCATCGATGCTTCTAACTCTCTATTCCTCTCCCTTCCTCTCTGTAAAAAATCAATAAAATATATTTTTAAAAAAAAGATACAGTAGCAGATAGGCCCATTAATAATCTCTATTTACATCTCCACTGAAGTTGTCACAATCATTTGAAATAGCTACAAAAAGAGGGTTTTGTTCAAGCTCAACATTTTATATAGTATCAAAATACTATTACTATTCTAGCCAAAACAAAAAATTAAAAGTTCTAGGGGGAAAATTTTCTAAAAACTTAAAATCCATTTCAAGGTGTAAAAACATTATGCTATGGTGAATGTAAGTTCTAACACAGCTGTAGCTACTTAGAGCAAAAAAAATCAAATCCTCCCCAACTAAGTCGAAACATATGGCTATTAAATAGCTATGATATGAGTTAACATCCCCTTCGTAAAATTGTAACTTTCTCTAATTAGAGAAACACAGAAAATACAAGTTTACATTAATCAAAAAAGGAACTCCATGGCTGATACCATTTTGACTTTTAAGAATGCAAAATCTTTAAAAGCAACTATAGACATTTTTCTTTGATAAGCAATATGATATAGGTTTTTGCCCAATTGTAAAAAGTGTATTTTCTCTAGATACTTGGAATGAAAATTAAACTGATTAGGTAATATAAATAAGCCAGATAGAGAAACAAAATGTACCTCTTTTAACAGCCATTCACAGCTTGCCTCTAATGACTTAACTGCCAATTAACTTTTTTGGTACAACTTCAAATTTGGTTATTATCAATAACCACATAAAAGAATGAAATTTAACAAAGGATGATGCAGTTTAAACCTTATAAATTACAAATGGGGCTGTGACTAATTAATCTAGATAAAAAGCAAATGACTGCCTCCTTCAAAATTTTGCTCAAATGTTACCCACTCTCTGCCCCCATACTCCCATACTGCTCCCTTAATATGAGATTAGAGGGGAGCATAAATACAGCTTGCTAATTTAATGTCATGCTTATGGTCTGGTTCATCACATTTGAATGTAAATACCAAAATAGCTGTTACCTTTTATTCACTGACGTATTCCAAGTACCTATACCTGTCTTATACATATCTTTTCAACAAATGTATTGAATAAATGTAGGTGTTTTTAGACTTTTCTAACGGTATTTAAAGAGATGAACATATCACTGATATTTAAATGGGAGCATATGAACAATTACACGAAACTGCAGCATAAGTTCTACGTTGCAAGGCCTTCAGAAAAAGAAGCAGTAAAAACACTAAATAAGCCGAAACCGGCGTGGCTCAGTGGATAGAGCGTCGGCCTGCGGACTGAAAGGTCCCAGGTTCAATTCCGGTCAAGGGCATGTACCTGGGTTGCGGGCATATCCCCAGTGGGAGGTGTGCAGGAGGCAGCTGATCGATGTTTCTCTCTCATCGATGTTTCTAACTCTCTCTCTCCCTTCCTCTCTGTAAAAAATCAATAAAATATATTAAAAAAAACAACACTAAATAAACTGGTCATAGAGTAATAGCTAACAAATACTTTGATGAATGAGGGAAGTTAACAAAACCACCACCAAAAAGCTTTAGAACAAGTCCTCAGAACTTTTATTCCTCTACTTAGTAGAAATAGCAATACAACAGATAAACCATGTGTTCTCCTTAATACTAACAGTCACAGTTTTCAAAGCAGCTTCACATATATTGTTTCATTAAATCCTCAGAGACACCAAATTCAAACTCAAACTCAAAGTGCTAACAAAAGCACTTAATGTATGCACTTCGCCAGTAAGTACACCTTTTCTCTTGAAAATCCCTCACTGTGTCTGACAAACTACAAAGAAACCATTCTATAGAAGAGCCACCTTCTTGGCACTGGAAACTTACCCAAGTCCTCTGAAGAGTAATATGGCACAGCTAGCAAGAGCCATAAAAATCTTCAAGCCCTTTGACCTAGTAAAACCACTCCTGGGAACTTTCTCTAAGGAAATAATTAGACTGAACCAAAAAGCTATTAGTATAAAGATGTTTACTGCACCATTATCTATAATTTTGAAACCTAATTCCCAACTAGAGAATGGTTAAGAAACCTAAAAAAAAAAAAAAAAAAAGTTGAAGAAAAAAAGGTAAACACAAAATAACACATCCAGTCACTAAAACTACGTAAAAATGAAAAGGTAAAAAGCCAAAATAAGAATTGGAATTAAGGTAAAATCATGATTACACATTAACAGTGTGGTTACATTGTTCTAAGAGGGGGGAAAAAAACCACCTTCTGAAACACATATGACAAAGAATAAATTTTGAAAGCCAAACAAATGCATTCTTTACCCCCCCAAAAGTCAAATACGAAGAAATATTATATTATTTAAAGCAGACGAGAATTTCTAGACTTTCAAAAATATTTTCCTATCTCTAAACAAGGCAAACCCAATGTGCATTTTCTTTCTTCACCCTCAGTCCCAGAACTTATTTTAACGGCCGATACACTCCAACACAAGTGAGGACACTTGAGAAATAATTGGTTTATGAAGAACCCAGTTAACAGTGATTCAAATGGAAAGAATTCTACGAGTACATTAACTAAAGACCTGCACAAGAATAACACTTCACATTATATGAACCCAGTACATCAAACAAAACTTCACAGATTTATCAAAAAGAGGGCTACAACTTACAAATTGTAAAAGTAAAAGAACTTAAAGCCTAAAGAGAGCCTATGCAGGTTAAAAGCTTAGTTTTAATTCTTATTTGAACGAGTTGCACCTATCTGCCAGGTTTCTATCTGATACCTAAGAAGGAAAAAAATCAATGCATCCTTTTATTAAAAAATATTTAAATTTTTTCCATTTGTCACTATGGATGCCACTGAGAAAGGGAAGCTTAAGTGACAGAATCCTAAGAGGGGAAACGGGCACTTCATTTGAACTACTGTTAGCTGGATGCTAGAGAGCTCCTGTAGGTAAACTGTCCGGGGAGAGGGGGGTAGGGCAGGAGTCGGAAAACCAACGAAGGCAGCAGCACTACGGGAGAATCAGTGCCGTTTCATCTAAAACGGATCGCTGAAAACCTGTTTCCAACCAGAAAACTCCGTGCCTGGGGGGCGGGGGAATCCCTAGCCCCACCTTCGCCAGCGCAGGACGCGTTTCTCCAGCCCCGCCAGCCCCGCCTCCGCCTCCGGAGGCCCCGCAGCGGCAGCGCCCGGCCGGGCACCGGGCAGCGGACCGGCGTGCCCTTGGCGAGCCTGCGGCCCTCCCCACCGTAAGGGCACCGGCCACAAAGGAACGGAGCCTATTGACAGGCGCTGCCCCGTCCGAACACGAAGCATTTTCTCGGTTCTTGAAATACGAACTGACAGCCACCCCCCCCCCCCCACGCACGCGCCGCCGGCCTTCCCGCACACACACACCCTCCCGAGTCAGACCCGCTCCCGGGACCACGCGGGGCCCCCAGGTTCTCCCGCAAACCTGGGCCCCGGGGCGCCGGGAGGGGAGACCACGCGGGCCAACACCCGCATGTCTGACCTCCGGAGCCCCCCGGGCCCGCGGTTGCAGTCCCTCTCCCCTCGAAACCTCCGGCCCTGGGGCCGCGATCCCCAGGCGCCTGCTCTCCCGCGGCCTCGGAGCGGCAATGCGGCTCGGCCACCGCCCGCGCGGAGAGGCCTGGCGGGGGAAGGACGGAGGCCGCGAGGGGGCCGGGCCCTCCCACCCCGTGCCCAGGTGGGGGAGGGCGGGACGCTGCGGGGGACCACGGAGCCGGGCGGCGGCGCCGAGTCCCGGCCCCAGATTTACACGCGGGGCTGCAGGGGCCACTGCCCCCGCCCCTCCGCCCCGGCGCCCCGCGGTCCGGCCGGCAGCAGCGGGGAAGGACACCGGCCGGCCTAGTGGTTCCAGATGTGCCCCGCGCTGCCCTTCGGGGGAGGGGGCGCGGCCCCCGGCTCCCCTCCCTCGCCCAGCCCCGCCGGGGGAGCGGGCAAGTTTCGGGAGACGGACCCCCGCGCCACGACCCTCCCACGTTCGCACTGACAGGGAGGGTGGGGGCGCGGCCCCGGCATCCCCCCTCCACGAGGGGCGGCGGAGGCCTCGAGGAGGGGGCACCGAGGCTGACAATCGCCGGGACCCGCGAACCGCTCCCGAACTCTCACACGGAGCGGGGAGGCGGCCCGGTCCTTCCATCTTGACCGTTTGGGGAGGGGGTGGGGTGCTGCAGGGGCTGGACCCGGCCTGACATTCCCGGAGGGAACCCGGGGCGCCTCCCACCCAGCCCCCCGGGCTCGGGACCGGAGCGGGGAGCCCCACCCCCACTGCGGGCCCCCAGCCCACTCCCCCCCCCCCCAGGCTCGGCCGGTCACGGGGCGGGGACGGCGGTGGGGCCGCGGGGGAGGGGATGCGAGGCCCAGGCCTGCCCGGCGCGGAGGGGGCTGGGGCGCGACACCCACCTGCCCAGGCCGGGCCGCCCGCTGCCTGCGCTCGCCGCCGCCGCCGCCGAGGAGGAGGAGGAAGCCGGGGCCGAGGACGAGACCGAGGGCGAGGACGGCGGGGCGGCGGGCGACGTGAGAAGGCCGCCGCCACCGGGCTTGCGGGCATTGGCGGCCGCGGACGGCTGCTGCTGCTGCTGGGGCTTCAGCGACATGGTGCGGGGCCCATACACCGGCCCGCACGCCGGGCGGGAACAGCCGGGAGCCGGGCGCGCCGAGGAGACGCCGGAGCGCGGCGGGGACGCGCGGGCGCCGAACGGGGAGGCGCGGGTTGGCGCGGCCGGGAGGGCGCCCGGGCCCGCGACGGGGAGAAGGAGCACGACGAAGGGGCGGGGGGGCCCGCCGAAACCGAGGAACTGCCGGGAGCCGGGCCGGAACGCGCCGCCGCCGTTGCCGTTGCTACCAAAACAGTCTGAGGCGGAGGGTGGCGAGCGCAGCCCAGAGGGAGGGGGGCCGGGGCCGGGGCCGGGCGGAGGAGGAGCGGCGGAGGGATACGGGGCCGCAGCGGCGTTGCCGCCGCCCCGCCGCCCGGGCCGCGGGAGCGAGTGCCTCCCGGGTCCCCTGGCCGCGGCGAAGCGGCGAGGCTCGATGGCCGCGGCCGGGCCCCGAGGACCCGCGGCTGCCGAGCGCATCGGGGGCCGGGGACGGAGCGGCGTGCGGCCGCGCTGCCGGGTGGGCGCGGAGGCGCCGGGATGGGGACTCTTTACCGGAAGTCGGAAGGGTCGGGCGGAAGCAGATCGTGAAGCGGCCCCAGGGCCGGGAGGGACACGTGAGGAGCGGGCGCCGCGCTGGACCGCGTTCGCGGGGGTCGGGTGAGGGCCCGGCGGCCCCTCCAGCCCGGATCCGCCCTCCTCGAGGCGGGCCTGCCCTTTGGAGAGGGCGTGTCTGTCTTCGCCTGCAGGGCCGGCCCAGTGCGGGGGACGGGAGGGGAGCGTTTCTTCCCCGCCCCCCAATATTCCTTCAACGTCCGCCGGCTGCGAGGCGACCCGAGATGGCCCCCACCTGATGCAGCCTAAAAAAAGGACAGCGGGTGCCTTCGAGGCGGACGTTGTCGGATGCGTGTGCGGCGCCTGGAACACAGGCATCCCACCGTTGTCTTTGTGTCCCCGGCACCTGGCACGCAGTGGGCCCTCGGGGTCACCGCGTGTCTCAAAGACGGGCCGTCCTCTCCTTCCTGCCCGGCCGCCTCCCGGGGCCGCTCACATCTGGTCACCTTTTCCCCACTTCGTCCGTCCCTGCCACACTAACCAGAAAACGCCTGGGCACCTGACCTTCATTTGAACCCTCCTTCCCTCCCTTGAACTTCTTTTTCCTCATTCATGAGGCTCGAAAGGAAGTGGACGTGATTGGCAGAGCGGTGGATAGTGGGGTCTCCCCCGGCGGAGGGAGGCCGAACAGACGTCGTAAGAATGTGCGAACTTTAGACCTTGGCCCCTTTGGAAGTTTTACTTTAACTTGCTTAGGTTGCTGGCCAGCACAGTAGTCCGTTTTCAAAATGTGTTGCAATGAAACTGGAAGCAAGTAGGTAACTTGATTTTTTTTTCCAGTGAAGAATCTAGTGTTTTTTTTGTTAAAAAAAGTGAAATTAACTTTAGGGATGAGAGGAGGAAAACACCAGAATTCCCCTTGATGGCCCAGAACTATCAGATAAGAAGGTCAAGATGTAGAAAAACTTGGAGAATGATTGTCACGAGTCTCCAGCAGCCAAAGTGAAATTAATCTCCTACACAGTCCAGGCAGCAATGATCATTTTATTCTTCAAACAGCTGAAAAGTAGGAAAATCAGCTATCTTCTATCTGAGATGAAAAGGAGATTGGGTGGGGGTAGTACTCTTTTAAACCAGTAGTTGCAAAATCCTTTAAAAATTAACCCCAAGGAAACTGAGACTAAAAAACCAGATGAGGTGGTAAAAAAAAAAAAAAAAAAAATAGAAGGGCCATAACAGAAATACAACCAACTTTCTGTGGCTTAATGATTTGACAATTAGCCATATCAGGGACCAAGGTCCCAGAATTCAATCTTAGGACCAAATTTCAGACTGATGGGAGGAAAAGGGAAGTGGCATAAGGCCTGAAGCTGACACAGCTGAACTTAATTTATGCTGAGCAAGCTCGTTTTCCCCCATTATCATTGAAAATATTTTTTATCAATTGTATTAAAGTATAAATTACATGTTATGAGATTCACCCATTTTTATACAATGCAATGATTCTCAGTAAACTTAGATTTGTACAACCATAACCACTAATTTCACATTTCCCTCACCCCATAGGATCCTTCATACCCATCCTCAGCCCCAACAACTAATTTACTTTCTGTCTCAGTGGATTTACCTGTTCTAGACAGTTCATATAAATGGAATCTTACAATAGATGGTCTTGGCCTTATTGCTTTTTTAAAATACATTTTCATTGATTTCAGAGAGAAAGGGAGAGGGAGAGAGAAACAGCAATGATGAGAGAGAATCATGGATCTGCCTCCTGCACGCCCCCTACTGGGCATGGAGCGCGCAACTTGGGCATGTGCCCTTGATAAAAATCGAACCCAGGACCCTTCAGTCACAAGCTGGCGCTCTATTCACTGAACCAAACTGGCTAGGGCAGGGGTGGGCAACCTTTTTGTGAGTGCGTGCCAAAACCAGCAAAATCTCTGACTCAAAATTCTACGTGCCAACCCTAGTTTTTTGAGAACATGTTACGCCTACTTGATATCTCTTAAAGTGTACGTATGTGAAGAACCTTGAAGAAATAATAAAATTCATTCCAGCGACAAAAACACAGTTTATGATAATGAAAAATACATTTATTTTTTAATGTATACATGTACACTGATAGTCCAACAGAAAACTTTATGACTCCGTTTGATATTATCAGTGGGACTTTTGCTGCCGAGAGAAACATAGAAATTTATTCCCCTTCATTAGTACCGGTGGGCAAAGCGAGAGAGAAGGTTTCATTTTTATAGAGTGAAATTTTGAATAAGTAGGTAAGGCGGTTGTCTTGTCAACGAAAACCCGTTGCGTCTGAGGCTGAAACCAAAACACTGGTCGGATCTAGGAAGGCAGGGAGAGTTAAGGCAGAGGCATAGAAATTGCTCTTCCCCTCTCTCGTCAATCCATGTCTGTGGTCTTTAAGATAACTTGTTATGTAAAATTATTTATCTAAGATGCACCTACACTGAATTTATCTGAAAAATAAAAAAGTCGATATTAAGAAAAAAATTGTAAATGGAAGATTATAAGAGAGGGTTTCGCGTGCCAGCAAAAGTTACTGACGTGCCATGTTTGGCACGCGTGCCAGGGTTTGCCCACCCTTGGGCTAGGGCTTGTCTGCCTTCTTTCTCATATATTTTTTGTGAGGTTTATCCATGTCAGCGTTTCACGCCTTATTATCACTGGGTAGTTTTTGGCTGTATTTGTGTATCTACTCACCAATTGGTTTAGATTGTTTCAGGTTTGGGGCTGTTATGAACAATGCTGTGAACATTTGTATACATCGTATCGTCATATAAACATGTTTTCATTTCTCCTGAGTAGATGCCTAGGAATGAAATGTTTGGTGATATGGCAAGTTTATATTTCTTCTTTTTTATTGATTTTTTTAGAAAGAGAGAGGAATCGAGGGAAGGGGGGAAAGAGGGAGAGATTTATTGTTCCACCCATTTATGCACCCATTGGTTGATTCCTGCATGTGACCTGACCAGGGATCAAACCCAACCCAAAACTTCAGCACATTGGGAGGATGCTCCAACCAATTGAATCACCCAGCCAGGCTATATTTAAGTTTTTTAAAGATACTATCAAACTTTTTCCCAACATGACTGTGCCATTTTACATTCACACTTGGAATGTTTGCAGGTTTATCAAAATTTGATTTCTGGCCTTAACTGGTTTGGCTCAGTGGATAGAGTGTCAGCCTGTGGACTGAAGGGTCCCAGGTTCAGTTCTGGTCAAGGGCACATGTCCAGGTTGCAGGCTCCATCTCCAGTGGGGCGCATGCAGGTGGCAGCCAATCAATGACTCTCTCTCATCACTAATGTTTCTATCTCTCTCTCCCTCTCCCTTCCTTTCTAAAATCAACAAAAATATATTTTTTAAAAATTGATTTCTGCTTTCATATTAAAATGAAAACCGAGAAAACTTCTATTGTCATGCTGTTTTATACACCCTCCCCCATTTTTCTTTATGGAAGGATTACCACCCAAACCAAGGAATATCTATTATTGCAGATTCCTCACCTGAATTCTAGACATCATGGTTATTTAACAGCCACTGTGGTGTCAGAGGGCTTTATATCTTATGACAGGATAATACACCTTAAGACAAATGGTGTGGCAGGCAGCCTTTACAGTGACCCCATATGAACCTGTTCTGGTGTTCAGACCCTGTGAAATACTCTCTGTTTGAATATGAACTGGACCTAGTGGCTTCCTTCTAACAAAAAGAAAAAACTAAGGGTTTTCACTTCCAAGATTAGGTTACAAAAAGACTGTAGCTTCTATTTTACACTGCCCTCTCTTGCCCACTTGCTTTAAAGAAAGATAGCTGCCATGTTAGGAGTTGCCCTATGGAGAGGCCCACATGGCAAAGAACTGACGTCTCCAACCACAGCAGTGAGGACCGGATGGCTGCCTACAGCCACGTGAGAGAGACTGGAAGCAGACATCCCCTAATCAAGCCTTGATTATGACCTCAGCCCTGGTTAATGCACCTTCATTAGGCTTTGTTAGAGACCCTGAACCAGATTCCTAACTCCTGGTGTTTAAGTTAATAAATTTTGGGGTAATTTGTATGCAACCAGAGATAATTAATATAGACGACCCCCAAAAAAGTGATTTCCTGTGATTTCCATGTGCATTCAGAATTCTTTAAAGACAACTGCTGAAGTCGGAAACTAATATCATATCCAATAAAAGTTAAATTTTCGAGTGCCCTTTCCATCCCAAATGATTTAAACAAAACCAAGTATCACTGGAGATTTGTCATCAAAGACTGTGAGGAACACTGTCCTGAAAGAGTTCTGATATTAAGAAGTATTGCTAAAAAATTAACTTCTAAAAAAGCAGTGACCACCCTTGGCTCAGTGGATAGAGCGTTGGCCTCCGGACTCAAGGGTCCCAGGTTCGATTCCAGTCAAGGGCATGTACCTTGGTTGTGGGCATATACCCAGTAGGGAGTGTGCAGGAGGCAGCTGATCACTGTTTCTCTCTCATTGATGTTTCTAACTCTCTATCCCTATCCCTTCCTCTCTGTAAAAAATCAATTATATATATATATATATATATATATATATATATATATATATTTTTTTTTTTTTTTAAAGCAGTGACCATTTCAACCACTATTTCAGAAATGAAAAATAGTATCAAGTGAGAAGTCATATAAAGACTTTCAAACCTGGGACTCGAGTCCTGTGGATTATGTACTTGGTTTCTGAAACTCAATGACCCTTCAGCAAACCACATGGCCCTCTCATTTTCATCACTTCAATGATTAATCAAGTCTGAGGATTTGGGATAAAAAACTGATACAGCCATGCAAAGAATGATTTGCTATCACTCTGTACAGCAGCATGCATCTGATGATCCAGTATTTCCAGCAATTCATTTCTCTGCAATCATTTCTCTTCAGTGCTCTTCATTTGATCATGTTTAATGTATGATGCTACATTACTCACTCAATACTCTTGATTTCGCTTTCAAAAGCATGAAAATTAATTCAAATCAAAACTAACATGCACTGCCTCCCCCCCCCCCCATCTACAAAATCCATCCTCTTAAAATTTTTGCAAAGACCAAGCCTCATTTAAGAAAAGAGAGAGAGCAGATGTAATTTCAAAAATAGGACCATGGCTAATTAAACCAGTGTTGTTTCTTCTAACCATGGTTACTCGGAATTCTTAAAGGCTAATCTATTTGTAGACACTCCAGGAATCCCAAAAGACTAAAAGCAAAAAAACTTTTTAAAGTGTGTGTGTGTGTGTGTGTGTGTGTGTGTGTGTGTGTGTGTGTGTCAGGGGGGTTGCTTCTAAGAGGCATTATTTATACACCTTGTATGCAAAGTAACAACTTTCCCATAGGTTCAAAAAAAAAACCTGAGGATGTGTGGTAAAATAGGAGGGAACACAGCAACATTACTTGAAAAAGCTTTTAAATGAGCCCCTTCCTCCACACAAGCACACTTCTGGTGGTTAAGTTGCCCATTTTGTTTTACCTTGAGGGACAGAATAATGATGTGGTGACACTATTCACAAGGCAAAAGCGGGATGCCAGCTGAAATAGATACAGAAGAAAGAATTCTTTATTTTTCATTGGAAATGCTTGTGCTGCAGAGAGCCAGAAATTTAAAGAAACTCAGTCTTTTTGTTCTTCCTTATTCTCCCTTTTTGTTTTCATTGGCCCCCTTTTTGGGGTGACTGTTGTGGGCAGCCAGTTGTTTCAAGGGGCCATAGATCCATGGAAAGCCAGAGATGTGAAGTATGCACCATTTGGAGAACTCGGGAAGGGATGTGGAACGGATGTGTGCAGCACCCGTGACAGCTGAACTGGCCATTAGCATGGGATCTTGTTAAATGTGCTACAGGATACCGGGAGCCCCACAATGGAACCCCGGAGGGATCAGACTATAATTAATACTGACATTGCTGACCTATGATCTTAGAATAGGGACTTGGATTCTTGTTCCGGAGTGGAATCAGATATAGGCTTAATAATGCTCCCTTGTCTTGCTCAAGCCCCCATATTATCAAAACTATTTATTTTCTGTAAGGTAAGCCTTAGGGCTCAGGAGAGATAATGCTGATAATAACTGCAGGCCTTTATATAGCATTTATTATGTACCAGCTCTGTTCTAAGTGCCTTTTACATAATAACTCATGCATATAATCTTCACAGTAACCCACTGATGCTCAATGGGAGGGGAGAATTTTGCCTCCTCCCATCTCCAGGGGACCATTCGGCAGTGTCTAGAGACATTTATGGTTGTCACAATTGAAAGGGAAAGGCCACTGGCATCTTGTAGGTAGAGGTTAGGGATGCTTCAGTGCACAGGACTGCCCACTCCCTCAAACAGAGAACCGTCCAGCCCTACATATCAGCAGTGCTGAGGGTGATTGAGAAACCCTGCAGTAACTTTATGACGTAGATGGGATTAGTCTTTTTATCTGACAGACAGTTAAGTCACTTTGCCCAAGGTCATATGCAGTATGAGCACGTTAGAGCTGGGATTCGAACCCAGGCAGTCTGTCTCCAACATCTGGGCTGTAAGCCACTTTGCTACATGAAATAGTACAGGCGCAATTGCTCTCTGGGAAAAAGAAACTTCTCACCTTGGGTTCATCAAATGCAAACTTCTAGTAAGCTGGCACCACCGATGACTGCCTGCTCATAGATTAAAGAGGGAGCTTACTATTATAAAAGTCACCATCTGCAGGGGACACGCTAGCAGTGCCTATCAAAACTGAAATAGCACCTTCCCAACAGGGTGAAAACTGAATGTACAAGGATAATCATCACAGTGTTGTTTGAAACAGAGAATAGGAACTCCAGCAGGAGACAGTGAAATGCCTTGTAGGGTGTCCCAAATGCAATGGAATACAGAATGTTCCCAGCTGTTCAATGAGAAAGAGGTAGATCTTTGCACTGATCTGGAAGGATCTTTAAGAGCCTGTGTTTAAGAAAAGAAAATTCAAAAGGTAACTATGTGAGGGGGTGGATGTGTTAATTTACTGGATTGCGGTCATTTCACAATGTCTACAAATATCAAATCACATTGTAAGCTTTAAATACATACAATTTTATTTGTCAATTATACCTCAAGAAAGCTGGGCAGGGGAAAGACCTGGCCAGTGTGGCTTGGTGAGCATTGACAGGTCATTGGTCGATTCCCAGGTTGCAGGCTTGATCCTCAGTGCGGGTCATGCAGGAGGCAGCCAATCAATGATTCTCTCTCATCACTGATGTTTCTATCTTTCTCTTCCTCTCCCTTCCTCTCTGAAATCAATAAAAATATATTTTAAAAAATTATAGTAAAATAATGAAACATACATAAATGTGCAGAATATTTTTATGTTGTACACCAATTTGTGTTAAACCAAAGGGAAGTATGTATGAATATATATAAATATGTGTATATACGTTTCTATTTTTTACTCCATATGCATAAGAAAACTGATACTAGGAAGGAGGGAAACTTATCGTATACCTCTGGACTGTTGGAAAATTCACTTTTGAAAATTTATTTTACCATGTACACATGTTACCTTTTCCAAAAACATAACAAAATAAAATGGTAGGGCATCAGAAGGAATAAGTCATATTTGTATAGCACTTCATGGTTTACAAAGCACTTTTATTTGCATTGTTTCCTTTGGCGCTCACCCCAGAGATGGCAACACCAGAACAGGGAAGTGGCATGCGCTCTGCCCAAGGTCACTGCCTGCCAGTTCCCCCACATGCTGCCCTTCCTCGTTTCCCATACTGTCTGCACCACTTTAATTTTGTTTTATTCAACCACAAGCTGCCACTCTCAAGCTCTGGGCAGTAAAACCGTAAGTCACATAAATAGGAAGAAAGGCCTGTTTCAGGAACTTTTCAGCCTGCATCCCTTTCTGCCACATTTGTATTGTTTTCTCCTGAAATACCATATTGGTCAGATACAGGAGCTGCAGAAACAGATTCTTCTCTCCCCCATCAATGTAGAGTCCCTCTGTGCGTAACGGGCACTTAACAAACCTGAGTTGCTTTGATTGGATAGAGACTAATTCTTTCATTTTATCCATGTTTGCTTCTTTGAGCCTGAAATGCATATGCTTCCTATTCATACCTGCTCATTGCAACCAGCCATGGGCGCCCATGATAGGGCCAACATCCAGGTCACCCACTAATGACCCCAGCATTTCCAGGCAGTGCAGGGGACAGTTGGACAACTAGCCTTCCTTACCCATGTTTCACTCACAGGTGGTTTGGGCAGGGTTTGCATTCACCCCTGGATAAAGTTTAGCTCTCTTCCAGTGAATAGCTTGTGATGTAGCCTGGTAGGCAGTTGGGAAAGTGTCCATAGTAGTTCATCAGGAGACACTGGAGCCAAGAAACCATGAGGGTCCTTCTGGAGAACTACTTTTAGTCACTAGCCTCCTGCAGGCTTACAGGAGGTTGGAGCTGAGGCCCTATGAGAATTGGTTTCACTCTCCTTTAATCAGGGCTTTCTTCTATTGCACATGTGGTTCATTTCTGTCCTCAGTGGATCAATACAGGGCAAGTCTTCACATAGCACAGCGGTTCTCAACCTGTGGGTCGCGACTCCTTTGGGGGTCGAAAGACCCTTTCACAGGGGTCGCCTAAGACCATCGGAAAACACATATATAATTACATATTGCCTTTGTGATTAATCGCTATGCTTTAATTATGTTCAATTTGTAACAATGAAATTGGGGATCACCACAACATGAGGAACTGTATTAAAGGGTTGTGGCATTAGGAAGGTTGAGAACCACTGACATAGCAGGAAGCAAATGCTAGGCTTCTGGTTTCCTGAAAATGACTCAGGAATCCTGATACTTTAACTTTTTTTTTTTTTTTAAGTTATATAAGCCTTTTTAAGAACATCCTGAATATTTGTGTATTGGTTAGCATTCGCTGTGTAACAAACCACCCCCCCAACATAGTGGCTTAAAACAACAAACATTATTTTATCTTAAAATTCTGTGGTTAGTTGAACAATTCTTCCATTCTGGGCTGGCTCAACTGGGATAGAATGGTCCAGGATGGCCTAATGCCACGGGTAGCAATTGGCTCCCTATCAGCTGGGGATGATAAAGACAACATGGCCACATGTCTCTAATCAGACAGCAGACTAGCCTAGGCATGTTCACATGGTGGTAGTCACAAGGTTTCCCAAGAGCAGCAAAAGAAGACAAACCCCAAGGCACCGACACTGTTCAAGTCTGTTCTTGTGTCCCATTTTCTAATGTCACATTAAGTCAAAGCAAGACATATGACCAAGACCAGGTTTGAGGGGTGGGAAAATAAGACTCCATGTCACTTGATGGAATAAGCTGCAAAATCACTTTGCAAAGGATCAGCATGCAAGGTGGAAAGAATTTGCAGCCCTTTTTTTGTGATCTATCGTAGTGAGATGGGATATTTAAAAATCCATTTTAAAACTTTAAAAACACAGACACACACAAGATGTCTCCTAATATTCAGAAGAAAGCTGAGAAAGCCTACTTTTATCAATCTGATGACTTTCAAACCTCCAGTTCTTGTCACCTCACTCCAGACTGCTAGAACCATCCTGATGAAAATAGCACTAGGTATTGTTTCTGCAAAGCTGATTGTGATGATTAATTTTATATGTCAACTTGACTGGGCCACAGGATGCCCAGATATCTCATTAAAACATTATTTCTGGACGTGCTTGTGAGAGTGTTTCTAGAAAAAAAAGTAACATCTGAATTGTTAGACTTAGTAAAGTAGATGGCCTTTTCCACTGTGTGTGGGCAACATCCAACCCATTGAGGGTCTGAATAGAACAAAAAGGTGGAGGAAGGGAGAATTCTCTCTCTGCCTGACCACTTGAGCTGGGACATAGGTCTTCTCCTGCCCTCAGACTGGGAATGATGCCATCAGGATTCCTTTTTCTCAGGCCTTTGGACTTGGACTAGAACTTATACCATCAGTTCTCCTGGTTTTCAGGTCTTTGGACTTAGACTGAAACTATATCACCAACTTTCCTGGGTCTCCAGCTTACAGACAGTAGACTGTAGGACTTCTTAGCCTCCCTAATCAAGTGAGCCAAGTTTGTGTGTGTGTGTGTGTGTGTGTGTGTGTGTGTGTACATATACATATATATGTGTGTGTGTGTGTGTGTGTGTGTGTGTGTATTTTTTTTTTTTCTGTTGGTTCTGTGTCTCTGGAGAACCCTAATAGAGTGGTTCTCCAGAAAGGCAATCGCATGACCTTGGGAAGTTTATCCTCATTATCCTTTTTCGACAATGAGAACTACACTAGATGTTCTTGGGTTACATAGGACCTTTCAGAGGCTGTGTTAGAGGAAAATGAAAGTACAGGCCACACGCTGAATGGCCCAAGCCCTGCTCGTAGAGATAAGATGTCCAGGCATGGGGCTGAAATTTTCAGCTTTCGTCCAGATTTTTGGCATGGTCTTTGAGTCTGTGATTTTCAGCTTTTTCTCCTCTAGGCCTGATTAAACCCTTTGATCTCATTTTATTGGGCAATATTATTACACCACTTTGCAAATACACTATTTATTCTAGGCTGACCTTAAAATCTTTTTCTTTCCCCCATTCCTTGAAGGGCATTCATGGTTAGTAGAACATTCAACAGTGCTAGATTAAAATGGGGGAAAGGCATATAATAGGTGCTGGAAAATATTCAAATAGCCCAACCGGTGTGGCTCAGCGGTTGAGCATTGACTTATGAACCAGGAGATCACGGATCACGGTTCGATTCCCAGTCAGGGCACATACCCAGGTTGCCCGCTTGATCCCCGGCTCAGGGCACATACCCAGGTTGCCCGCTTGATCCCCAGCCGGGGATGTGCAGAAGGCAGCTGATCAATGATTCTCTCTCATCGTTGATGTTTCTATCTCTCTCTCCCTTCCTCTCTGAAATCAATAAAAAAAATATTTTTAAATGTTCAAATAAATGAAGGCCAGGTAAGGAAGAAGGAGAGGAAGGCAAATGAAGAGAGTCCCTAAGATATCCAAGTTGGACTATTCTTTTTCTAGCTTTGCTGACATAAAATTCACATTCTATATAATTCACCGATTTAAAGTGTGTACAGTTCAGTGTTTTTTAGTATATTTACAGAATTGTACAACCATCACTACAGTGGGGTGGTGAGGCCCTTCCCCAAATCTTGGGAGGTGAATCACTTGATCTTAGCCAAAAGGCCGAGAAGCGATTGGGAGGTGAATCATACTTGGCCTCATGGAATGAAGGAAAGTGTCTTAAGAGCACTTCTGTACCTGGTCTTTGGTAAGGTTGCTAAGCCACTCATTTAATCAATCCAGAACTTGACCTACCTCCAATCTTGCCTTGTGAGATAATAAACCCCCTCATTGTGGGAACCATTTTGAGTCAGGATTCTGTTACTTGCAGCTGAAGGCATCTCACACATCCATTCCTCCAACTCACACAGAATTTGCTCAAAGCAATACTCTCCAAAATTGCCTTAGCATTCCAGATAGAGGCAGGCCAGAAGCTCTGTCCTTTTAGGTTCATCCCAAATGCCACCATGTCCCTAAACCATTCCAGGCAGGCACAGTCATAATCACCTTGCCCTTTTCCCAGTCCCTCAGGCATTTTCCTTATTGCCCTTTCCAATACATTGCCAGCGGTTATTACCGTACATTCCCCCATACATTCCAGGGGATGTGCTAGGTGCCAGCATCGTACAGGTGAGGATTCCCTTACTTGCCTTCAATCATGCAAAGTCTGCTTGATTTCATCTGCTGAGCCTGTGTTGGTTCCTTCATGCCTTCCAGCAGTGCTGCGTTGAGAGGATTCTCAGGACCAAGCCTTGTGCAGATGAAGGAAAATGGTCCCGGCTTTCAAAATGCATGTTGTCTAGCTGGGGGAGAATGACAGATATAAGCACAGAGGCCAGCAGGGAGCAGGACAGGAGCCACTAACACAACAATCTTGTGAGGGGCAGATATTATTATCATCAGAGATGTCAACTAACTTTCCCTAGATCACTCAGTGAGCAGTAGCAGAGCTGGGGTCTGAACCCAGGCAGGCTAACTCCAGGCCCAGGCACAAATCTCTGCACCACACTGCTGATGCAAGCTTGGCCAGATCTCTGCTTGCCAGGAGAGGCCTGGAGCAGAGCCTTCCCTCACAGCCCTCAGGAGGAACCAATGCTGTAAACACCTTGACCTCAGACCTTTGGCTTCTAGACTGTGAGACAGTAATTCTCTGTTGTTTACATCATTCAGGGTGTGGCCCTTTGTTATGGTGGCCCTAACAAAGCAATACACCATGTACGTCTCAAGGTAGCTGGAAAGAAATAGAGGAGGAGAGTGGAATGAGATGAGATTAGAAAGGCAGGTCAGGGCCAGAGCACACAAGACCTTGTAGGCTTAGGTAAGACTTTGGATTTTATTCTGAGATCCAGGAAAACCATTAATAGGTTTTATAACTGTTTTCTGCATAGTTTAAAGTTGACGATGGGGCCCAAACCGGTTTGGCTCAGTGGATAGAGCGTCGGCCTGCGGACTGAAAGGTCCCAGGTTCGATTCCGGTCAAGGGCATGTACCTGGGTTGCGGGCACATCCCCAGTAGGAGATGTGCAGGAGGCAGCTGATCAATGTTTCTCTCTCATCGATGTTTCTAACTCTCTATCTCTCTCCCTTCCTCTCTGTAAAAAATCAATAAAGTTGACGATGGGAATAGGAGTTGGCGAGGTGGAGAAGAATAGCTGTCAGAGGGAACAGAAGCAAAGATTAGTGTGCTAATTTCTAAGATATCAAAGTACCACAAACTGGAGGGCTTAGAACAACAGAAGTTGCTTCTCTTATAGTTCTGGAGGCCAGAAGTCTGAATTAAGCTTTTTTTTAAGTTTCTATTATTATTATTATTATTTTGCATATAATCGACCAGATATTCCCTGACTAGCCTACCTAAAAATAGCCGTGCCCTTCTATCCCTTTACACCATGTCATTTTTATTCCTATCATTTATTGCTATTAGAAATTTGTTTGTTTTGGGGATGGCAATGACTGGGACTGTTATATTTGCTGCTTCATCCTCCAAATCTAGATAGTGTCTGGCACTTAGTAGGCCTTAAAGTAATTACTAAAAGGACAAATAAATCATCCTATATAATAAAAGACTAATATGCAAATTGACCGAACAGCAGAACGACCAGTTGCTATGATGCACACTGACACCAGGGGCAGACACTCAATGCAAGAGCTGCCCCCTGGTGTTCAGTGTGCTCCCACAGGGGGAGTGCCACTCAGCCAGAAGCCCTGAGCCAGGCTCATGGCTGGCGAGAGCAGTGGCAGTGGCAGGAGCCTCTCCACTTCCGTGACAGTCAGACATCCCCCAAGGGCTCCCAGACTGTGAGAGGGCACAGGCCAGGCTGAGGGACCCTCCCGAGTGCATGAATTTCATGCACCGGGCCTCTAGTTAAAAACAATATGCATAGAAAATGCTGGAAGAAACACTATTAAAGCACTATAATGATTTTCTCTCTTGAGATAAGGGTGCTTTTAATTCTCCTCTGTTTTTCTGCTTTAAAAATAAAACATCCTACTTTTAAAGGGAGATGGAAATGATCTGCATCTTGATTTGGGTGGTGATCACACAGCTGTATACAATTGTCAAAACTTATCCAATGGAACGCTTAAGAGCTGCATTCTATTATATATTAACTAGAGGCTCAGTGCACGAAATTCCTGCACTACTGGGGGGGGGGTGTCCCTCAGCCCAGCCTGTGCCCTCTCACAGTCCGGAAGCCCTTGGGGGATGACCGACTGATGGCTTAGGCCCACTCCCCACGGGGGGCCTAAGCCATCAGTCAGACATCCTTAGCACTGCCGCAGAGGTGGGAGAGGCTCCCGTCACCACTGCTGTGCTCACTAGCCATGAGCCCAGCTTCTGGTGCACTGATCACCAGGGGACAGCTTCTGCATTGAGCATCTGTCCCCTGGTGGTCAGTGCACGTCATAGCGACCAGTCATTCTGCCATTCGGTCAATTTGCATATTAGCCTTTTATTATATAAGACTAGAGGCCCAATGCACGAAATTTGTGCAAGGGGCTCGGCCCTCTCAGGCCCGGCTTCATCCGGAAGGTCGTCCAGATGGTTGTTCTGCTATTCAGTTTAACTAGCATATTAGCTCTTTATTATATAGGGTTATATCTCAAGAATTTTAAAATATACAAGTAATATACCTGTGTATTTTAAAAATATAACGCTCTTGTTATTATTTTATAGCATTTAGAATATATAATTATAAGTAGGATAAATAGAAATGAGTTACATAACACAAAGTAGGTATTGGATCTATAGTATAAATTAAATTTGACTTGCTATATTTTAGAAAAAGCTCTTGGGAGACATTTGCACACCACACACATACCACTTATACCTGCAAATTAGCACTGCTTTATAATATCCCTCAGTAGTTTATAACAATTTTGTTCTAGGCTTTATCTCTCCCCTATTTTTCTGTAATAAACTGAAGCCACCAATTAAGCTGATTGTGCCAGAATCTAAAGTTTCCAGTTAGCCTGTTTATCAGTGCCTTGGCAGGCAGTAACTGAGTCTACACTCTTAAAAAGTCTGGACTTTTGTTCTACAAGCAACTTTTCCAGCTAGGGAAGCACCTTGGTTTCCATGAAGCTCTGTATAAAAGAACTGAGGTGTCAGCTTAAATGGTTGGTGTGCACTGGGCCCCAAGCCTCCCAGAGTGAAGGGGCCACAATAGGCATTGCAATGATTTCCCAAAAGCCAGCCTTTGGACACAGTGGGGAAAGCCACGGGCATTGTTTATAACCTCCTTTATCAGCTCTGGCTCAGGTCCCGGTGAAGTGGGACAGAAGACAGTGAGAAGTCAGAAAGTCCCATGAAGAGGGTACGTATACAGGACGAGTTTATTTACTCAGACATGGTCTTAACTCAGTATTCAGCTTAGTTAAGCAGATGTACTGAGTTAAAGCAACCACAGAACAGACACTGGGAACGGTGTCCTTTCTGCTCCCAAGATCCAGAGTTAGGAGAGTAGGGTGGGGAGGAGCCCAGGTTTGGGGGCCAGAGGATGCTGAGGTTGTGCACCACCCTTTCACATATTAGCTATGTGACCTCAAGTCAATGCCAGTCGAGTCCTGAACTGTCTTTCACTGAGCCCTGGCTTCCCGATTTTTAAATGGGGCAAACTCTACCTACCTCACAGGCTGATGTTGAGGACTGAATGAACACAGGACATGGCAAGTGCTCAGCACCGTAACTGTAGATGGGTAAGTGGTTCGAAATCCAAGAAGTGGAGCTAGGCTTGGAGTCAAACGTCCACAGGGCAGGACATGCTTCCGCCTCTGGTTTCTCAGTGAGTGCCAGGTGCCTGGATCAACTTTGGGTCCTACCAAATGAAACAGAGATTTTGGGTCTGCCCCTCTCCCTCCACATTGCCTACCTGGGGTAACCAGCACTGGAAAAGAGGTCTCTCATAGGAATGTTCTTCTAGGTTTTCCTAGTGGGGCTCCCACAAGAGAAGAGTAATCCAATCAGGGATTTTAGCATCAATTGCCTCCCTTCCCACAAGAATGTTATCTCAGAAGGTGAAAATAACACTGGTTTTAAGAGTTCACCAAAAAGGCATCTCTCTCCTGAGGGCTAACCAAGAAGATGGGGGGAAGGGCTTGGTGTGGGTTATCTTTTTCGAGCTTATTCTGGTTCTGAGAAGCAGGCATATTTACAAAGGTGAGGAGCAAAGGGCTGCAGGAAGAGGAGGATCCAACATAGAGGGAGAAAGGCACAGGGGAGAGCTTTAGAGTTTCTCCGGCTCTAGAGAGCCAGGAATCTCGCCAAAGAGAAAGTGAAGTATTGGCAGCAACTGAGAGATCCTGTGTGGACTTTTAGGAAAGATTTTGGGCTGCAGCACGAGGCCTCCTTTAATAGGGCCAGGAGAGTTCTGGCAGCAGCCCCCAGCCCAGGCATGTTCCCACATAACTGAAGTCGAATGTGCTGGGGGAGGGTGGCCGGAGGCGGCCTCCGGGTTCTTCCTGGCTGCAGAATCTCAGCATTCTGCAGTTGGCCCTGTTTGGGATCCAAGCCAGTTTGTGTTGATTTTCCGCAGCATGGAAACAAATGCAACGAAGCTGTTTTCCTGAGGCGTGCATTTTGAAAAGAGGATTTTAATTTTTTCCTCCGAGGACAGGTGGAGTGGGGGTGGGGGTTAGGGGAAGCTGTGACGTGGCTCTTCCATTGCTGTCCCTTTTGCAAACCCGTTCTGGCTGTTTCCGAGTAAGCATAAACTAATGAGTGTGTGAGTGGGCATAGCTGTGATGAAGGCTAAGTCTTTCACAAAAGCTAATTCCTGGAAAATGCTGCTGGCGGACCCTCTGGCTATGTGCGATAAATCACAATCCGCCTTCCGCTGGAATGTGTCCAAGAGAGCAACTCTCCTCGTTCCTCCTAAAATTTTCCGCTTACTCTTCTTCTCTTCCAGGTCTTTCTCAGTGATCATTTCTTTCTGCCCAGAAATTAGTTTGCGCTTCTTTTCAGTTAGCATCCAAAGTCTTTTGGTGCTAAGTATAATTATATTAATGATGTCAAGTGATACAGGAAAGTTTTCTCCAGTGGTGGAAACAACTCGTTCTTTTAATGGCAGTGGTGCTCAATCTGTGGGTCGCGACCCCTTTGGGGGTCGAAAGACCCTTTCACAGGGGTCGCCTAAGACCATCGGAAAACACATATATAATTACATATTGTCTTTGTGATTAATCACTATGCTTTAATTATGTTCAATTTGTAACAATGAAATTGGGGGTCACCACAACATGAGGAACTGTATTAAAGGGTCGCGGCATTAGGAAGGTTGAGAACCACTGTTTTAATGGCATTCACCTTCTCCCAATTCCCTAGGGAAAATCTGAACTTTTGGCTCATTGGGCCACAACCTAGGGATTGAAAATTTACAATCAGGAATTGATACAGCTGGAGAGGGGGATCTCGGTGGGCTCTTCCTTTTTAAATGAGGAACAAAAGTACAAGATTTGTTCTGGGACCTGCTGTTTCTTGCAGCCAAAGATGGCCGAAAACATGGAGGCTACCCAGCTGGTGTTGCTTGGTGGTTGAGCATTGACCTATGAACCAGGTCAGGGTTCGAGTCCCGGTTAGGGCTTGGTCCCCAGTAGGGGGTGTGCAGAAGGCAACTGATCAATGATTCTCTCTCATCATTGATGTTTCTCTCTCTCCTCCTCTCTCTGAAATCAATAAAAATATATTTAAAAAACAAAACAAAAAATGTGGAGGCCAAGTCAGAACTGTTTTTCCTATTCAACATTTATGTGCAGTGCTATAGGGTTATCTTTTGGAAAGAACTGCACCATCAGTCATGTGCTAGGGTAGATTTATCCTGGGTATCATAAACCTTCATGCTCCAAGACCTTGCAGGTGATTTCACACTTTGATTGGCTTCACCCACTGGACAAACCTCTCTGCATTTATTTTGAGAGGCTGAATTTGAAAGGAGTCTCAGGTCAGGGGATTTAGAACAAAAGAGCAAAGCGGCTTTAGTTCACTTAGTGCGCTTGGTAATTAGCCTCGGAGTAAGGCATGTTACCTGCACCAGCGCAGCTCCGTGCCAAGTACCAAACCACATTTTCCAGATGAATCCAGTGAGAAGTTTCTGACCCGAAGCAATTCAACATTAGGCCCCAAGGACCACAGTCATGTTGTGTAAAATAACAGATTGTTCATCTCTCCCTGGCCTTCTTTACCACAGCAAGAATGCAAAATCCAGATTAAGAACCAATGCAGTGCCCCTTTCATGCTCTCCTAAGCTTCCAAATTACAGTGAGAGGCTGCTCCAAAAGTGTACTAGAGAAAATGACTCTGAAATAGTTTTGGCTCCTGGAATGACAGCTTTCAAAATTAATGTTTGATGGAACCCATTATTGATAAGTGTCTGAGCATTCTGGTGTGGGCGTGAAGTAAGGTTAGCATTAAGTGGTAAAGGGTTACCATTAATTTAAAAAAATGATAAGAGCAGGTAAAGGAATAGATTACGAGATTAGCCAGAATAAACAGGCCACAACCCCTCCCATAAAGAATAAAAAATAAAAGAAGCCCTATTAAGTTTCCCTGAAGTTCCCAAAAACCCAAATCCGAAGACTGGCTTTCCATTTGCTCCAAGCTGACCGCAGTACTGTGTTTGGGGGAAAATCAACTTCAGAGGACACACTTGGCTTTGGCTCTGGGGTAAAACTCGGGGTTACTGAAGGGAAAGGCTTTTCTCCCTATTACCACTTCGCTCTTTCCTGTCATTTAAGCATTTAACTTTAAAAGCTCCATCTGCTGGTGAGGCCACTAGGTAGATATTCTGGGATTCCCGTTTCAGAAATTTTCGCAGGCAAGAATGAAGTCTGGCCAGCGCGGAGGCCTGCCAGGGAACACTTACTTGGTGGCTTCCTGAACTCGCCAAAGGTGATGTCTTTGAGTGGCTTAATTGTCCCTCGGCGCCATGAAGGAGCAGGAGTCAGGGCTGGAGACTCCTGAAAAATGACCTTCTGCTGCCAAGAAAGAAGTACCATAGCAGAATCACCTCGACAGTTAATTCAGTTTTATCCTGGAGAAAACGAAATAATTTCCCTCAAATGCTGTGAGTGGCTTTCCTTTTTTAGATCAGCCCATGGACTTCATCACAAGCAATGTGGCATCGGGTATAAAGCAGCCAAATCTCAAGGGTAGTATTCGTAGCTTGTGGATCCCAACTGCACTAGGAGAGGGGTTTCCAAGTGATGACAGACGGTCGTTCATTTGTGATCTGCCAAATTCTCCACACTCAGCTGGCTGGCTATTTAGGTAGGAGTTCCTCAGCCCTTTTGATGAGGACACTTTCACTATGCAAGGAGGGGGTCTGCCTCAGTGTATCCTAGGAAGTCACATTTTGTGACAGTTTCCAAAAATAAAACAATCTCAGCATGGTGTCGGGCCTAGGAAAAAATCTTAGGTGTATAAATTCATTGCTTTTGGTTTGCAAGAGTTGTGCCTGGGTCTTCTACCCCGAGCCTCCAAATTAAAATAATTTTTCCTATCCTGTATTTGTTCAGGTACTTATTGTTAGGAAAGTTGGGAGCAAAGGGGCAGAAAAATGAGTATAACCTAGCTGCTCACTACATTGTTGCAAGATTGAAATCCAAGCCATTGACACTTTCTTACATTATTTAGATATGAACTCCCAAGCAAATGTCAATAGGAGACACACAAATTTCACATGAAACAGAATCATTTCAAAGTTTGGTTACTTTAATGCAATGTCATTGTTCAAGGTAGTATGGGTATGTTAAGTGGTTCATTTCCACCCTGAAGAAAACACTGACAAGTGTCTATCTTATGTAATTTTGTCAAATTCAAACATAACTCTTTTAACAGGTTTTTAAAAAACATTTTCTTTCCATATCTTAATAAGATTTTTATTTTCTGCAACATTTTTTAGAAACCTTCAAGTAGTTTGGAAACATTTGCCCATTTGCTCATTTCTCTGGGAACAGGCTTCCAGAACATTTATCCCACCTATGCAGAAAATCTGCATTTTCCCAGCTGGTGGTAGAGCTGCTTGATAGAGGTGATCAGAGAGAAATGAGGAGTGTGCAAGCTTTGTAAAGCACTTGTAATTCTCTTCATTAGTATGCTACAATCCACCCCAGCTTCTGCAAGGTCAGACATGCAACACAAGTACTTGGCCAAAAAAGCAGGATTCTAACTAGTGTAAAAATAGATTTTAAATAAAATAGAATCTCTATAGGAAAGGGAATTAGGTTATGTTTTACATTCCCACTGTTGCTCTAAGATATCTGAGATATCTGGTAAGTCCAAAGAGGACTTACAGTCGGTCTGCCAAAAACTGAGAATGTCTTAAGTACATTCATTTTGCAAAGTTACAGGTAAGGTTCTCTGGAAATGCTGCAGCACATCCCACAACAATGGATGGTGATTAGCGATACAATTGGTGTGCTAACAAGTAACTTGTAAGACATTTAGGTCAAAGGGGATGAGGCCTACCCATAGGCTGGCTAAAAAAATTCTGAAATGTGATAATTTGAACTTTGGCTAATTATAAAGCAGAAAACAAACTCATCATGTAACAGTATGTCTTGTTAACCTATCCAACTTACCACTTTTGAAAGCTAAATTCCAACAGCTCTTATTTTAATTTTGCTCATTACTGCATATTACGAATTATTTGGAGTTTGTTTTTAGAGAAAGTACACAGCCCCTCTGTTGGCCTACAACAAGCATTACATGACAGTTTTAAAGAGGGCTCTGTTAAAATTCTAATTTTTGGATTTAGAAACACCCTTTGGTTACAGCTTGAAAGCATAATTGAAAATCTGCCCAAGCTCCCTCTAGCCGCAACCTGAACATGCAGCCCAATCTTTTGTAAACATTCAAAAAATACTGATTCCAGCAAAATACACAATCAGCTAGTCAGAGGCCTCACTCTACATTTTAACGTGGATGATAAATCTGACTGCTCATTCTTGCTAGATGCAAGGAAATTCACTCTGAGATTTGAGTCTTGAAGTCACTATTAAGTTTCCTCCTTATTTGAGGTTCATGGGGAGGTGTAGAATCATCAAAAATAAACGAAGTTGCCCTAGCCGGTTCGGCTCAGTAGACAGAGTGTCAGCCTGCGGACTGAAGGGTCCTGGGTTTGATTCCAGCCAAGGGCACAAGCCCGGGTTGTGGGATCGTTCCCCTGTAAGGGGTGTGCAGGAGGCAACCAATGATTCCCTCTCATCATTGATGTTTCTCTCTCCCTCTCCCTTCCTTTCTGGAGAAAAAAAAAAAAAAGGGCTTAAGAAAAGAAAAAAAAAAAAAAAGAAAGAAAGAAAAAATAAACAAAGTGGAAACACCACCATTTTTCCTACACTGGGTCTGCTCAGTCTGCCCTGGATTGTTGTTTTTCCTGGCTAGCCCTAGAGCAAGAAGATACGGCTGCTGGAGACAAGCCAGTGCCTGGTTTACAGGCCCAACCTCTTTTCATATAACATTCAACCAGTCCTTCAATTCCCTAGAGGAAGGGAGGGATGACAATGATATGAGACTAATGCTCCGGAATTTTCATAAATCCTCAGTGGCTAATGCAAACCTCTCTCTAAGGCAGCTTCTATGACCTCAGGGAGGTTTGGTGCTTTAGGACTAGGAATGTTACCCACCGACCCCAGAACTGAATGTCAAAAACACCAACTCAATAAATACAACAGAAAAATGTACAGCAGATTTGGGGCATCTATCAAGTAGGAAGGCAAAATGGTCATTAGAATGTCTGAGGTTAGTGAACTATTAGGTTGAAAAAAGCAGCCACCATTTAAAACATTCCCCTTTCCATCAGTTCTCCTAGTTGTCAACCCTCTACATTCATTACACCAAACACTAGCAAATGAAAGATCCAAACAACTGCAGCTTGATCCTCACTTGTACTTATTTCGGGCCCACCCTCACATTTAGGCCCCAGCACACCCTCGCCGTGCCAGGGAAAACAGTCTCAGGGACACCTGTTTCTGCAAAGGTCACTTGCCCCTCTTGCTGCGGCTCTTCCTGGAGGGCAGTTTCCCACTGCCCCCGGAAGAGGCGGGGCTTGAGGCTGAGGCCATGGCAATGTTGATCTGCCCCTCTTGGATTTCCTGCCGGGTCTCAGCAGGCAGGTGGTTGATCTTCTGCTGTGCCTCCAGGTAGAACATGACATCACGCAGCTGCTCCTGGATCTCAGTGATCTGCAGATCCTTCTGGTCACAGGTCTCCTTCAAAACCCTCTCCTCCTCCTTCAGCTTGTTTTGCAGGAGGACCTGATTGGCTCGCAAACACTTGTTCATTTCCTGCTCCTCTTTGAGCTCTGTGGTGAGTTTGGCTACTTTTGTGTTTAGTTGAGTGCACCTTTTACAAAACAAAGGAAGACAAAGCACATTTTTCATTTGCTGACACAGACCTTTATCTACTCTGAGCTTGAACAGAGGAGCTATGATCTCAGAATCATTTAGGGTGGAATCCTCCCTACCTGTTCAGGGAGACTGGTTTGCTACCATTGCAACAGCTACACAAAGCAAGAATTTTGCACTACTTAACCCAAGTATAGCTTTAAGACAATTTTTCATTTTTAGGCATAGAAATTTTTCCATAGCAGAAACTATTCTGTGATGCATGGTTTACGGTAAAACGTCTACTGCTTCTCTAGTTTTGCAGTAGTGGTTAAATAGGTTTCAGAGAGGACAATGGTGATAAAGAAGTTATGAGGAAAAGTTACATTCTTGGAGAGTCAAGTGATCTGACCTCACTGCATTTATTACTCAGAAGTAAAGAACCACAAATTTAAACACCATTTTTATGTATCAGAATGCCAAAGAGCTCACACACACGGGAAGAGGCACTCCTACACATGGCACTGGAGTGAGAACTGGTACAAATTCTGAGTTAACTTAGAGCTAACTAGAAAGTCGAAATTTTCACATGGTCCTTTGATACAGCTACTCTACTTTTAGGAACTTATCCTGTAAACTAGATATACTCAGGAATGCGCTGAAAAGACACACGGAGAAAGATGCTCATCACAATGTTGTTTACAATAGTGGAAGACTTGAGACAACTTAAATGTCCATCAATGGGAACTGCCTGAAATTATTATGGGACCGCCCTAGCCAGTTTGACTCAGTGGATAGAGCCAGCCTGTGGACCAAAGGGTCCCGAGTTCAATTCCGATCAAGGGCATGTACCTTGGTAGCAGGCTCCCACCCAGGCTCTGGTTGGGACTTGTGCAGGAGGCAACCAATCAATGTGCTTCTCTCACATCGATGTTTCTCTCTGTCTTTCTCTCTTTCTTCCAACCTCCCTAAAAATAAATGGAGAAATGTCCTTGGGTGAAGATTAACAACAACAACAAAAAGTTTGCCTTAGCCAGTTTGGCTCAGTGGATAGAGCGATGGCTTGAGGACTGAAGGGTCCCAGGTTTGATTCCGGTCAAGGGCACATGCCCAGGTTTCGGGCTCAATCCCCAGTGGGGGGTGTGTAGGAGGCAGCTGATGGATGTTTCTGTCTCATCATTGATGTTTCTCTCTCTCTCTCCCTCTCCCTTCCTCTCTGAAATCAATAAAAATATATTTAAAAAATTATTATGGGACCTACACACAATGGAATACTACACAGCCATTACAAAGATCATGATAGAGCTAAAATGTGCCAGCATGAAAAAAATCTCCAGAGTATTTTACCAAATAGAATACGTAGTATTATTCTAATTGTGTAGAAAAAAAAGACTATGTATGTGAGATGTTTATATAGGTACAGCAGATCTGTAAGAGTAAATATTCACTGGTACTGTTAAATAATGGTTACTTCCAGATATTGGGATCTAGGAAAACACCTCCAGTTTTCACTTTTTAATTCTTTAATATAGTTCAATTTACTAAGGTGGTAAAAGTATAGGAGGATTTTTAATTTGTATTTCTACTAATGTTGGGATTTTATCACAGTGGTGTTTGTTTTTTTAAACCTTTGGTGAAGAGTTCCTGTTTGTGGTGATGAGAAATTTTGGAAACAGATGGTGGTGACAGTTGTACATTATGAATGTATTTAATGCCACTGAACTGTACACTTAAAAATGGTTACAAGTTTTCTGTTATATAGATTTTTTTTACCACACACATATAAAAAACTATTTTTAAAAATCCAACTTTTGGGGGAATGTGTGAAGGGTATACAGGAACTCTGTGCTACCTTATAACCTCTGTTAATCTACATTTACTCCAAGATAAAAGGTCTATTAAAAAACTTTTAAGGAACAATTATCACCCTTACATTTTTTTATCCATTTGTCTGGAGGTAAAAATCCAGTTATTTTTGTAAGTATAGCATAGACCAGAAAAGTAATTTTAATCAGTAATAACCATCTTCACATATAGCAGGGGTAGAGTGATGGTCTTGCCATGCTGTTCATGAGGTTTTTGCTCCATAGTCAATATCTTTGGCCTTTAATTCCTGTCTAAGGTCAGATCACATGCCATCTCTAGCTTAGACACAGTCTCTTTCCTATCATTTCTCAGCCACCATGGCTCAGAGAAGCTACAGGCTCTGGGAACAAGGAAATTGCTTTCTACAGACAAATGTACAAGATATCTGCACATTGCAGGAGAGAACACTGCATTCCCTATGGCATCCATCTGGCATGAAACACAGTGATTTTAATAAATAGGAAATCACAGTAAGTTTGCTCTACATATAGATAGACCCCTGAAAACCTGGTGATATATTTGAAAATGAGTATTTCCTGAGGAGTGAAGGAAATTATCTGTTTATGTTGCCTGTTACAATAAAATGCCTCCTTTAAAGAACAGACCAATTATACCTACTTTCTTTCCATAGACTGCTTTTCTTTTAGAAGGTCATTTAGTCTGTGCTCCAGATTATCACATTTCTCAATTGTTTCTTTAAATTTGGTCTTCATATTGTTAATCTGAAAAAACAAACAGAGATCAGTTTCTTTTTTTTTTTTTTTTTTAAATATACTTTATTGATTTTTTACAGAGAGGAAGGGAGAGAGATAGTTAGAAACATCGATGAGAGAGAAACATCGATCAGCTGCCTCCTGCACACCCCCTACTGGGGATGTGCCTGCAACCAAGGTATATGCCCTTGACCGGAATCGAACCTGGGACCCTTCAGTCCGCAGGCTGATGCTCTATCCACTGAGCCAAACCAGTTAGGGCAGAGATCAATTTCATTTCACAAAGACAAAGTTGTGTGGCCTTTGGAGCTAATTTCTCAAAAAAATTTTTTTCCAATTACCTGTGTATAACTTTGACAAGCCAATTTTAGAAAAGGTGAGATAATCATTTTAAAGAATTCCAGTAATAGGAATAAAATATTTGAGAAATTCTTTTTTTGGTTACTATTTCTCTATACCAGGATGAACAAAGGATCAGGAACTGCTGAGGGTCAAGTGAAACTGCTCGGAAGTAAAGGAACAGTTCCAGGCAGTAGAGCAGGAGACGGTTTGTCAGAGACACTGGAACGGGGCCTCCCCTCCCATGCTCAACTCACCATCGTTTTTCTCTTCCTGAGATTACACTCCAAAAACTATTATCCAAAGAATGCAAGAAACTCATCTACTCTAAGAATGATGTGATAACTGATTCTGTTTGGGGTTCCCCATCCCAATTCACTATTCAATTTCTCATGTACCATAAAGCCATATGGTACATGAATCAGTTCTTGTTTTATTGAGTTCATTTATAAAGGCAATATATATGAACTAATTCTTATTACACTGTCTTAAAAACTTACGAGAATTGAAAGATTCTGTTGTGTTATGTCAGATGGCAGCAATCCTAGCCAAGAGTCCCTGAAGTCTAGCTAGGCAGACACTAGATTCACTCAGGTGTGAAGATTTGGGAAATGCCTCAACTCTACCAGTCTAACAACATGGGAAGATTAGGTGAAAGGGGAAGTAGTGAGGCCAGGTCAGTGGTCAGCAAACTCATTAGTCAACAGAGCCAAATATCAATAGTACAATGATTGAAATTTCTTTTGAGAGCCAAATTTTTTAAACTTAAACTATATAGGTAGGTACATTGTTATTAACTTAATTAGGGTACTCCTAAGGCTTAGGAAGAGCCACACTCAAGGGGCCAAAGAGTCGCATGTGGCTCGTGAGCCACAGTTTGCCAACTACGAGGCTAGGTGAATCGTGAGGCAATAATCATAGGAACTGATAGTAACTGAGAATTTAAATCCTATGGCCCAGGCACCTGCTCGGTGTTTTGTAAGTAGTATCTCCTTATAATACACCTATGATTAGGTATGTCAACTTTTTACAGAAACAGAGGCTTTCAGAAAGGTGAGGTAATATACCCAAGGTTTACCCAGCTAAATAAAGTATGGTGGGTCCAGGACTGGACCCCAAGTCTGGATCCAAGGCCAAGTTCTAAACCTCTCTATAGCAAAAGAAAAGTGACCTCCGGTGAGTTCTAAACTCAGCAGAGATCCAGGAGAAAGGGCCATTGCTTTTAACATTTCCTTTTTAAACACTTGCCAATATGGCCTAACAGGTCTCTAAAAGCACTGTCCACCTTTTTAAAAAATATATATTTTTATTGATTTCAGAGAAGAAGGGACAGAGAGAGAGATAGAAACATCAATAATGAGAATCACTGATCGGCTGCCTTCTGCATGCCCCTACCGGGGATTGAGCTCACAACCTGGGCACGTGCCCTTTACCAGAACCAAACCTGGGACCCTTCAGTCTGCAGGCCGATATTCTATCCACTGAGCCAAACTGGCTAGAGCTGTCTCCCTTTTTGAATAATAAGAAAAAAACTACTTTGGAGAAATTAACTTTATAGCCTACTACCATTAAGTTATAAAAGCATGCAATTAAAGGGAGATTTCTGAGAGTTTTTCTATGTCATAAAAATAAAAATAGCCTTAAAATTGCTTTAATTCTAGTTTGGTATTCATTTTTCTCCTCAATATTGCTTTAACATAAAAGACCACTAAATCCTTTGACATTTTCTCCTAAACTGGCTCCTGTTAGTTTAGGGGAATTGGAAAGGACAGATATGGAATCAAATTGTAATGTTTTGGCCCTAGTTGGTTTGGCTCAGTGGCTAGAGCGTCGGCCTGCAGACTGAAGGGTCCCAGGTTCGATTCTGGCCAGGAGCACATGCCTGGGTTGTGGGCTCGATCCCCAGTAGGGGGCGTGCAGGAGGCAGCCGATCAATGATTCTCTCTCATCATTGATGTTTATCTCTCTCTCCCTCCTCCTTCCTCTCTGAAATCAATAAAGAAATATATATTTTTAAAAAATTGTAATGTTTTGGTCACTAAAGTGACTTAAACTGAACACATTTAAATAAAATGAAAAATATCAAGCAACACCAAGAAGCTTTCTAATATTACTATAGATGATGTTACAATGAGCTAAATTAGTGCTTTTTAAAACATTTCTGACCATTAGCCCAAAGTAAGAAACACCCAGGAACATAAAAAGACACAACTGAAACAGGAGTTTCGGAAAACAAAATTTAAATGTGATGCACTCTGATATTTTACGCCTATCCTATTCTGTTTAATAAAAATGCCAGTTGTGGTCCACCAAACTCATTTCCCACCCACAGCTGGAGAAACACTGTCTGAAAACATGGGTCTAGAGTTCAGAGAGAAAAGCGGCACCTGTGTTCTTCATATGTGGCCCCGTTAAAACTAAGCACCTTCAAGTGGGGATGAGCTTCATTTTCTAGCACAGACTCTGCTCACATGCTAGAATAATTGTACTACCTAAGGCAACGGGGGACAGGAATAGTATTATAACTGAAGTTCACAATCCATTTCAACCTTCACCCTCCCCCTCCCCCACATTAACTTTTTATGAGGCCCATGAACAAGAAGAATCTCTGTCAGTGAGATTCACGTCGGTTACTGTTAATCCTTGCACATGCTGGAGGTGCCAATGGACAGAAGAGTGGGCAAAAGGAGGACAGTGGCAGGAACAAAAGGCTTGAACCATCCATTACCTTATGGGTAAGCAACATTTGTTATTAGAGAACAAAGCATTCTTTTCAAGCCCTTCATGCTTTTCATTTAGGGCCTCCATATTACACCCTTCCTAAATGGAAACACAAGTTTCACAGTTTTTAGCTCCCCTGTCCCTGGACTTTTCATGGGCATGTGTTAGAGAATGCAGTTAATCCTAAAGAATCTTAAAAGGCAGAGAATCCTGAACTTAGCTCTCAAGGGTCTGCATGAAGCACTTCATGGTCACGCTGGGATAGCCCGTGGAAAAACCCATTAGTGAGGCTGCTCGGGTTGCCAGCTCTCTTCCAAATGCTGTCAGAGGTGTATCCTTCCCCCATGTACCCAATCAAGCCCTATTCAGAACTTGAGTGCCTCTGGAAAGGTATTTCCATTACTTGAGAGAGTCGTAAAGAATTTCATCAAGAACTTTGAACTAAACATCATTTTAAAGTTGGTGTTAAGCCTTATGTTTAAAAACCCAGTTTCTCGCCGAAACCGGTTTGGCTCAGTGGATAGAGCATCGGCCTGCGGACTGAAAGGTCCCGGGTTCGATTCCGGTCAAGGGCATGTACCTGGGTTGTGGGCACTTCCCCAGTGGGGGATGTGCAGGAGGCAGCTGATCGATGTTTCTCTCTCATCGATGTTTCTAACTCTCTATCTCTCTCTCTTCAACTCTGTAAACAAACAATAAAATATATTTTAAAAAAAACCACACACAAAAAAACCCAGTTTCTCATTTGTAGGCACACCCAGAAACCAGGGTGCCTGGGCCTGGCATAAAGTGAGAGCTCGGCCCTGCCTGCTAAGCTTCAGGATAATGCGACTCGGAGGTGAGCCTCAGGCCCAGCTCTGCATTCTCCATCTGAAGACCCAGTTACTGGTGGGGATTCACAAAATTAGTAAGACAATCATTTAAAAAAATCTCAAAGTCTTTATTTAATACTAAGGGAATTGATGAATTAAGAACACTGTCTATAGGTTCAGAAAATGGTTTCTAACATCCTAATTATACGTGAACCATGCAGTGCTCACTGGTTTTCAACCTCCTTCTTTGGGAACCTCTGAACTCCTGTACATGCTGGAGACAAAGGGAAAACCAAGCAGGTGGAGCTCTGGGCCCTTCATCTAGGTTTCAACCAAAACCACACCACTTTTCTCTTTTAAATATTGTAGTGAGTGGCATCTCTTTGAAAATGGCATCTTTGTTAAAATCTGAAGACACTGCCTGAGACCAGCAATTTTTAACCCTTTTCATCTCATGGCACACATAAACTAGTTACTAAAATTCTGCAGCACACCAAAAATGTATGCTTTGCAATCTGACAAAAAAAAGGGGGGGGAGGGGGATACATTTTGATTCATTCACACCAGGCAGCTATTGCTGTACTGGATGTTGTCATTTTTTTTATTTTACAATCTAGGGCAGTGGTCGGCAAACTCATTAGTCAACAGAGCCAAATATCAACAGTACAACGATTGAAATTTCTTTTGAGAGCCAAATTTTTTAAACTTAAACTATATAGGTAGGCACATTGTTATTAAATTAATTAGGGTACTCCTAAGGCTTAGGAAGAGCCACACTCAAGGGGCCAAAGAGCCACATGTGGCTCGAGAGCCGCAGTTTGCCGACCACGGATCTAGGGGAAAAGAAGTCCGTGCCCTGACTGCATAGTCAGGTATTCTATGTTTTAAAAATTCACACTGGTGTGCCATGGAACAACCAGTTGAAAATCACTGTCCTAGACCAATAAGGAAACATGGTTACCATTGAAGTTCTAGCATTTCTGCCCAATTTTGTTCCCATCAACTTCTAGAAGTAACATCTTGTTGCCTCAGAGGCCCATGTTCAGCTCCCCAAAGCAGCTGTTCCCAAGTTCACAAACCAACTGGCTGACTCAAATTACAAACTCTCATGTATATACTTCTTTTTTTAAATAGAATAACACAAGGCACTAGAAAACTTTATTGAAATTACCAAATAAAACCCCAAGCCCAAAATTTAAAGCTTTTAAATGCAAGATTTCTATTTTCCTTTCTTTTTTTTAAGGTACATGCCAGGAATTTTATTTCTTCCTTAACTTAGTTTGGTATAGAGCTCAGTATACAATAAGATTTTAATATATTCTTTTTGATTTAGTAATCTTAGGTGAGAATACATGTCTGCTTCTCTCCCCTTCTTATACTATACCTAGTTGATTGCATTTGCCTTTTTTATCTTTCTTTTCCTTTTTGACTAATTTCATTCTCATTGTGATCTAGCTCAGGGGTGGGCAAACTTTTTGACTCGGGCCACAATGGGTTCTTAAACTGGACCGGAGGGCTGGAACAAAAGCATGGATGGAGTGTTTGTGTGAACTAATATAAATTCAAAGTAAACATCATTACATAAAAGGGTACGGTCTTTTTTTTCAATAGTTTTATTCATTTCAAATGGGCGATCCAGCCCGCGGGCCGTAGTTTGCCCACGGCTGGTCTAGCTTGTCCCACAATAGTGCCTTCATAGGCTAAGTCTCTAATATAATGAAAATTCAGGTGTTTACCATTTCTCTCTGGAATCCTTACCTAGAGTTAGGTTACTGAGGTGAGCCAAATGATTCCAAATTGTTTTCTTTTCTTCTTTCCCCTAACTCCAGCTTTACTGCAACATAACTGACATACATAGAACAAAGGTTTCTTTTTAGAGGCAGAACAGTTCTTTACCTGTCTACCAGACTAAGAAGCAAGATTCAAAGATTCCTTTGTCTCTGTACTCTGCCTTTTCCCAAACCAACATCAGATTGCCCATGCCACGTGGCACTTCATCAGTCACTAAACCAGAAACTTACTTCTTCTGCTGTGTCCTTCTCTATCCGAACTATCTTGTTTTCCCAGTAGATTCGCTGTGATTCCAGCTGGCTTGTTAGTAAATATGAATACTGAAAACATAAATAATAAAACGTAAGTCACTGTTGTCAGTCTCTGAAATCCAATTAAAAGCTTACTTTTAATGGCCTACGGAAGAGTAAGAGTAACCATCAAATATATATTACACCTTGGTTCCACTCTACTCACTAAACCACAATTATACTCCTGATCTCCTGGAGCTTACAATCTAGTCAGGAACAAACAGGGAACTGTGCAGTAAAAAAACATATGTTCCTGTTCAAACTGACTTTCAGAACCACATGGTGCCCTAGCTGGTTTTGCTCAGTGGACAGAGCGTAGGCCTACAGACTGAAAGGTCCTGGGTTCGATTATGGTCAAGGGCACATGCCAGTAGGGGGTGTGCAGGAGGCAGCCAATCAATGATTCTCTCTCATCACTGCTGTTTCTCTCTCCCATTCCCTTCCTCTCTGAAATCAATAAAAATGTATTTTAAAAAAGACCCTCATGGTTTTTAAATCAAAGGGTAACTCAACTCAGGTTATCCATCTACCCTGTACCTCCCAGCCTTGGGTTACGTGCCCCCTTTCTCAGTTCCCACAGCACTATGCCTATCAATAGCACTTATAACACTAGCACTTAATTGCTGGTTTATCTGCCTGTCTTCCACGACTGGCCTCTTTGAAAGCAAGGGTTCTATCTTTATTTCTATATCCTCGGTGCCTGGCACATGGATGTTAAGAAACATTTGCTGCCTGCTTACATGGATGAATGAACAGTGCTGTGTAACTGCGGGGAAAGGATAGATGGCTTCTGACAGTAGGGCATAGTAGGACTTCTGAAAGAAAGAGATTTGAGAGGGCTCTTAACAGACAGGAAGAGGAGATAAAGAGAGAGGTATGGTTCCAGAGAACTACTGGACCTTGATGTGAGCTGTGATGTATATGTCTCTTCAGAGATGAAGAAGTACCAATAAGGCTGGGGTGTAGGGTGTGGAGAGTTGGGGTCTATGGAAGGCTCTGGGTTATCACATTGAGAATGTGGGCCTAGGCTTGGTCAGATCACACCTGCATTTTGGAAAGACTATTCTAGGAGACTAGCAGAGTCTAACCACATTCTAGAGAAGAAACTGAAAGTGCAACAGAGGGAAAGGACAATCGGGAGAATATGTGTGTGTGTCACCAGAATGTACACTCCATGAGGGCAGGGAGTTTGTTTAATGCTACATTCCCACCACCAGGAGGACGGCTGACAGACAGCAACCCTCAATGAATATTCATTGAATGACATACTATTATTAACTATTATGGAAGGGCTACTCATTCTAAAAACTTAATGTAAAAGATGTGAACTACTGTGATATATCAATATAATATTTTTTCAATATAATTTATTAACAGTAACAACATAAGCCTTATTTTAGGCCATTATACTGATCTATCAGACCTTAAGAGTCTGGAAATGAGCAAGTTTTTAAATGTCCATTTCCTCCCAAGGTTAAGATAATTATTTTTTAATTTATATAAAATAGGACTTGTGTTAAACTTCTTCATTAACATAAAATGCACATGACATCAATTTTATAGTAGACGGGATTTACTGGTATGGAGAAAACATAGACTGTGCTAATTTTGTTGTTTCTTCAAATATATGAGTACCCAAAAATGGCTTTATGTATACAGGCATCAAATTCATAAAATGTCAGCCAATATATAGGGAAAAGCTCCCTGGAAAGATAATATTGAGGTTTCCTCATTCCAACCAAGTCTGCTCAATTTACAACTGTTACTATAATGCCAACAGAAAGATTCTTAACTTCCAGTTTTAGAGCAGCTACAGAGGACAACCTTAATATTGAAACTTGAGACAACTCAGAATATCACATTGAAAATAAGGCACAGTGAAACTTAGACTTTCAAGGAAGAAAACCAGAATAAAAATATTCTAATAATCATTTATAGCAGTAAAAGAACTTTTTAAAAACAGTTGGCATGCAGAGTAAATGGCAAAATTAAGAATCTAAAACACCTTTCAAGTTAGAATAGTAAAAAGCTATTTAGTAATTACTAATAACTTATCTTACCTCTAACTGCAAGGCATCTATTTTCTCTTCCTGGCAAGTATCACCCTCACATTCATACTGTACTATTTTTCCATCTGTTTTACTTGCAACCAGTCGATGGACATAATTATCTAAAGAAAAGAATGAGTCAACCAAGGTCAGAATGAAAAGGGTCTCCCATACTATTTTAACTGACATTTTTGTTTTCACAGATCTAAATTGCAGTATTTCTTTAAAAGTGAGCTAGCCCTAAAAATAATAAATAAATAAATAATAATAAAAATAAAAGTGAGCTAGCCCTAGTGGATAGAGCATCAGCCTGCGAACTGAAGGTTCCCAGGTTCGATTCTGGTCAAGGGCACATGCCCGGGTGGCGGGCTCAATCCCCAGTGGGAGGCGTGCAGGAGGCAGCTGATCAATGATTCTCTCATCATTGATGTTTCTATCTCTCTTTCCCTCTCCCTTCCTCTCTGAAATCAATAAAAATATATATTTTTTTAAAAAGTGAGCTAAAGCATTTGAATTTAAAAAAGAGTGAAAGGCAAGAATGGAAATATTAAGGTGCAAACATTAATTTCTTTATAAGGTGCAACTCAGACCAGTCATAGGAAATCAAGCCCTATAGGGCTTGAGTTTGCCACAGCTGTCAGAAAGGTTTCAAGCTGTGAGAGATTCTGAAAGAGAAGTTTTCATACAGAATGAACCCAAATTCGAGAATGAGAGTGGTGTTCACCTCCAGCATAGTCCCAGACTCGATGGTTGGTGAGCTGCATGGCATATGTGTGCTGGGTTTCCTCAAAGTGCTTATAAGCATGTCGACTTACATATCGTCCACATCCTATGTGGCCACATATTAAGCAAATCCAAAGGTTCTGCCAAGAAAAAGGTATGATTTTAATTATATAAAAATACATGACAGATAATCTCTTTGCTGTTAGAAGCTTCATTTTGTAGAAGCAAAAGTTCTGGTACAGCAATCTGAACAGAGTAAGACACCAGCCATTCTAACTTTTTCCACTGTCATCCCTGAGTCTAAGCCCCCATGATCGCTGGCCTGGACTATTCCTGCCCATCTACATTTTGTCCTCCATACTGCAACCAGAGTGAACTTCAGCCCTAACCGCTTTGGCTCCGTGGATAGAGTGTCAGCCTGCGGACTGAAGGGTCCCAGGTTCGATTCCGGTCAAGGGCATGTACCTTGGTTGGGGGCACATCCCCAGTAGGGAGTGTGCAGAAGGCAGCTGATTGATATCTCTCTCATCGATGTTTCTAACTTTCTATCCCTCGCCCTTCCTCTCTGTAAAAACTCAATAAAATACATTAAAAAATAAAATAAATAAATAAATCCATCACATAGTTTGTCCTGGCTCTGCTATATCCAAGCATCTGGGATGATATCATGAAATCTCCGTGGGCCTCCGTTCCCTTATCTGTAAAATAGGGATGGTAATGGCATCGATCTCATAGGCTTGTTAAATGATTGAGTGCATAGCTGTAAAGCACGTAGAGCAGTCCAAGGACATAGTCAGCGCTGTGTTTGAACTTTTCAAATACAGTAACTGAAACTCCCTTTCCTTCTCAATACACTTAAACTTCAGACTCCTTACCTTGAGTCTCTAAGGCTCTACTCTACATCAAGCATGTCAAACTTGCGGCCTACATGAGTATTTTTGCAGCCCAGCCAATATAACGGTATGGAAGAAACACTTTAATAAAAATTTCGTAACTTAATTTTTACAATATCCTGTTATACATAATTATTAATAACAAACTACAACGTTCACTAATGACTGATTATTATAATTGTGTTGCATTCATTTCCCTTACAAGCCTACGTACAGGTGCACCATTTCTCTCTACTAATACTAGCGGCAAATATTTTAGCAGCTGATGGCCACATCATTAGTCTTGTACTGACTTGTTTGGTGTGCACAACAGGAAATATTTCGCTTTTGGAAAACAAGAAAAATAGGTTTATTTGTGTTACGCTTATTAATTTGTGCAGTTATTCAGTGTCTGGTAAGTTAATGTTTAAGAAAAAATATTTTTTATTAAAATGTTCTATTATTTTATGTTAACAATTACTTATTTATTTCAGCCCTTTGTCTTCAGCATGTCTCTATCAAAATAAACCTATGTTTCTATGAAAAAAAATAAAATAAAAATACATGACTGCCCGACTCATGGTAGGAAGGGGCTGACAGAGAATAAGATTTAGAGTTGTTTCTATAGAAGCTTTGAATAAATATATATTTAAAACCCAAAAGTAAGGATGCTTTTATGGGTCAATCATTTTCTTATTCTGACTTTAATGGAACTCCATGCAAATAGCAAGGAAAAAATTCATAACTTATCAATAAAAGTATAGGCTTTTTCAAAGAACAAAAAATAAAACCATAAAGTATTTTGCTTAGGTGTCAGTTTTTATAGTTATATTTCTTGCCTGACACTAGACAAAAAGAAAAAAAATCAGTCTCACAAAAGTATTTCAAGCCTCGCAAGGCAGAAAAAAATCCCAGACAATTAAAGCGGTGTTCATTATTCGTTCCCACCATGCATTACTTACTTCCTGAACACCACATTCAAAACACTTATTTTCTTCTACTGGCTCTGGAGTTTGACAGTACCGGCAAACAGGGCACCTATCCAAGACACCAAAAGATAATGACAGATTAAATAGAAAACAGCTGTTATACAACCCAACAGTAAAAAACTTAATTTTAAATACTCCTTCTCTAATATCTTTTATCATAACTAAAAATAGCACTCAAAATATACTTCTGAGCTATTTGCAAACAAAATGAAAAAAAAACAAACAAAAAAAAACCCCAAAATCTTGATAAAGCAGAGGAAAGGGAGAAATCTTCATCTGCCTCATACCTTTTCCCACTCTCCTGTCTAAAGCTTACATAATCAAAGGATTACATAATGGGCTAGAATTAGGGACTTGAGACAAGTTATTAATTTTTTCATGTCTAGGTACCCATAAGGTATTTTTACTTTAAATAATCTACCTTATACCCACTTTGAAAAGTTTAAATTATTTAAAATGAATCCAGTCCTCTCAAGGTTGCTATTAAGAGTTGAAACTAGCCGAAACCGGTTTGGCTCAGTGGATAGAGTGTTGGCCTGCGGACTGAAAGGTCCCAGGTTCGATTCCGGTCAAGGGCATGTACCTGGGTTGCGGGCACATCCCCAGTAGGAGATGTGCAGGAGGCAGCTGATCGATGTTTCTCTCTCATCGATGTTTCTAACTCTCTATCTCTCTCCCTTCTTCTCTGTAAAAAATCAATAAAATATATTAAAAAAAATTATTAAAAAAAAAAAGTTGAAACTAAACTCTAGTAAATTTCACCAAATTAAAAATAAAGTAAGTCAATGTACTTCCTGAAATGCACATGACACATATAAGGAACATCATGTGCAAGAAGATACCAGCGCTCTGTGAGTACTCAAGTTTCAATTTACAAAATGCAATAAAAACAGCAGTGAAGTCCTAGCTGGTTTGGCTCAATGAATAGAGCGTCGACCTGTGGACTGAAAGGTCCCAGGTTTGACTCTGGTCAAGGGCACATGCCTGGGTTGCAGGCTCGATTCCCACTGTGGGGTGTACAGGAGGCAGCTGATCAATGATTCTCTCTCATTATTGATGTTTCTATCTCTCTCTCTCCCTTCCTCTCTGAAGTCAATAAAAATATATTTAAAAAAACAAACAAAAAACGATAGTGAAGCCAAACTCATAGATACATAGAGTAGAAAGATGGTGACCAGGGTCCAGGGGATAGGAAAATAGGAAGATGTCAAGGGATACAAAGTTTCAGTTATGTAAGACGAGTAAGTTCGTAGAATTGGTGCACATTAATGTGACTACAGTTAATATTATACTGTGTACTTGAAATCTGCTAAGAGGGTAGATCTTGGGTGTTCTTACCACACACACACACACACACAAAAAAAAGGAAAAAGGGAAATGGTAAAAGTATGAGTGATGGATTATGTTAATTGGCTTGGCTGTGGTGAATATTTAATATTTCACAATGTATACGTAGATTGGGTCATCAAGTCATACATCTTAAATATATAATTTCTGACTGTCAATTATACCTCAATAAAATTGAAAAAAGGGACACTGAAAAAATCCATTAACCCTTTTCAATTATACTTAAGGCAAAGTAACTGAGTTAAGTACTAGCCATTAATATTTTTGTCAGATGGGCAAAGATGACACAAAGTGAACTATTGTTGAGGCTAACTGAATTGGCACAAGAAGAAAGAATGCTCAAGAAACAACTAGTATCAGTTTGTTACCCAACTGCATAAATAAAACCAACAAAAGGAAATCAGCAGGAAGAACACAGAGTTCTTGTCACAGAAAAAGAGTCTATGTTGCCCTAGCTGGTTTGGCTCAGTGGATAGAGCATCAGCCTGTGGACTGAAGGGTCCCAGGGTCGATTCTGGTCAAGGATACATGCCCAGGTTTCGGGCTTGATCCCCAGTAGGGGGTATGCAGGAGGCAGCCAATCAATGATTCTCTCTCATCATTGATGTTTCTATCTCTCTCCCTCCCCCTCCCCACTCCACCTCCCAGAAATCAATAAAAATATATATAAAAAGAAAAGTCTGTGTTCCTAAGAGAAAGTTAAAGGATCCAGTCTGTCTCTTTCTTCAGTATCAACAGAAAAGACAGAAGACAACTTGAAGAAATAACGAAATGGCAGCTGGTAAGCAGCAGGCATCTTGTCAAAGCTAGAAACTAGCCCTCTGCCATCCCTGTGGTCTGTGTGGCAGCTGTAGTAGTGGTTGGATAAGAAAACAACAAACTAATTCTGAAATCTAAGTGTCAGAATGGCCTTTGTGAACTGTATGTATGACCCTGAGAATGAAAAGGAAAAAAGGAGCCCAGCCTGAGTGGCTCAGTGGTTGAGCGTTGACACATGAACCAGGATCTCACGGTTCAATTCCCAGTCAGGGCACAAGCCCCGTTTCAGGCTTGATTCCCATTAGCGGAAGTGCAGGAGGCAGCCAATCAATAATTCTCTCTTATCACTGATGTTTCAATCTCTCTCTCCCTCTTCCTTCTCTGAAATCAATAAAAACATATATATTTTTTAAAGTCAAATACTTGGACTGGTTCACTTTTGGTGGTGGCTATTTTAATTCTGGGAAAGGATAAGAGTGGGCTTTAATAGGGTTGGGAGATGAGCTCGCTCCTGTACTCACGTCGTGTCATCCCAGCGCTGCAAACACTGACTGTGGAAGCTGTGGTTACATAACGTCGTGAGGATGCCATTCACGGACTCATCCATGCGCTCCAGACACACTGTGCACTTGGGGAGCTCGGTCAGATCCATCACAGGGAGACTGGCACCCTAGAATGAAACTCCTCACATAAGCCTCACTCTTCATCCACCAGTTCTAATTTTTTAAAACAACAGTTTTCCTATTGCCTTTTGACTCCTGGAAGGATATTCTCAACATTATTGCTCTGTGAAAATAATTTAAAATTTTTGTTCAAGCAACAAATACTGATTGAGCGCCTCCGATCTTCCCAGCACTGTGCTAGGCACTGGGGATACAGAGGAAAACAAAGCAGACAAAGATCCCTGCCCTCACAGAGCTGACATTCTAGGAAGGGAGACTGCCTCCAAAACCTTAAAACAGAGAATCTAAAATGTCAACAGGCTCCTAACTCTAAGTGTAAAGGTCTATGATTATAACAGAATACAAATGAAGAAAAGCAGCAGAGTCTGGCTGGCAGGTGTGAGTGTCAACCTATGAACCAGGAAGTCACAGTTCAATTCGGGTCAGGACACATGCCCAGGTGGCCAGCTCCATCCCCAGTAGGGGGTGTGCAGGCGGCAGCCAATCAATGATTCTCTCATCATTGATGTTTCTCTCTATCCTTCTCCCTTCCTCTCTAAAATAAATAAAAACATAATAAATTAGGATGGGGACTAAGGGTTGATATTTAAAATAAAAACACTTCTTTTAGGCTCTAGGCAATGTTTCATTGATCTAGAATAGATGAACCTAATTTTCAATGATACACATAATATCCTTTTATTTATTTATTTACATTTTTGGACAATTTTTAAAACAGACATAAAATTCACCAAAGTATACAATTCAGTGGGTGTTTATTGTTTTGTTTTGTTTTTTGGTTATTCACAAGTTTGAGCAACCATCACCACAACCTAGTTCTAGAACATTTCTATCATTTTGAAAAGAAACCTCGTTTTCATCAGCAGTTACTCTCCTCTTACCCCGACCTCTGGCAATCATTCATCTACTTTCTGTCTCTATGGATTGGCCTATTTTGGACATTTCCGTAGATATCGTACTGTTCAACTTTATACCATTCTGATATGTATATCAAATATAAGGATTATTCATACTTACATCTTCAGATTTCAGTACTTCAGCCCTTTCCACATAGACCAGCTGGCAAACATCATCTTCTATTGAGTTGAACTGGCGGCCATTGCATGCCATATAAAAACTATCTGCATCAGCCTAGGTACACCAATGGGGAAAAGAAAAAAATTGAGAGCCTGAAAACGCGCTTTATATTCAAGATGCATAGGTTCAATTATTCTCTTCATTGTCTTTTAAAACTTATACTTGAGAGAGAGAAAAATCAACGAACGGCCAAAAGTAACATCTGCAGAAGCAGGAAGCAGGTTCATAGGCTAATCGAACTCTGCAGCTCAATATCCTACATCTCTACAATGTTTCCTGACACATGATAGTTTTACTGGAACAAGAAGCAGCTACTAATGTGTAATAAACTGACAGCTAGTATAATTTTATTATTCGACCAGCAATGGTCAACACTTCCCTTGATAGCAGTATTTTTTTCTCCTCTAGTCAGCACTTTCATAGCAGCTGAAAGCAAAACACTTATTTTTGCAAAGCTTGGAACCAAATCCTAATGGAAGATTGTTAGGGAATAGTCATTTTCAAAATATGTCAGCATCTATGTTCAAAAAAATAAAGGACATGTGGAACTGGAATGAAAAGCTAAGATCTCTTCAAGAAACCAAGTAATAATGATACATGATAAGGATCCCATAAGGAAATTTAAGCAACCCAGTGTGTAATACCAAAAGCAAAGCTCTTGGCTAAAATCAAGATGAATGAGCCTTTGAAATACTAAGCCTCCTTCCCTTGGAGTGAAAGATAGATGGAATTAGAAGAAAAAGTCCCTTGCAAAGGCATAAATGCATTTGTGAATATGGACACAAGTAAATCAAACCTAGACTAGCCTTAGTAGAAAGTAACAAAGAGATGATTTCAGTTTTTAAACTCAGTAATTTTTAGAGGCAGCTAGAGGCCAAGGCTTGTCTGGGTTTCACTCCCACACGGCCATTAGCCCAAACATAGGAAGCTGTGCGCTTTGGCCCTGTCAATGTAGACAGGCTGCTTGTGGGGAGGAAGGGTATCTGCAAAAGAAAATGCCACATTGTTAACATCTAAGAAGAGATTCAAGTCTGTAGCAGGCAAAAATTGTCCTGCAGGTCTACCTTCATGGGGTTCTGAATCTTTAACAGCAAAAGCTTACAATGAGCTTTTCACAGCTTTAAATGTCATTCTAATGATGTAATCAAGTATGGATTCTTGATTATTTATGCTTTTTTAATATGAGCAAGGGAGCTAAACAGCTGAGAAAGGACAACCAATTCTGAACAGTTATATTTAGGTGGGGGGTAGGGAGGTTTTCTTTCAGGAAACAACCTAGTGTACAGACTACAATTCATTTTAACGTCAAAATGTTAAGAGCTAGTTCTTCGATAATACATTTTCTTTAATACTAAGAAGAGGCAATCTAATGGCTTCCCCCATTCTTTAAGAGTAATGACTTCTTGCCCTGACCGGTTTGGCTCAGTGGATAGAGCGTCGGCCTGCGGACTCAAGGGTCCCAGGGTCGATTCGGGTCAAGGGCATGTACCTTGGTTGCGGGCACATCCCCAATAGGGGGTGTGCAGGAGGCAGCTAATCAATGTTTCTAACTCTCTATCCCTCTCCCTTCCTCTCTGTAAAAAATCAATAAAATATATTAAAAAAAAAAAAAAAAAGAGTAATGTCTTCTTCCTGAAATGTTTACAGATGAGGAAGCAGCACAGTGAGCAAATGGATTCATGTTCTGAGGAAAGTGACAGGTTGGGAATGAGGGCCACTGGTCAGCTCTTCGGGGTCCCAAGCACCAGGAGCTGCGCCAGCTGAGTGAGGAAAGGAAGACCCCTCCTTGAGCCTCCAGCTCTGTAAATGCTCACTAAGCGACTATGCCTCCTCAGAGGAAGGAACAAGGTTTGTGTGACACAGGGCATGTGATGAATTCTATTCAGCACCAGATAAATTAATCCTTTCTGGAGGGAGTTGTTTATACCGAAGAAATGTATTTTTTGAACACACTGATCTCTTCTTTAAAATCTTGGTATTGGAAATGTAGCTTCACTTTTTCAAATATTTACTGAGTACCTAGCATATGTCAATAGAAAACAAAATACACATGGTTCCCACTTCAACCCACCACTGAAGTGCACAAAAGCATGAAGCTAACTGCAAAATTCGCAAAATAAACAACTCTTTTATTTAAAATGTTTGCACTGTATAGAGCCCAAAATTTAAAGAAACCAGCTTTTGTTTTTTCCTTAGTCCTTGTTCCTACTGTTCCTGTCTCAGGATAAATTTGAGAAAAAGAAAAATCCATCATGATCAAGGTTCCTTTATCATCATGATGATCACTATAGTATTGAGAACACATTTTTACTTCTCAAAAGAGGGGTCTTGCTGGGCCACGGTTGCTCAGTGGTTGAGTGTAGACCCATGAACCACGAAGTCACGGTTGGATTCCTCATCAGGGCACCTGGCCCGGGTTGTGGGCTTGATCCCCAGTCTGAAGGCAGACGATCAACGATTTTCATCACTGATGTTTCTATCTCTCTCTCTTCCTTTCCCTTCCTCTCTGAATTCAATAAAATATATTTTAAAAAAGAGGGGTCTTCAAGGTTGCCCTAAGCATGCAAGTAAAAACGAGCCCACACACACTATCCTCTCAAAAGTTTTGTTCCCAAGAAATATGAAATTGAACCTCCTGTCTTCCTGTGTCCTGATGAATTACAAATTCTTTAACTAAAGACTAAATTTCCTAAAGGTTACAGTAAACTTTGTGAGTACATCCTATATAATAAAAGGCTAATATGCAAACAGACCAAACGGCAGAATGACTGGTCGCTATGAAGTGCACTGACCCACAGGGGGCAGATGCTCAACGCAGGAGCTGCCTCCTGGTGGTGAGTGCACCAGAAGCCAGGCTCGTGGCTGGTGAGCACAGTGGCGGTGGCAGGAGCCTCTCCTGCCTCCATGGCAGTGTTAGGGATGTCTGACTGCAGGCCCATGGGGAGCGGGCCTAAGCCACCAGTTGGACATCCCCCAAGGGCTCCTGGACTGAGAGAGGGTACAGGCCCGGCTGAGGGACCCCCCCCCCGGAAGTGCACAAATTTTGTGCAACAGGTCTCTAGTCTCTTTATAATACCTCCAGCAAAAAGCTGAGGCCAAAAGAAATTCATGAGGTTATAAAAGATAGAGAGAAGGTCCATTATTTTTTTATTATTATTTTTTATTGATTTCAGAGAGGAAAGAAGAGGGAGAGATAAAAACATCAATGATGAGACAGAATCATAGATTGGCTGCCTCCTGCACGCTCCCCGTTGGGGATTGAGCCCACAACCCAGGCATGTGCCCTTGACCAGAATCAAAGCCGGGACCCTTCAGTCCACAGGCCAAAACTCTATCCACTGAGCCAAACCAGCTAGGGTGGTCCATTATTTCTTAATAATAATTCTCTGGTGAGAAAAAGGAATAAGAATATAGCCTGGCCAGTGTGGTTTAGTGGTTGAGTGTGGACCTCTGAACCAGGTCATGGTTCAATTCCTGATCAGGGCACATGCCCGAGTCACACTCAATCCTCAATGGGGGCATGCAGGAGGCAGCCAATCAATGATTCTCTCTCATCATTGATGTTTCTATCTCTCTTTTCCTCTTCCTTCCTCTCTGAAATCAATAAAAATATATTTAAAAAAAAAATACAGTTAGCTGCCCAGGCTATGGAGTTAGGCTGCCTGGGCTTCAATTCCCAGCTCTGACAACTATTAGCTGTGTAGCTTTGGGCAAGGGACTTATTCACCCTTGTTCCCACAATTACATAAGTAACATAACAACATCTACTTCATGGCATTATTGAGAGGACTCAAGGAGCTAATGCATGAAAAGCACTTAGCACAGGCCTGGCATCTATCTAAGCAAGTGTTTAACATGTGGTAACTACTGAGTCTATTATTTTCATTAGGGCCCAATATTAATTTAATAACACCAAGTCTTATACTAGGAGGGTGCTTGTAGGCCTTAGAAAGTCCCTGATAGGATGAGCCTCTGACCCTAAGATCCAGCATTAACGATAATACAACTCATGACACCAAAGTCAAGGGTTCCGTCCTCATGGGGAAGAGCATGCAGTAAGCTATTTCAAAGTTTTAGAAAACATTCATCAACTTGAGCAACGTGCACTTGATCAAAAGACAGAGGTACAGAGCCAATGCATGAGTACAAAGAAATGTATTAACAGTAATAGCAAATTCCCACAGCATTATCTGCACACTATGAGGCACTTGTTAGAAGAAAATTTGTGGGTTTTTTAGACTTCAGACTAACAAATCTAATATGTTCTTAAACATTTTCTCCAATCTGTTTCTGTGATTTTTCCTTTTTCTGATCGGCTTTGTTAAGTAGGAGCAGTAACTAAATTACTGCCATTACACAATTTCTTGCAGACAGTGACTATCTCCCCTTTCCCACACTTTCATACCACTCCTTAAGGTAAGAGGGGTACACCCTAGGACAGTGATGGCGAACCTATGACATGCGTGTCAGAGGTGACACGCGAACTCATTTTTTTGGTTGATTTTTCTTTGTTAAATGGCATTTAAATATATAAAATAAATATCAAAAATATAAATCTTTGTTTTACTATGGTTGCAAATATAAAAAAATTTCTATATGTGACATGGCATCAGAGTTAAGTTAGGGTTTTTCAAAATGCTGACACGCCAAGCTCAAAAGGTTCGCCATCACTGCCCTAGGGATTAAACGTGAGGGGTCAATCCCCAGCTCAGTCACTTACATCTAGCTATGTAACCCTGGGCAAATTCCCAACCTCTCTCAGCAGCTAGTTTCCTCATTTTGTAAAACAAGGATAACAACAGTACTTATCTACCTCACAGGGTTTCTAGTGAGGATGAAATGCGATAACTCACATTAAGCATTTAGCACTGTGAATGGTAGAGAACAAGTAGTCTATCTTATTATTACTTTTACCAGGTTTAAAAGGTTTAACATACCACTTGCCCATTTATTGCAAAACTCTTCACTGACCTCGGGTCTCTTGACAATGAAAGCAGTTGTTTAAGTGCTTTTCCATTCTCAACTTGTAGGACAGTTGAAACATTTCTTTTAAATGTCTCGTTCAATGATAGGGTGCTTTGGAAGGTTAAAGGTAATTGTGCACCCTCTTATACACAGAACTCCATTCTAAGTGTTCTCTTTCTGTGGGGCATGGAACAGATAATAAAACTCTCACTTCTCTTAACTTCCTTCCCATGAACAATGAATGGCTGCTACTGCTGTCAACATTGGATTTTCTATAACGAAGAAGGAAATGCCTAGTGGATCTTGCGTCATGGGCTCCTTTTCACCCACCAATCTCAGTGACCAGTCAGAGACAAAGGCAAATGACCCTACAGGAACACCCATCTTTGCCAATCTGCAAATGAGGTGAGATTGAAGTAATTTTTGACAAAGCCGCATTTCAAAACTAATGAATAGACAAATATAACAGGCTATTAAAAAAAACCACACAGATTGAATGAAACCTACAGATAAGGTAGCTCTTTAATAACCTGGATAACACCTAAAGCTTACCTCATTTTTATATGCATAAAGAAATATGCATACTCCTAAGAATATCTTTCTAACATCTTTAGAACTGAGACACGTAAAGTATGAGTTATAATGCACAAGTGCTTTTAAAAACTGAAAATATCACCACTCTTTCAGTGTTTGTTTCTCTATTCTCTATTTCCAATCAGAATTCTAGAGCATCTTTAATACGTCAAGGAATGTCACAAAAATCCCTTGTCACCAAAATTTTTTTAAAAAAGAGAGATCTTATTTTCTAAAATGTGCCAAAGAAGGTCTTTTAAAAAGAGCATGAAAGAAGCAGGGGCACAAGTGTTATAATGGCAAATTAATAATTGCTGTCAACTTTTAAAAGTTTGGAAACTATTGTTCTACTGGAATAGTTACTATTGGATAAAAAAAAACCAAATACAACCCTAGATTTCATACCAAATCTGATTTATAAAAAAGTATGGGTATGAATTAGAAAATTCAGTGTCTGCAAATTAATTTAGAAGTAATTCTAGAATTACAATATCCTAGAAGATAAGTTATGAATCTTAAGTGCAAAATGCTGTAAAGCACACACAGCTAATATTATACAATTTCAAAAACACAGTTTCTGTGGCAAAGAGATTTTTAATATATCTTAACTTTTACCTGTGCACTAAACTTTATCAGCACCATATATTGATTTGGAGTAGAGTCTCTGATGATTTTCATTTGTTCAATTACTTCATTAAATGGGGCGACAAACTTCATAAGGTCATGACTGGTCATTGTAGCAGGGACTGTGAGAATACACAGCATGGCACTGCGCCTCACATCTTCTTTTAAGGAGGTCATCTTACTAATAAGACAATAATTAGACTGTCTTGAATAGACGTATAGTTAGTTCACACAACACTAATTAGACAACTTTTACGTCCAATAGGAAAAATAAAACATCTAATACTTTACATATCAATTAAACAGCTTATTATTTTATTTGAAAATCCATACTACATAGGTAAATGCAGAATCCCTTAAATATATCTGCCATGGAGTTTAAGGTAAGCTTCGTAATGTTCTACATTACACACACCAGTGAAATTTTTAATCTTTAGTTAAAAGTTTGTTATGGTTACAAATCTGCATTAGGCAAATTTGCAGTTTGTTGTTTTATTTTCGTTGTTCTTGTTTAATTTTTTAAATAATAATCTCTCACTCAGCTGGCATGGCTCAGTGATTGAGCGCTGACCTATGAACCAGGAGGTCACGGGTTCTCCCAGTTAGGGCACCCGAGCTCGATCCCCAGTGTGAGGCATGCAGGGGGCAACCGATCAATGATGCTCTCTCATCATATCTCTCTCCCTCCTCCTTCCTCTCTGAAATAAATAAAAATATATATTAAAAAAAATCTCTCATTGTGTAACTTGGAAGTACAATGCTAACTCTGGACTTCTCTTAAGGGTCTAGAACAGGGGTGGGCAAACTTTTTGACTCTAGGGCCACAATGGGTTTTTAAACTGGACTCAGAAGAAGGAGCTGCGGCCGTGTTTCCGACGTTGCCATGTTAACACTGCTGCTGGTGAAGGAGCGGAGGGGAGAGCAAGAGAACCCTCCGCTCTTTCGGCTCCGCGGGCCGGATAGAACAGCCGAACGGGCCGGATCCAGCCCGTGGGCCGTAGTTTGCCCACGGCTGGTCTAGAAGATAAAAGAGCTCTAAATATAAGAAAGAGAATTCTGAACCATGAAGATGTGACTCTGAAGATTACAGAAAGTGTTGCTGGGTTGTAATAGCTGGAATGGGGGTGGGGAAGATTCTTCCTAGCCTTTTTGAAATGGTGCAAACTCACTTCAACAGCTGTGATTCCACATGGCTACCTGAATATTCTGAGTATTCACTATTTCCCTGTAGGAACTTAGCATCCGAGTTAGGGTAAGGACAGCCTTTAAAGAAATCAATTACTAATTATCCCAGAAGCTGATGGCCCAGCTTATAGATTTAGTCAAATGCTTCCTTTCTGTTGGCCTCCTGCAAGCCTACTGCTTGGACCACAGAAAAGGGTTAAAAGAGGTGATGAAATTGCTACCATTACCTGATTTCTTAGTTTCTTTCATAAAGATTTGGTGGGGATATGAGACTACTGTGATGTTATGGATCATTTGTAATTTTCCTTTCCTATCTTCTTTCCTTTCCCTTTACCAATCATCTTGCATGCCTACCTTCTCAGGGAATATTTTCTAGGAAGGCCATTTACACATTTCTTTTATAAGGAGAAGCTCTGACCCAATCTACAAGATTAACCAAATGTAAAACATTTAAGAATTCTCTAACACACAATATATGAAAGTACTATGTTTTTGAAGCTTAAAATACACACTTCCCTTCAGGGTAAAAGATTTTTCTCCTCCCTAAAGCAAAAAATAGACCAACTCAAAAGGAAAAAGGTTTTTCTTACTTTGTCTTATATAGATGCATAATACCATGAACTATTTCAACTGATGGATTTCCACTGAAGAATGAAATCTGGTCTGGAAGCTGTTTGGATGGAGAATCGGGAGCAGTATTTACACTTTCTTTACTTTGATCTTTACTTTTCTGTGCAGTGGGGGATGCTTCTGAAGACTTTGTTTCTTCCATTGCAGCTTTCAGGTCATCTTTCACAAATCAAAAATTAGCAGATTATAAAATGATAGGAAATATGCTGAAGGATTCTAATTAGATTAAAATTTTGAGTCAGAATAATGAACTCTGACAGAGAAATTGTCATGTATTAAGAACTACATTCACAGAACAGCCATGTTTTGGGGGCATCTCAACTTGAAAGTGCTCTTTCCTCCATAAAAATCCCATTATCGCCCTCAAGGTGACTCTTACATCTACCTATCTATAATAATAAAAGGGTAATATGCCAAATAGACCGGATGTCCTTCCTGATGAAGCCGGGGCCAGAGGGAAGCAGCTGGGGTCCTGGGTGCCTGCTGTTGGCAAGAGGAGGGAAGATCAGGTCCCAGGTGCCAGAGGGAAGCCGGTGCCAGCAGCCGGGGGAAGGAAGGCCTACTCTTGCACAAATTTTTGTGCATCAGACCTCTAGTCCTATCTAATAAAAGCGAAACATGGTAATTAGCCATACGACCGCTACCCTTCCATTGGCTAATCAGGGTGATATGCAAATTAACTGCCAGCCAAGATGGCGGCCGACAGCCAGGCAGCTGGAAGCGAATATGAGGCTTGCTTGCTTCAGTGACAGAGGAAACCAACGTTCCCAGCCAGCCTTGCAGGGCTCTGAGCTTGCAGTTTGAAACATTGTAACAAATATAGAAGCTAAACAAAACCCCAGAAACCTGCTTTCAGCCAGCCGGGATCTCAGAGCTGGAGTTGATACAGAGTTTCGATTATAGAACCCAAACAAACCAGATACCTGCTTTCAGCAGGAGAGGCCTCAGAGCTGGAGCCAGAGCTAAAGCTGGCCCAGAATAAAAAAAAAAAGAAAAAAAGGAGCAGTTGGGAGCTTCAGTCACCCGACAGCCTGAAAACAGCCCTCAGCCCCTCCCTCACCCAGACTGGCCAGGCACCCCAGTGGGGACCCCCACCCTGAAGGGTGTGTGACCAGCTGCAAACAGCCATCATCCCCTCACCCAGGCTGGCCAGGCACCCCAGTGGGGAACCCCACCCTGATCCAGGACACCCTTCAGGGCAAACCAGCCAGCCCCCACCCATGCACCAGGCCTCTATCCTATATAGTAAAAGGGTAATATGCCTCCCAGCACCAGGATCAGCAGAGCCGAGAGGCCTCCCGGCCCCGGGATCAGCGTGACAGGGGGCAGTGCCCCAACCCCCTGATCGCCCCGCGGCTCTGTGTGTGACAGGGTGCAGTGCCCCAACCTCCCCCCCCCCCCCCCCCCCCCCCGCACGGGCCCTGCTCTGTGTGTGATGGGGTAGAGCCATAACCTTCCCATCGGCCCTGCCCTGAGTGTGAGAGTGGCAGCGCCCCAACCCCCTGATCGGCCCTGCTCTGTGGGTGATAGAGAGCGGCGCCCCAACCCCCTGATCCGCCCTGCTCTGTGTGTGACAGGGGGTGGCGCCGCAACCTCCCCATCGACCCTGCCTTGAGTGTGACAGGGGGCGGTGCCCCAACCCCCCAATCAGCCCTACCCTGAGTGTGACTGAGGGTGTCATCGCAACCTCCCAATCTGCCCTGCTCTGTGCATGACAGGGGGCGGCGCCCCAACTCCCCAATCGGCCCTGCTCTGAGCCCAACCAGGGGCTGCACCTAGGGATTGGGCCTGCCCTCTGCCACCCGGGAGCAGGCCTAAGCCAGCAGGTCGTTATCTCCCGAGGGGTCCCAGACTGTGAGAGGGCACAGGTCGGGCTGAGGGCCCCCTCCCCTTCCCCCCCAGTGCACAAATTTTTGTGCACCGGGCCTCTAGTATATATATAAAAGCCCAATATGTTAAGTGTCCGCCTGTTCGGTCAACCGCTCGACCAGTCTCTATGATGTGCACTGACCACCAGGGGGCAGATGCTCTGACTGGTAGGTTAGCTTGCTGCTGGGGTCCAGCCTGTCCCTGATCAGAACTGGGTGAGAGGGGCCAGACACACCCTGGAGCCCTCCCACAGTCCCTCCCCAGCCTCTAAAATATTTCTACTAATTAATTTCCTTTCGATGTGCATGAATTCGTGTACTGGGCCTCTAGTTTGTTAATATCATAATAAAAGCAGGTGCCTTACATCATGTACTTTTAAATAGGACAAACATTCAGAGCTATTAAGTTTGAAAACCAACCCTACCAGTTCTAACCACCTCCATGCTGGAGATGTAGTATACATCCACTCATCCACTCCCCTGGCTGGAGTGAGCTGGCAGAGCAGGGAGAGACACAACATGCTTATTTGTATTCATTCATGATCTGCCACTGACCTAGGTGGTAAGTAGCTCTCCTCACTGAATAGAGTTGTCAACCCAGATTGTTAGGATTAATTTAGAAGAAATATTTGGGGAAGTTGAAATGTGCCTTAGCAATCTCATGTAAGGCACACAGTCAGTGAAAGATAAAAGTATGCTAAAAAGCATGGGCTCACTGACCAACATGTGTAAACAGGCAACCAGAGGTTTACGTTACAAAAGAGTCTAGGGCAGGGGTGGGCAAACTTTTTGACTCGAGGGACACAATGGGTTCTTAAACTGGACCGGAGGGCCTGAACAAAAGCATGGATGGAGTGTTTGTGTGAACTAATATAAATTCAAAGTAAACATCATTACATTAAAGGGTACGGTCTTTTTTTTTTTTTTTTTTTTTTTAGTTTTATTCATTTCAAAGGGGCCGGATCCAGCCCTCGGGCCGTAGTTTGCCCACAGCTGGTCTAGGGTTTTATAAAGCATACCTGGGTTGGACTTCATGGTCTCAATGATCACGTCTGTCATTTCTCGACGGCCAAGATGCTGATGTATGATTGCTGCTTTCTCCCCTGGTGACTTCCCTTCTAAACAGGCTACAGCTGAAGCTAGTGTCTTCTCTTTGATCTCCGCATCGGACATTTCCCCGGCTAAAGAACACATGAATGATTAATACCTGATAATAAAACAGGCTCTTTTCCACTCTTAATGTATCCACCGATAGGTTTCCCTTTTCTCTGCTGCTTTCCTGACGACGCCGTTGCAGTGTCCATCTCACTCACTTCTGGGGCTCCTGCAGTGCCCAGCAGACAGTCAATCAACACCCAGGGCAATAAATTCAGAAACGCGGGGCTGTTCTAGGGAAATTATTCACTTCTAAAGCAATTTAATGAGAGCAACCCCTTGAAGGAGGTTTGACAGTGATTATGCCCAGATGAACCAACCTTTTTGTAATACCTAGTAAAGCACAAGAACCCAAAATAAAGTACCAAATCATTATCATTAATAAAGAAAACTTACAAGCCGACACCAGTTTGGCTCAGTGGATAGAGCGTTGGCCTGTGGACTGAAAGGTCCCAGGTTCGATTCTGGTCAAGGGCATGTGCCTGGGTTGCGAGCACATCCCCAGTGGGAGGTGTGCAGGAGGCAGCTGATCGATGTTTCTTTCTCGTCGATGTTTCTAACTCTCTCTCTCTCCCCCTTCCTCTCTGTAAAAAATCAATAAAATATATTTAAAAAAAAGAAAAAAAGAAAACTTACAAAAATTTTTAGGGGTAGCCTTCTTCAACACCCTGTATCGGAGTCATCTCCTGCCAATCTGTGATCACTGTCTCCAGTCAATGGAAAAGGAATTTGGAGACGTGACTGAACTATCCTGGCTATCAGGCCCATCAGGGCAGAGACCAGGCCTGTTGTGTCCACCGCTCACCCCACAGCGCCTAGCACGCATTTAAAGATTCCCTGAATAATGCCGAACCGGTTTGGCTCAGTGGATAGAGCGACGGCCTGTGGACTGAAGGGTCCCAGGTTCGATTCCGGTCAAGGTCATGTACCTTGGTTGTGGGCACTTCCCCCATAAGGGGTGTGCAGGAGGCAGCTGATCAATTTCTCTCATTGATGATTCTAACTCTCTATCCCTCTCCCTTCTTCTCTGTAAAAAATCAATAAAATATATATACATATAAAAAAAAAAGATTCCCTGAATAAATGACTGAGCCATGCAGAAGGGACCATGTGGCTAGTGCAGGTTTGGTGGACTTTCAGAACCCAGAGATCATTTTTAACCTTTAAAGATGGCTCCTCGCCCATAAAATAATACTCTATCTTTAATCTGCAGTTCCAACATTCACATACTCAGGGAAGTCTCCCACGGACGCCACCCCTACCTGCCCCCCCGCCCCAAACCAAACGGCGCCTCCTGCAATAGTTTTCCAGACTGTTTCTTCTCCGCCTTCATAGTGGTGGTTCTCTCTTTATTCTGTAATTAATTCACCCGTCCCCCCGGGAACTGCTGGTTCCATTACGGCGGGGACCACGTCTGATTCTGCACACAAACTACAGCTCAGCAGACGGGGTGCATTGGGTAAGCGTTTCGGGGTGAATGTTACTGTTCGGCAATGGTCTGAGGTCCAAGGAACGGCCACGGCCGCTCTCACAGCCTCGGGGGGTCCTGGGGCCGGTGAGGAAGGGCTCCGGGTCTCCGAGGTAGAACCCCAGTCTCCCGGATAAATCCCGGGCAAGTCGTTTAATCACTGGGTTTTCCCTTCCCAGTTTGTGACCAGGGGCATCCACCAATCTAACCGGACAGGGTTGTTAAGACAAAATACATACAGTCCAGTTGTGGGCTACAGGAAATGCACCGACGTTAATTACAGGAACTGCCAGTGTTACAAGGCGCCTAAATTAATAGTTTTTTTCCAAAGAGGAACGACTTAATTAAACCAGGGACCGTCCGCGTCGCTGGGAATCCAGTCCCCGCCTTCACAAAGCCGAGAGGAAAGCGACTCACAAACTCGACTGTAACCGAGGGCGGGGCAGCGACACGCCAGGTGTAAACAGAGTTCCCGTGGGCGGCGGCAGGTGGGAGGGTCGAGCAGGGCCTCCCCCCGCGAGCCACCTGGGGAGGCCCCCAACCCCTCAGCTTCTTCCTGAGGCAACAGCCCTCCCCGGGGCCCTCCCCAGGCCCGTCCTTGCGGAGGACAAGTCCCCCCCCCCCGGGGCCCAGGCGCCGGCGACGCGCGGGGCGGCAGGCCGCGGCACTCACCCGCGGCGCTGAAGCCGAAGCCGGCGGGGACGGGCGAGTGTTCCGCGAGCTCCAGTCGGATGACAACCAGTGACACACTCATAGGGCAGGCGCTGGCCGGCGCGGGCCCCGGCGGGCTCAGGAGAGGCTGGGGGTCGAGCCGAGAGGCCGGGCGGCCCGAGGCAGGCAGCGCCGCCACCACCTCAGCGCCGCTGCCGCCGCCTCAGCGCAGCAGCTCCTCACGCCACCCCCCGAGCCGCCACCACCTCCACTTCCGCCTCCCGGCCGCCGTCGCCGGGAGGCGACGCATGCGCGGGCCGGCGCGCGCCCCGATTGGTTGGGGTGGCAGCCGCGTGACCAGCGTGGCCGCTCGGAGCCGGAGCCCCCGGGACCGGATCTCGCTGAGGTTGGGAAGGGGGGACGGCGTGGGCATGGCGGGCACTTCTTCCCCCCACACGGGGCCGATGGGCGGGTTGGCGCCCAGGCCCACGTTCACCTACCCGATAGGCCTGGCCTTCAGCCCCCCTCAGCTGATGGCGCGGGGGCTCCCGCTCCGCGAGGTCCCCGAAGCGTCCGAGGACCCGCGGTCTGCAGAGAGCTCTTGCCCCTTTCTGCCCTGTTTGACCGCTAGCTCTAGCTTGAGGCAGGGTGGCCTTGTGTCGGCCGCACTTTCCGGACGGGTCCTGAGACGCAGGGGAATCCACTTCTCTGAGGGCCCGGGGGAGGAGCAGGGACTCGATTGCAGGGACGCCGGCTCTGTCCAGGATAAGGCTGGCTGCGGATCTGGGTCCTGCTCCCCGCCCCGTCACTTCGCAAACGTTTGCGGAGAGCCGCGGGCACTGCTGGCATGGCATCCGTGAATCAGACAGACACCCAGCTCCTTTTCGTATGCAGCCGCCCTTGACCACTAGTTGTGTGACCTTGATCTAGGTTTTGCATAAGATTGGAATAATACCCTCATTCAGCTGTGAGGGTGAAGTGAGCAGAGCCCGTGGCTCGGTGTCCATCAGTTTTTCTGAGATTCAGCCTTCTTTCCAGTATGCCTGTAGCACATGGGTAGATACTGAGAGCCACAATCGATGCGTATGGAGCATCCATGACCAGATGCTGTTCTCAGTATGCTATCATGTCTAGATGTGTCACAGCACGTCCTGGACATACGAAGGTAGATGCACAGACATACACCTTGTGACTGTGCCCTATGGAATGTGATTCAGTATACACTGCTTACCTTAGGGTTTCTCAACCTCTGCACTGTTGACATTTTGGGTTCTGATCATTCTCCCCGGTGTGTGTGTTTCCTATGCTTTATAAAGTGTTTAACTGCAGCACCGCCGGCCTGATCCCTGAGGTACTGGTGGCACGCCCCAAGTGGTGGCAAACAAAATGTCTCCAGACATTGCCAAAGGTCCCTTTGGGGCCAGAATTACTCCCTGTTAAGAATCACTGGCTTATGAGAAAGTACATGTGCCGTTTGCACATAGTATGTGCATATAACATGAGACCTCGTGAACATTTTATATTATTTTACAGTAGCAGATAACATTTTTTAAAAATATATTTTTATTGATTTCAGAGAGGAAGGAAGAGGGAGAGAGAGAGAAACATCCATGATGAGAGAGAATCATTGATCAGCTGCCTCCCGCAAGTCCCCGACTGGGGATCAAGCCCACAACCTGGGCATGCGCCCTTGACCGGAATCAAACCTGGGACCCTTCAGTTTGCAGGCTAACACTCTATCCACTGAGCCGAACCGGCCAGGGCAGTAGTAGATAACATTTAACAGTGTGCCAGGTCCTAACTTGAGTGCTTTGCATACTTTACCTCATGTAACAATGACTTTATGAGACAGGTACTATAATTATTCCCATTTTACAGAGGAGTAACCGGAGGCTGAGAGAGAGAGAGAGAGAGAGAGAGAGAGAGAGAGAGACTTGCTCAGGATCTCACTTAGTAAGTAGAGGAGCTAGAATTTGAACCAGGCAATGTGAAGGTATGAAGAAAAGGCAGTCAGTGAGAGTGAGGAGAGAAAAAATTTAAAAAAAAGTAACATAGTCCACCTGGAAAAAGAAAGAAGAGCCCCTCCAGAGGGGAGGCTGAGGCTGCCGTGTACAGGGAATGGGAGTTCACCAGGCCAAGAGCAGGGAGAGGCAGTTCAGTCGGTGCACATGGCAGGTACCATAGCCTAGAAATACAAGAAATCACAGCATTTTCCTTCGCTGAAGAAAGTATTGGGAAGTGGCCAGAACAGAACTGTCCTCCCTAAATGGAAAGAAGAAGCAAGCTAGTCATGGGAGCATTGCCCATCATCCATTAGTGGGAGTATGTGGAGGACAGTGTCCTCAGTGAGGATGAAAGTCAGTCCTTCAGGCCCCAGAGACACTTTTCATCTCTGTTAAGCCCTCACACAAAAGCTGTGGATGTTCTGGAGCCTATAAATAAATTTCTCCTTCTGTTATAAACTTTGGCCTTGGCATAGAAACAGAAGTAAAACTGAAAACACCAACCAACCTCTAAATTTTTCATTTCAAAATTCACTTCCCAGTTCAACAAATTTCTAATTACATGAAAAACACAGTATATAAACTTGAAGAGTTACTCCTTAAGAATCTCTCCTTTAGATTCTTAGTTTATTGAATCCTTACAGTGGCCCTAAAATGACTCTTGTAAACTTGTAGGCTGTCATACCAATCTGTTTTGCTGTAACCTGATTTCCAGTAAGCTTTTTTTAAACTTTAGAAATCACATAAAAAGCTTAAAGAGTTTCATGAGGGCCCTAGCCAGATTGGCTCAGTGGATAGAACGTCAACCTGCGGACTGAAGGGTCCAAGGTTCCATTCCGGCCAAGGGCACATGTCTGGGTTGTGGGCTCGATCCCCAGTAGGGGGCGTGCAGGAGGCAGCTGATCCATGATTCTCCCTCATCGTTAATGTTTCTCTCTCCCTCTCCCTTCCTTTCTGAAATCAATAAAGAAATATGCCGGGTCCAACCCCAGCGGGTCCAGGGGTCCCCAAAGGTGTGGACGGAGTCGGCGAAGAAGGAAGGACACGGAGACAGCGTTCAGTTGATCAGCAGCCTAGCCAGGATCTCCAGCCAGGATCTCCAGCCAAGTTCTGGTCTGGATCTCCAGCGAAGTTCTGGTTTGGATCTCCAGCCAGGTTCTGTGTCCATGTTCTCTTGCTAGGTTCTCCAGGTTCTCCAGCCAGGTTCTGTAGCCATGTTCCCTCGCTAGGTTCTCCAGCCAGGTTCTGTCCAGGTTCTCCAGCCAGGTTCAGTCACCAGGTTCTAGTCAGGTTCTCTTGCCAATTTCCGTAGTCAGGTTCAGTCCAGGATCTTTTGCCATGTTCTCTCCAGCAAAGTTCTTCTGTCTCTAGGTTCTGTGTAGGTTCTGTCTTCTTAGTTCTGCCTTCTAAGTTCTGTGTTCTAAGTTCTGTGTCTTGCTGTCTTGTTACATCTGTATTTATACCAGTTGATTCAATCCTATCAATCTCTATTACAAAGGTTAGGGCGTTTCTTATCTCCATTCCAGGGAGTAAAGATTATGTAGCTTAAGCATGATTGTTCATAGTTAAAGTGATTAATTACCCGCCTGGCACTTAGTTAAGAGGTTTTATTCCCTCCCTAACTTCAGGGGAAAATCCCTACCTGGGGAAACAACCTTTCTCAGAGACCTTGGTTAAAATACATAGTGCCAAGAAGGTGAGCAAACATATTAAGAACAGTATGCCATATATGCCAGGTCCCTTGAGACAGCAAGCATGGACCGGCTCCCAGCAAATTCCCCCTTTTTTATTTTTTAAAAGCAGGCATTAAAAAGAAAACCCCGGAATGCTCTCTTGTATCCATTTTAAGAGTAGGATTGGCGCTTTCCGCTATTACCTGAGTCCTGATCTATCACCCCAGGGAGAGCTTGCCAATCCTGCACTTTCCCGGGGTGGAAAGGCTGCAGTGGGGTTAAGGATAAGGCTCCTTGGGCCTACCTCCTCCCATGCCTTTACATTTACCTTTCCTTCCTCAGAAAAGCATGGACATACTTCTTGTATAAAACGTTCTGTCTGACTGGGAGTAACCTTAATTCCTCTGCTAGCAAGCATATGTGTTAAAAGATCAATACAGAGTCTTATTTCTTTAGACTCAGTATGGCACATCTTCTTAATCTAAAGATCAATACAGAGTCTTCTTTCTTTGGACTCAGTATGGTACATCTTCTCAATCTAAGTTCTGTACTATCCACCTTCTTACCCTACTTATCCTCTATAGGGGGGTCTGCAGTACCCTGGTGGAGTCCTATCCGTCCCGAGTGTGGGGTTCTCAATGGGGGGGGGGGGCTTACCTAAGGGAATCCTGTTCCAGGGGTTCCCAAAGGTGTGGACGGAGTCGGCGAAGGCTATCCACCGTCTTCCTACGGTGGAGTCCTATCCATCCTGAGAGTGGGGCTTACCTAGGGGTCCCTGTTCGGGCGCCAGATGCCGGGGTCCAACCCCAGCGGGTCCAGGGGTCCCCAAAGGTGTGGACGGAGTCGGCGAAGAAGGAAGGACACGGAGACAGCGTTCAGTTGATCAGCAGCCTAGCCAGGATCTCCAGCCAGGATCTCCAGCCAAGTTCTGGTCTGGATCTCCAGCGAAGTTCTGGTTTGGATCTCCAGCCAGGTTCTGTGTCCATGTTCTCTTGCTAGGTTCTCCAGGTTCTCCAGCCAGGTTCTGTAGCCATGTTCCCTCGCTAGGTTCTCCAGCCAGGTTCTGTCCAGGTTCTCCAGCCAGGTTCAGTCACCAGGTTCTAGTCAGGTTCTCTTGCCAATTTCCGTAGTCAGGTTCAGTCCAGGATCTTTTGCCATGTTCTCTCCAGCAAAGTTCTTCTGTCTCTAGGTTCTGTGTAGGTTCTGTCTTCTTAGTTCTGCCTTCTAAGTTCTGTGTTCTAAGTTCTGTGTCTTGCTGTCTTGTTACATCTGTATTTATACCAGTTGATTCAATCCTATCAATCTCTATTACAAAGGTTAGGGCGTTTCTTATCTCCATTCCAGGGAGTAAAGATTATGTAGCTTAAGCATGATTGTTCATAGTTAAAGTGATTAATTACCCGCCTGGCACTTAGTTAAGAGGTTTTATTCCCTCCCTAACTTCAGGGGAAAATCCCTACCTGGGGAAACAACCTTTCTCAGAGACCTTGGTTAAAATACATAGTGCCAAGAAGGTGAGCAAACATATTAAGAACAGTATGCCATATATGCCAGGTCCCTTGAGACAGCAAGCATGGACCGGCTCCCAGCAGAAATATATTTTTTTTAAAAAAAAAGCAAAATAAAAAAGTTTCATGAGGAATGACTACCAGTTGAATTTGCTTTAATTATTTTGTGTCCCCCCAGCTCTTTATATCAGGCCTATAGAAAAGTTTAAAGAACAGTATAAGATCTCTCAATATACTCCATCATATACCTTTCATCTAGATTGATTACTAACATTTTGCCACATTCGATTTCTCTCTCTACATGCATCTATCTACGTGTGTGTTTGTGTGTGTTATGTTTATATGTTTGTTCTTTTCTGAAACTTTTGAAAATCAATTTAGGAAAGAGGCAATGTCAGGAGGCCATTGCAGTCATCTGCAGGAAGGGTGATGGTGTGAGGGTGGCCTCATAAGTGCTAGGAGGAGCTGAGTACAGGGCATCTTAGGAGTATACAGGAGAGACTCATCTATCTTTTCTGGAAGCCAGAAGCGGTTTCAGGATGGAAGTGACAGAGAAACTGACCTAAAGGACAGTTTGGAAATAGCCAGGTAACAAGTAGAAGGGAGCATCACAGGCCAAGGAAACATATGAAAGGCCTGGTAGCAGGAGGTGAACGTTGGTTGAGAGCTACACATGGATGTGTGTGTGTCTAGATCATCCAGGTTAATATTGCGGACGAAAGGGGCCACATGCTAACCTGACAAGCTCAGGGGAGGCCTGCCTGGCGGTCTTGCAAACTCAGAGACCTAAAGTAACCACAAAGGATGGTCTGAAATTTAACTAAAGCAGTTTTGGTGGGCAGTTACGTCCTAGGCCAGTATCTTCACTGACAAGGTTAACCTTTACCTTAACTGAGCCTATCTGTCTTTTTGCATCTATGATAACACACCCTTGAAATGTCTGGGTAACTTGTAATTTCCCTTTTTCTGGAGCCCCTGGGGCACAACCAAATGTGCTGGGCGCCAGGACAGATACCACAGAGTCCTTCATTATCATGCTAATTGATCCTGCACCCACCTAAGTATGTGTCCATCGTTTTACTTTTTATCCAGTCCCAGGGGTTTCCCTGCTTTGCTTTATCCCTCCACCTTCATCTATCACCAATGAATTTCATGTAACCTACCTATGTCCTTCCTTTGATTGCAAATGTATAAATACAAATGTAACCCCGCCATTCTCCGGAGCATTATCTCAATTCGTTGAGGTTTTGCTTCTCGGCATATGTCGGCAGTTTGGCTCAAATAAACTCACAAAAATTCTTTACAGGTTTCAATGGTTTTTACGTTAACAATGGGCAGCTTGGTGAATGGTGCAGCCCTTCACTGAGCTAAGGAACCCACCAAAAGGAGGTGGGAGGGCGGAGATAGAGCTCAATTCTGGTTGTGGTTTGGAGTGTTTGTTGGAGATCAGGGATGTCCAGGTGGCACCCCTGAGCTCCAGGATGGAGGTCTGGATGGAGGCAGTGAAGGCAAACTGTGCCCTGTGCCTTCTCACACAGCTTTGGCCTCAACATGTGCATAAGGCGGCTTTTCCGGTCCTCACATCTCCAGTGGGCCTGGAGGGCAGCCTTCCTGAAACACAGCCAGCGTGGGCACCAGGGACCCTGGCGATGGACACATTCTGGAGGCGGCCCCTACAGAGCGGTCATTTTTGACATGGGTGGAGTTCTCATTCCTTCTCCAGGGAAAGTGGCTGCAGGTGAGCTCTTTGTTCTATTTCACTTTTGGAGACGGGGGTGGGGGTGGAATGGGAGTGGGGTGGGGCGTGGAGGGTGGGCAGGAGAAACAGAGAGGAACATTTGGTCAGCAGTGTGTCCCGGTGGGTGATATTCTGGCTCTTGAATCAAATTCTAAGCACCACTTAGTGGTTGATTATGTTGAGCAAATTAATCTACTTCCCCCAGTCTTTTAGTTTCCTCATCATTGACTTAGGTCTAACACAGCGGTTCTCAACCTGTGGGTCGCGACCCCTTTGGAGGTCGAACGACCCTTTCACAGGGGTCGCCTAAGACCATCCTGCATATCAGATATTTACATGACGATTCATAACAGTAGCAACATGACACTTATGAAGTAGGAACGAAACTAATTTTATGGTTGGGTCACAGCGTGAGGAACTGTATTTAAAGGCTAGAAGGTTGAGAACCACTGGTCTAATATGAGTGCCTACCTCTTTGGGGTTTGGAAAGCAGAGTGTTCAGTTCACCTAAAATTCTCAATAAATGACAAGCTGCCGTTGTTATGGGTAGGATTTAACTAGTATCTTCCCCTGTGAACTGTGCTGCTTCTGAAGTCTTGAACTCTGAAAGCCTCACCCTTGATCCCAGCCTTCCCTCTTCCACCAACTTCCTCTAAACCTTCCAGAGCAAACCTCTAGCCTCTGATCCTTTCTTTGTCGGGCCTCCGCTGGTTTTACATTTTTCCTACTTAGTTCAACTCAAGTTTGACTAGTTTTAGCTCTAACAAAACAGTGATTGGAACAAGATAGAGGTTTATTTCTTTGGCAGGAAAGCCAAGGTATGTGGTCTGGGGCTGGCATGTTGCTCTGTGATACCAGGGACTCGGGCTCTCTATTGTGCTGCTCTGCTGTGAGTTCATTTCCAGTTTCACCTCACGGTCTGTCTGGGCTGCATCACCTCCTGCCATTACATTCTCATTCCAGCCAGCAGGAAGGAAACAGGGCCAAACAGCTGTCCCTATCCTCTGACCTGCTATGGTGGCTGGTTGGCAATGCTCCATGTTAAATGAACTGAAGTACAGGCCTAGTGGTTTGGCTCAGTGGATAGGGCGTCGGCCTGCAGACTGAAGTGTCCCGGATTTGATTCCTGCCAAGGGCACGTGCCCGGGTTGCGGGCTCAATCCCCAGTTAGGGGGTGTGCAGGAGGCAGCCTATCTATGATTCTCTCTCATCATTGATATTTCTATCTCTCTATCTCTCCCTTCCTTTTTGAAATCAATAAAAATGCATTTAAAAAGCAAAATAAATGAATCCAGATTTCCTATGCTCCTGGGTAAAAAGTTACCCGGCTGTGCAAATCGGCTGAGTGAGCTATTTTTTTTTTAAGTTCCAGGGACAGCTGAGCCCTCAGCCTCTCTATTCCACCACTCATTTTTCTCTCTTTCACCGCAGCTGGGCTGTTCCAAACACCTCCCCCTCCAAGTCATCACACTCCCCCACCCCAAACCTTCAGACTTGGCAGACAGAGAACATAAAGGTCCCTGGGCAGGAATCTCCTGGACTTTCTCTAGAATATTTTGAGAACCTATTTGCTCCTCTCCACCTGCACTGCCTCCGCCCATTTCTATCCCTGTCTCCTCCCACCTGCCTGATCCCATCAGACTCCTAACTGCTCTCTCTGCCTCTGGCCTCTGGGTTTTGGGCCACCCTCCAGGATTACCTGCCTAAAACACAGATCTTATCCCTTCACTCCCCTGCTTCAAATCCTGAGTGCCTGCACTTTGTCCCTTAAATTGGGTCCAGAAGCTTTTGCCTGGCATTCAGCACCTCTCGCAATTAGCCTTGTATCCTGGTATCACACCGTTTCCTACTGTGTGTCCCCATTCCAGCTGCCGTAGACTACTTGATGTTCTCTAAACTTGCCAAACACATGTACAGTGCGGTGCCTTTGCAAGCTCTGTTCCCTCTGCTAGCAGCCACCCTTCCCTGCCTCCTCTATAAATGACTTGCTTAAACTTTATTCAGTCAGAAAACAGATTTTTTTTTAAAAAAAAATTTTAAAATATATTTTATTGATTTCTTACAGAGAAGAAGGGAGAGAGATAGAGAGCTAGAAACATCGATGAGAGAGAAACATGGATCAGCTGCCTCCTGCACATCTCCCACTGGGGATGTGCCCGCAACCCAGGTACATGCCCTTGACCGGAATCGAACCCGGGACCCCCCAGTCCGCAGGCCGACGCTCTATCCACTGAGCCAAACCGGTTCCGGCCAGAAAACAGGTTTTTATGGAGCAGTTACTATGTGCTGGGCACTGCTGAGGCGTGAAGGGATACTGTGTGCAATGTGACAGACACAATCCCCTCTGCAATCCCCACTTACCACATTTCAAGGGCTCAGTTGCCACAGGTGGCTACTGGCTACTGTCTTGGAGATAAAGCATTTCCATCAGTGTAGAAAGTTGTGCAGTTTACAAAATGAAGGTGTTTTTTGTTGTTGTTGTTGTTTTTTTTTAGTACTGTCAGTATCTGGCTTATTACCCTATGGGCTTCCTTACTGTGTGGCCAAGACTGTGTGAATGACCTAATATATATGAGCCAGCTAGTGAAAAACCAGAAAAGAAAATTTGTATTAGAGTTCAGTGTCATCTCAAGCAGGCGGAAAGGATATGAGACTTAGCAGCAGTGTTCCCTCATTCACACAAATCAGTACTGCTGTTCCCTTGGAGATCTAAGGCTGAGATGTGCATTTCCTGGATTTTTTCAGTTTCCCAATAGAGCCCACTTGGCACCATAGTGATGCCACAGGAACTGGTATGGTAATTCCCCTGAGCTCCCTAAACTCCAGCCATCTGTTAATGGGTTTCACTTATTGCATATTTTTCTTCCTACAGAATGGGAGGTACAAAATCATATCCCTTCCGGAACTATATTGAAGGCTTTCATCACAGGTGGCGAAAATGGGCCCTGGCTGAAATTTATGAGAGGAGAAATAACGAAAGAGGATTTCTTACAAGAATTTAGGAGACTCTGCTCTGAAATTGTGAGTGATAAACATTTTTTGTTTGTTTGTTTGAAAATACATTTTTATTGACTTCAGAGAGGAAGGGAGAGGGAGAGATAGACACATCAATGATGAGAGGGAATCATAGATCGACTGCCCCGTGCACACCCCCTACTGGGGATCGAGCCCACAATCCGGGCATGTGCCCTTCACCAGAATTGAGGGGACCCTTCAGTCTGCAGACTGACACTCTATCCACTGAGCCAAACTGGCTAGGGCAGGGGTGGGCAAACTTTTTGACTCGAGGGCCACAATGGGTTCTTAAACTGGACCGGAGGGCCGGAACAAAAGCATGGATGGAGTGTTTGTGTGAACTAATATAAATTCAAAGTAAACATCATTACATAAAAGGGTACGGTCTTTTTTTTTTTAGTTTTATTCATTTCAAAGGGGCCGGATCCAGCTGGGCTAGGGCGATAAACATTCTTGAATTTCCATATTCTTTTTGTCTAGACTCTAGAGTAATGGAAGTAACGTAACACTCGTCCATATTTATTAAACTGCAAATAAAGAAGTGAAAAATATAATAATCCATTATAAGTTTTTAAGCTATTTCTTCCACCCTTGGGTACTCAACTTTGACAACACATATGAATAAATAAAAATATTCTTTCACTGCCCCTCCACCAGCCATTATGCTGTCTGCCTAATGAGAAAGCTTATTTGAGGCAATAATAATATTAATAAGCCTTATCTCTGTACTATGCATTTTCTAAGCTCTTTATATTAACTCATGTAACTTTCACAATAAGCCTGCTAAAATATAATTTAAAATATAGTAAATAAAGTTCTGTGGATAGATGATAGAGATGGGTACATAATAATGAATGTACTTAATGACATTCAACTGTACACTTAATGTGGTTAAAATAGTAAATTTTATGTATGTATATTTTATCACAATTTTAAATATATATATGTGTGTATATATATATGTATATATATATATGTGTGTATATATATATGTATATATATATATATAAAATCTTAAAAACATTAAGCTAAGTGGGAAAAAAAGTCAAAAAAAGACCACAGATTGTATGATTCCATTTATATGAAATGTCCAGAAACAGAAAGTAGATTAGTGATCTGCTCAGACTGGGACTATTGGAGGTGTGGGAAGGAATGGAGAGTGACTATACTAATGGGTATGGGGTTTCTTTTTAAGGGGATGAAAATGTTCTAAAACTGATTGTGGTGATGGTTACATAACTTTGTGAATATATTAAAAACATTGAATTGTATGGCTTAAATGGGTGAGTTGTATGGTATGTGAATTGTATTTCTTTAAAGCTGTTGTAAAATGTGAGTGTGTGTGTATAAAGAAAATAGCAGGTTTGCCTTTACAGATTTTAAAACAAGATAAAATAAGAGTTTCAAAACCCACACAGATTGAATTAAAAAAAAAATTGATCAGAAACTGAAGTTCATAATGGTGAGTTAAGGCAATACAAAACCATTAAATGTCTTCTGGATCACTGAAAATTAAATTACATCAACTTATTACACTTTTAAAGTTTAATGTATCCTCTTACAGTATCCTGCTACTTTTTAAAATTGACAGTCCATGGTTGAAATAAAGAACTCCTTTAACTGGAATATTGATATAAATAGCTCCATACCCTAACCATTGTACCTCTAATTCTAAGTCACTTTTTATAACCTTATATGCAAAGCTCTGCACAAAGGCCGAGGGAGAAGATTCCTTTAGGCAGCAAGCCAAAGGCCCAGGCTCTTACAGCCAGCTAGCACAGGAAGCTGGGAATATTTCTTTTTCTCTGTTTGCGATAAGCTGACTTTTCTCTTAGTGATTGCTGCTTCCTCTTTCCCTTCCTCCTTTCCTAGTCAAATACCTCTGTGCCTGTGGACAACTTTTTCTCTCTGCTGACCAGTGAGCAAGTGGCGAAGCAGTTCCCAGTGATGACTGAGGCCATAACTCAGATTCGGGCAAAGGGCCTTCAGACTGCAGTCTTGAGCAATAATTTTTATCTTTCCAATGGCAAAAGCTTTTTGCCCCTGGACCGAAAACAGTTCGATGTGGTAAGTTTGAAGTGATACTAAACAATAATCAAAACAGCCTGTCCTTGCTTCGGGATGCAACATTTAACGCTGCCCTTTAGCAGGTCTTGAGTGAATGGGTTTTTTATTCAGACACTTGACTAAGTCAGGTTTAGATATAACAGGTTGAAAAGAGGACTTGTGTCACTGAGCTCTTAGCAAGGTCAAACATTTATGGGATTTGGAAACTGGTTGAGACCTCAGCTTTAGAGACTTCCTTACGTTCTGGATTTGAACCTCAGTCACCACATAACACACACACTTCTGTCAGCCTCTTAATGGCCCCTTTGACCTTTTCTTTTCAAAGACCAACCATGCTGCCCTCTCTTTCTATGGCATCAATCCTCAGACCAGCGCTGTTCAATAACACTGAATGCTGTAACAGAAATGTCCAATACAGTCATATATGGCTATGAAGCGCTTGAAATGTGGCTAATGTCACCAAGGAATTGAACTGAATTTCCTTTAATTAAGTGTGAAGAGTCACATATGGCTAGTGGCTATTGTAATAGATGGTGCTGGACTATCCAAGTACCCTGAGAACATACTGAGCCAAAATACAGTTTTCTGCCCTAGCTAGTTTGGCTCAGTGTATAGAGCGTTGACCTGTGGAAGGGTCCCGGGTTTGATTCAGGTCAAGGGCACATGCCCAGGTTGCAGCTCAATCCCCAGTAGGGGGCGTGCAGAAGGCAGCCAATCAATGATTCTCTCTCATCATTGATGTTTCTGTCTCTCTCTCCCTCTTCCATTCTCTCTGAAATCAATAAAAATATATTTTTAAAAATCTGTTTTTTTGAATGAAGTTTAAGCAATTCATCTATCTATAACAAATAGATCCAAGGATAATGATCTATTTTCTCTTAGGGAAATGGGGAATCCTTCACAGATGAAGATCCTTCTGATCTTCTAGCACAGAAGATCATATCTTAAATATATATATATATGCATTTTTAAATTGATTTCAGAGAGTAAGGGAGAGGGAGAGAGAGATGGAAACATCAATGATGAGAGAGAATCATTGATCGGCTACCTCCTGCATGCCCCCTACTGGGGATTGAACCCTAAACCCAGGCATGTGCCCTTGACTGGAATTGAACCTGGGACCCTTCAGTCTGCAGGCCGACGCTCTAGCCGCTGAGCCAAACCGGCTAGGGCAAAACAGATTTTTATTGAGCAGTTACTATGTGCCCTGGGGATAATGTAAGAGGGGACTTCCCAGAGGTGCTGACTCACAGATAGCCTGACACTGAGACGGCTTTTTCAGGGTTCTCCTCCCTCCTCCTCTGGTTCCGGATCAGAGACAGAATGGAAATTAGTCTGTCAGGATCCAAGGAAGGGAGCGTCTTTGCCACCAACAGGCTCTTTGGTGACAGTCAGCCCTCTGGTGGGGTTCAGTCATATAAACTGAGTCTGGGTTTTTTTTAACTTCTGAAATACAGACATTAAAGCCATGTTTCTTTTATAACAGTGAATAATGCCTTCTTTCTGAAAAAATGATGACTTTCCCTAAAACAGAAATGTACCGCTGTTCTTCTGCTTGGTGTAGGCACAGTAGCTAACATTAGCAAAATGCTTTGTCATTTTGGAACTCATTCAAGTTAAGTTTCACAACAACCATAAGATAGATAAGATGGCTATTAGTATTCCCACTTGACTGATGATGAAACAGGCCACGTGGCTTCACCATGAGCACAAGGTCACTGTATCTGAACCAGAATTTTGGTTTCCTGAGTTTGCTCCCAGGTTTGCCCCCAGTATGTTCAAATCACTCAACCTAAAAAAGCAACATCATTTTCTATCATAATCCCCTTAAGTTACTTATTATAACAAATCTCAACTGTTTCCTTTTGCACTTTTTTTTTAGAAATATATTTTGATGGATTTCAGAGAGGAAGAGAGAGAGAGAGAGAGAGAAACATCCATGATGAGAGAGAATCATTGATCAGCTGCCTCCTGCACGCCCCACACTGGGGATCAAGCCTGCCACCCAGGCATGTCCCCTGACCAGGAATCAAACTGAGACCTCCTGGTTCGTAGGTTAATGCTCAACCACTGAACCATGCCAGCTGGGCTCTTTCTGCACTTTAAAAAATATACTAGTATATCAGCATGCCTGAGGGAGCACCGCTTTTAGGGACATTTATTTCTCATCTCTGCCCCTCCCTCAGGTCGTGGAGTCCTGTGTGGAAGGTGTCTGTAAGCCAGACCACAGAATCTACAAGCTGTGCTTGGAGCGGCTGGGCCTACAGCCTTCGGAATCCATCTTTCTTGATGATCTTGGACAGAATGTCAAAGCAGCTGCCAGCCTTGGAATGCGCACCATTAAGGTAATGGCCACTGGTCTTTGAACTCCACTCTCTTCCAGGCCCTAGGGTGAGCATTTCTGTGCAGTCCTCTCACATGCATTGCTGTAGCTGCCTTTAGGGGGTTCCCCCGCGTCGCCGTGGTCTTTTTTAATTAGGAAATATGTGTGACTAGCTGCTTGTACTTTTAATGGAAGTAAGACAAACACACCTAGAAGGCAGCTTGAGAAGGTTACACACGGAGGTGAAGGGCAGGCTGTAGGCATTCGGGATGGCAGCCAGACTGTCCAAGTGATGCTCTTCTGGGTGGGGAGCCAGCAGGAGCAGCCACATGGACCACCCAGGTGACCTGTGAAGCGCGAGAGGCCACGTGGGAGGGTTCCTGGTCCAGCTTTCCACATTGGAGTTTTCCTTTTGACGCTGACGGGCTCACGGGACAGAGTGGATGCTGTGGCACGAGGAGGGCTCACAGGATGTTCTTCCCTCCTGGCACGAGGCAGTGCCATGGACTCTGAACCGGGACTCTCCCCAGGAGGGAGAAATCTTACTGCATTTAGGAGTTAAGGAGGAAGAGGAAACAGTCTACGGCTTCCTCATTAGCTGAATATCCTGATTTCAAAGGCCTTGCTCAGAGAATGGAGTTCTTGGTATTTCCTCCTAAAAATTACCGTCTTAGAGAACAGACAGGAAGACAGGCCATGGCTGACAGGTCAAGGTGGCATGTTCAGGATTTCCTCTGACTCCAGGTTAATGACCCAGAGGCTGCAGTGAAGGAATTAGAAACTCTTTTGGGCTTTACCTTGAGAACGGTTATTCCAAACACGCGTCCCGTGAGAAAGACAATGGAGATTCCAAAAGATTCCTTGGAGAAATACCTCAGAGACCTCCTGGGGACCCAAACCACAGGTATGTGAGTTTTTGTGTTTTGTAACTCTTCCCAAGCCTAGCCCCTCAGGCTGCTTTTCACTGTCAAACCCTAGTGTGGAATGCACCAGAGACAGAGGCAGTATGGTGAGGAAGCAGCCCCCGGGCCGCCCAGGAGATGTGAGCGCCGCTCTCAGTGTTGCACGGGGAAACGCATTCGCCTCCGCCTCCTCTTTTATGGATCCCGAAAGTCTCCTTGCCTGCTCTTCCACTGGCAGCGGATGTGGCAGCCGCGCCTGCAAACAGCTATCAGGGAGGAGAGGAGCCTGGGGACTGTAGGTGGCCCAGGGGCACTTGAATGTTTCTCATTTTTTCGAGATGACAGCCTGTTTGGAAAGAAAACTTCAAAGTTGCATAAACAGAAAATGTGACAAGTTGTCTCCATCTCTTCAAAGGTCCCACCCTCCTTCACCTTCCACCCTCAGAAAAACAGGTGCCTTGTGAGCTTTTGAAGACATTTCTACCTGGTGATAAAGTTTCGCCTCACCCCGTTGGTCCCTGAAAAAGGCTGTTTGTATGGAGTTCATGTTGTGACGTGCCCTAGTGATTGGCACATTCTTAGTGCCTCCACAAAGCTGAGGGGCCCTTTACCTATCCAAGTCCCAGGCAGGCCTGACCCCGCTTAGCTTCTGATGAGATCGGTGTGTTCAGGGTGGTATGGCTGCAGGCTGAGGGGCCCTTTCCAACCAACAGAGAACTCTGGCAAATGCCCATTTCCTGCTCTTCTGAGCAAGTGAAATGAATCTCCGTCCAGAGTTTAGTCTTACCATGAAGCTGAGGGCTAATTAGGATGTTTCTGTAAGAGAGACAAAGCATTCAGCCTGCTGGGCAGGGAGATCGCATCTCATGAAAGCAGCTTTGGCTCTGGCTGTGGGCCCTGCTTAGCTCCTTTCAGCTGTCGCACCCGTGTCAGGCGTGGTTGGGCTGAGCATGGGCTGAGGGACACACAAGGGCACTTTTCATCTTCCGGCTTCAAGCATTCCATTTAGCAAGTTGGGTTGCCATGACTGTGCTTGTGGTTGATAAACACAGCTAAAAAGCTTTTCTTCACAGAGCAGGAGTTGGCAAGACGGACAAAATTGGACACTATACAAAGTGAGGACGTTATTGTGGTGTAAATCCAGTGGCCTAGCCACACTGCGTGGCCTGCGATTCTGGACCCAAGCTGGTGGGGCGTGGTGCCATTCCTTCAGTGCATCCCAAACTCTGGACTCATTAGAAAGAAAGAACGTCTTTCCCTGTCTGCCCTTCAGAGCTGGTTTGAGTTTTCTTTGTTTTCAAACTTGCAGGCCCATTGGAACTCCTTCAGTTTGATCATGGGCAGTCAAATCCAACGTACTACATCAAGCTGGCTGGTCATCAGCTGGTTCTGAGGAAGAAACCCCCCGGGACACTCCTTCCATCTGCCCACGCAGTGGAGAGGGAATACAGGTAAATACCCAGGGCAAGGCGCACTCCCCAACTCCCCCTTCGCAGCTCAGCCCCCAGCTCACCCGTCAGCACTCCATCAAGTGCCTTGAGACATTTAAAACTACAAGTGTGATTCTCCAAAATTATTTCAAGTAAGAACAGTAACCTAATTTCATTTTTTAAAAAATATATTTTATTGATTTTTTTACAGAGAGGAAGGGAGAGGGATAGAGAGTCAGAAACATCGATGAGAGAAAAACATTGATCAGCTGCCTCCTGCACACCCCCTACTGGGGATGTGCCCGCAACCAAGGTACATGCCCTTGACCGGAATCAAACCTGGGGCCCTTCAGTCCGCAGGCCAACGCTCTATCCATTGAGCCAAACCGGTTAGGGCTTTTTTGGAACTTTTAGATGAAAAAAGGCATTATTAAGAAACTCTTTAGTCTTACCCTTAGCCTCAAAGACTCTAAGACCTTTAGTCTTAAAATCAATATGTTAGTGAGGCTACAACCCAGCAAACATGACCACGAGTTGACTGTTGTTGGAACTGAGTGATGAGTACATGGGTTTGTTTTTATATGACTTTCTACTTATGTTTGATATTTTCCATAATAAAATGTTGAAAATAATAAAAGTATTATAACTCATCCCAAGTAAAATAGTTTGTTTTGAGACAGGAAAATTTAAATGTAGTAGATTCACACAAAACTAGCTCTAAATCTCTGGCGAGTGAGTAGTGAAGCCAGGAGAGGGCTCTGGGCTGGGGTTTCCTCTTCCTCCCAGTCTCATACTGCTCTGCAGAAGAAAAGGTGCAGAGAGTAATATGGACAATGTGAGTTTAGTCTGTTCAACTTAATGTAGTTATTGACTGGTTGATGTAGGCCTATAAGTTCACTATTTCTTTTTTGTGTTTCATCGGTTTTATGTTCTTCTTGCCTACTTTTGGGCCAATTGAAATGTTTTTAGAATTACATTTTAATTTCTGCATGGACTAATTTTTAAATGAGAAGATAATTGTAAGGAAGTCTCAGCAGTCCTTCCCGCAGTGGTGCTCATTCTCCTTTGTCCTGGCAGGATCATGAGAGCCCTTGCGAGCGCTGGAGTACCCGTCCCCAAAGTTCTGGATCTCTGTGAAGATTCAAGGTGATGTTCCAATTGATTTATTTAATATATTTTTATTGATTTCAGAGAGGAAGGGAGAAGGAGATAGAAACATTAGTGGTGAAAGAGAATCATTGATCAGCTGCCTCCTGCATGCCCCCACTGGGGATCAAGCCCAAAAGCCAGGCATGTGCCCTGATCGGGAATTGAACCGTGACCTCCTGGTTCATAGGTCAACACTCAACCACTGAGCCACACCATCCTAAACAAATTTATTTTTCCCGTTGTCTATTCAACCTACAAAAGAGAAAAGCCAGTACACTAACTCAGATTCTAGTTTGTTAGAGTAAGGATAAATAAATTTGGTAGAAAAGAAACTTTATAGTAACTCCCCCAGAAGGTCATAGATATTTAAGTTATCCTGAAAGATAAAAAAATGCCTGATTTTGTGAGAATTGGTAGAAAACATCTTTTTTCTTTATCTTTTTCTTTTTAATCTTCACCTGAGGATATTTTTCCATTGATTTTTAGGGAGAGTGGAAGAGAGAGGGAAAAAGAGAGAAACCTTGATGTGAAAGAAACACATCAATTGGTTGCCTCTGCATGAGCCCTGACCAGGGCCCAGGCCGTGGAGGAGCCTGCAGCCAAGGTACATGTCCTTGACTGGAATCAAACCCGGGACCCTTTGGTCTGCAGGCTGATCCTCTAGCCATTGAGCCAAAGCAGCTAGGGCAAAAACATCTTTTTTTTTAACATTCTAAAAATATATATCCATCTAGCTTATATTGTTTGCTTTTGTTTAATTCTTTTATTGTAGCCTTTCTAAACTTTTTAAATTGCTTTGTAATGTTTTTGAGTCTGTCCTTTTTCCTAACTTTATAACTAGGAGAATTGTGAAACATACAGAAAGAATTGAAAGAAGAAATATTGTTTAAAAAAAGAAATAATAGTATAATGAGCACCCATTTAAACTTCATCTAGATTAAACCATTGTTAACATTTTGCCACATTTCCTTTCAATATATGTGTGTGTGTGTGTATGTGCATATATAGATGTGTATGTGGATTATATATATAAATTAATTTTATATAAATAGTAACAATTGTATGTAAAATATTGGATATATCATAATATAATTAAATGTAATTATTTTATATGTAATTATTTTATAAATAAGTATATATTATGTGTATAAATTATTATTTTATTTATATAAATTATTTTTAGCTGAACCTTTGCAGTTGCAGGCAACATACATCTAAAAGTAAAGACATTTTTTTTTTTTTTCGCAGAAGAATTTTTTTTTTTTTTTAATATATTTTATTGTTTTTTTTTACAGAGAGGAAGGGAGAGAGATAGAGAGTTAGAAACATCAATGAGAGAGAAACATTGATCAGCTGCCTCCTGCACATCTCCCACTGGGGATGTGCCCGCAACCCAGGTACATGCCCTTGACCGGAATCGAACCTGGGACCTTTCAGTCTGCAGGCCGACGCTCTATCCACTGAGCCAAACCGGTTTCGGCAAGACATTTTCTTTTATAAACACAGCAGCAGTATTACACTTAAGATAATTAAATATAATTTAATAGTCTAACTCAGTGGTCGGCAAACTGCGGCTCGCAAGCCACATGCGGCTCTTTGGCCCCTTGAATGTGGCTCTTCCACAAAATACCACATGCGGACGCGCATGTACAGTGTGATTGGAACTTCGTGGCCCATGCGCTGAAGTCGGTATTTCGTGGAAGAGCCACACTCAAGGGGCCAAAGAGCCGCATGTGGCTCGCGAGCCGCAGTTTGCCGACCACTGGTCTAACTTAACTAGCTCATGTTCAAGTCAGGATAAAGTTATAATGGTAGAAGTTTCAAAACAACTTTTTAGAGTAGTAAACTGATTTATAAAAATGACTAAAAGATGACATTTCAGTGTGTCACCTTGATCCTATAGCAGTGATGGCGAACCTATGACACACGTGTCAAGAGGTGACACGCGAACTCATTTCTTTGGTTGATTTTTCTTTGTTAAATGGCGTTTAAATATATAAAATAAATATCAAAAATATAAATCTTTGTTTTACTATGGTTGCAGATATCAAAAAATTTCTATATGTGACATGGCACCAGAGTTAAGTTAGGGTTTTTCAAAATGCTGACAAGCCGAGCTCAAAAGGTTCGCCGTCACTGCCCTATAGGGTGGTAGATGTGCCATTCATACCACTGGATAATAGTAAAAATAACAAGATGGAACATTTAAAAAAGGGCTTCTGTGTGAGTGGCACACGTAGAGCCCAATAAAAAGAAAAAAGGGGGGAAAGAAGGGATGGTTATTGAGCCCTCATTAGAACCAGACACATACGCCAGGCACTCCATACATACTTGCTCTTTTAATTCATAAAACTACTCCTTGAAGTTTTACATATTTAAAAACAAAAACAAAAGCTCAGAGAGGTTTAGTAAATCTCTCAGAATTACACTGCAAGAAAGGAGTAGAGATTCTATATGACCCCAAAGCCCCACCTCTCAACATGCTGCTTTTCTATGTCATTAACCTTAAACCCATTCCAGTGGCTTCTGCGTGCAGACCAAAGAGAAGAGAGGCCTGCTGGCCCAGAGTATGGGCAGGGCTGTGTGTGTGTGGACTGGTTTGGGAGGGAGAACGTATGGCCCCCTGTGCTTATTGCCAAGGAAAAAGGAAATGCCCAGTACGCTGGGTCGATCCTTCCCCAGCGCTCAGCGTACACATGGGGTAGAAAGAGCGGTGCCATGACCAACAGCCTCCACCTGTGAGCCACTGAAGCACCCTGTCTGTGTCCCTCCCAGGGTCATTGGCACGCCCTTCTACCTGATGGAGTACTGCCCAGGCCTCATCTACAAAGACCCGTCTCTGCCAGGCTTGGAGCCCAGCCAGAGGCGGGCCATATACGCTGCCATGAACAGAGTCTTGTGCAAAATTCACAGTGTGGATTTCAAGGCTGCGGGCCTAGAAGACTACGGGAAACATGGTAAGCATGTGGCCGCCTGTCTTTCATGCTGAATGTTTCCTCACTGTTGCCTCTGCTTTCGGGATTTCCCTGGTGTCAGGGTGTTAATGCACCAAGCGGTTGCTAACAGTGAGGTGGGCTTACTCGCTTCCTACTTGGACATCCACTTTCATTTTACTGGAGGGGTTGCTTACCTAGACATCCTAGGATGAATCTCTCTTCCCTGCAACTTTTATCTCACTAGATCATTTAAATCTTTATTCCAGGACTGGCAAACGGTAGTTAAGGTACCTTCACAACTGTCTACAGAATTTAGTATCAATACACTCATACAGAGGAAGCAAGGGAGGAAGACTCAGAGAGGTTAAATCAACTGGACACCCTGACTGTGAGCCAAGTTCACTCCAGAATTCCTTTCAGTGTCCAGTCCCAGATATAACTTACAAGTTCATCAACTGTTGTACGTCTTGGGTTTCTTAGCAAATCCTGATGTATTTCTTACTGCATGCTAGGGAAAGCTTTGAGGGCTTTTCACATTTTATCCTCCCAACAACTCTATGAGGACCATCTCATCAACGAGGATACACTGAGGCACAGAGAACAGCAGAGCTGGGATTCAGATCCAGGCAGTCAGGCCCCAATGTCCATGCTCTTAGCCAACCACTGTTTAGCCAAAAAGGGATTTCCTAAAGGCTATTAGGAAGTTCATAGGACCTCTGAGAGGGCCAGGGAGAGGCCACGTGGCTGGGAACCATGCCCAAATCACACTGATGGAGCCAAGACAAAACAGCCGGTGGCTCTCACCTGGAACTATCCTGGGGGATATCCCCCAGTCATAGGATATTGATGCTACAGAGCATTGCAAAGGGTTTCACGGCCCTGGGTAGTTTTTGACACCTTTGGAGCTTGTTGGAACGGCACACCCTGCCCTAACCCTCTTTCTCTCAGGGGACTATATTCCACGCCAGGTGCAAACCTGGATTAAGCAGTATCGAGCCTCAGAGACCAGCACCATCCCGGCAATGGAGAGGCTCATCGAATGGCTGCCACTTCACCTTCCCCGGCAGGAGAAGATCACGGTGGTGCACGGGGACTTCCGGTAGATGCGATGAGGGGTTAATATTTAATGTGAAAAATGATGGGAAGGGCATCTTAAGGGGAAATGAAGCAGCTTGGCCCAATTGACAGTTGTGAATTATTCCCATTTCCTAGGATCACCCTGTGCATGGCCTTTCAGGCAGGTTTTCTCAGCCTTGGCTCTTCAGCTGTTTGGGGCCAGCTAATTCTTTATGCTGGGTAGGGGGGTTCTTCATGCTGGGGTGGTGGGGGCGCTGTTCTGTGCAGCTGCCGGGGTTATTGCCACACCTGGGTGTGAAGGTGCAGGCCTGTGCTCCGGTCATTCTACTGCATAACCCACTCCTCCAACACTGGCTGTAAACCATGACAGCAGTTTTTCATTTGCAAATCTGCTGTCTGGGGACAGAGAGCTTGTTTCAGCTGAGGTGGCTGGGAAGCTCGGGGCTGGACCCAGAAGGCTCACTCACATGCCTGCACTGGGGCGGAGGAGACTGAACAGCTAGACTCCGCGGGCCTCTGTCTCTCTGTGGTTTCTCACATGGGCCCTCCAGGATGGCAGCTTCTAGGTAGCGGGGCTTCTTACCTGGAGGCTCAGGTTCCAGAGGCGTGTGTTTGAGAGAGGGCCGGGCAGGAGGTCGCCTGTTCCTTCAAAAGGCAAAGAATTAGAGTCTTTCTTTTGTGGAAGGAATGCCAAAGAATTTACAGACCTGCTTTAAAACCGTCACAAGGAGGGAGAAATTACCAGGTCCTAGAGAGGTTAGCTATGTAGAGAGGGCTCCCCGACCAGAGCCGTGGCCTGTGGGGGAGGAATACCGCCTGCCGGCCCCTTCCCATCTCCTGCTGGGGGCCCCATTTGCTGAGCCCAGCTGGGCCAGATGGCAAAGGAGCAGGTGGCTATAACCACAGCCCCTGCAGCTCAGGCTCCAGAGGCACACAGGGGCCACAGGAGCAAATGCCCAGCACAGGGTACACCCTTGGTGACCCGTCTTCTTAGTACTGTCTCTCCATTCCTTCTGTGGCTTATCCAGGCTGGACAACCTGCTGTTCCATCCAGAAAAGACCGAGGTGCTTGCTGTCTTTGACTGGGAACTTTCTACCTTAGGCGACCCCCTTTCCGACGTGGCCTACAGCTGCATGGCTCACTACCTGCCGCCCAGTTTTCCCATACTGCGAGGTAGGAGCTGCCAGTGGGGAGAGGGAGGGATTAAGCCAGCTCCATTCCCAAAGCATTGGGCCCCACGCAGCAGGAGTAGCTGTGACTGGGCTAGTGCATGGAATTGAGGTCCAGGCAGTTTGGGTGGAAAATGCCTTTGGGATGCATTCTTGTCACAGTGGGGGGAAGTGGATGCAGAGAGACTATGAAGTGAGAAGGATATGCACATAGGCACTGCTTATGCTTCTATACAGCTAATTTCTAAAATTAAAAATACAGGTTTACTTAAAGTTAAAAATCATCAGTGGCACAAGAGATAACCACTGCCAATCTTTTCATGTCATCTGTTTTCTATGTGTATTCATACATTTATTTAAATGAAAACGTAATTATATGATTTCATGACTTGCTTTTTTCACTTAATTATATGCTTTGGACATGTCTTCATGTCATTCAGTATTTCTTCTACAGCAGCGGTTCTCAACCTGTGGGTCACAACCCCTTTGAGGGTTTGAACAACCCTTTCACAGGGGTTGCCTAAATACATCCTGCATATCAGATATTTACATTATGATTCATAACAGTAGCAAAATTACAGTTATGAAGTAGCAACGAAAATAATTTTATGGTTGGGGGTCACCACAACATGAGGAACTGTATTAAAGGGTTGCGGCATTAGGAAGGTTGAGAACCACTGTTCTACAGAGTCATCTACACTAATAAAAGAGAAAGATGAAAATTGACCATACCTTCGTATCGCCCACCAGCCAGCCAATCAAGAGAGAATATGCAAATTAACCCAACAAAACTGGCGGCTTAATTTGCATACACAGGCACTGAGCAGCCTGGGGCAGGGCGGGATGCTTGCATTGTTGCCATGGCGACAACACAGGCGTTCCTTACCACCCCAGCTCCTCCGGGTTTCTGGGCAGCATGGGAAGGCAGAAAGGTGGCTCCTGGCCTCTGGGAAGTGTGGGAAGGCAGCTCTGGGCCAGAACGGAGGTGGAAAGGCGGCTCCGGCCAGGGCAAAGGCAGTGCCGGCAGCCAGGGGAAGGACGGCCCATTCTTGCACAAATCTTCGTGCATCAGGCCTCTAGTTTTTAATAATGGCATAGGATTTTATTGTATAGAATTAACTTAAACAAAACATTTGGTTTGACTCCTATTTGAATATTTAATTTGTTTTCAGTTTTTTTATATATTACCGCTTGTCTTCACAAAAAAAGCAGTGAACAACTTTGTATTAATATATTTACTTATATAGCCCTAGCTGGTTTGGCTCAATAGAGTGTCAGCCTGCGGACCTAAGGGTGTTGAGTTCAATTCCAGCCAAGGGCACATACCTCATTTTGCAGGCTTCTCTGCAGCCTGGGCCCTGGTATGGGCACTTGCAGGAGGCAACCAATCGATGTGTTTCTCTCACATCAATATTCCTCTCTGTATTTCCCTTTCTCCCACTCTCTCTAAAAGTCAATGGAAAAATATACTCTGGTGAGGATTAAAAAACACACAAAACAAACAAAAATGAAAAAACAAGTGTGTGTGTGTGTGTGTGTGTGTGTGTGTGTGTATGTATTTGGCATACTCCTAGGATAAATTCCTAGGAATGGAATATATTACCTGCTTCGGAACCTTGAAAACGTTACAAATGAAGCAGATCTATAAAATGTTTTATGTGTTGTAATTTTCTTTTTCATAATTTGGTGGGCTCTTTCTCGCAATACCATTCTTCATCAAATGACTGATCAAAAATAATATGCATCCACGCTGAACTGTGGTCCAGATGGAGTGAGAAGCTCCTCATTCCTTCTCTTACTGCCAATTTAGCCTGAAACTTTCAAGAGCCAGTTTGGGACTAATAGCCTCCTGCCTGGATTCCAGCCGTCTGAGGGAGGAAGAGCCCTTGAAATAATGAGCTAACCCGATGAACTGGCTGGGAAGCTAGCTTCCAGGCGAGGAAGTGCTTTTCAGAATTTAAATTCTTGTGGCCACGGGAGTGGGGGTCACTGACTGCCCAGGATGCTCTGTCGCCACAGGTCTGCGTGACTGCGATCTGACTCAGCTGGGCATCCCTACTGCAGAGGAGTATTTCAGGATGTACTGTCTTCACATGGGGATCCCTCCCACTGAGAACTGGAACTTCTACATGGCTTTCTCCTTTTTCCGAGTGGCCGCGATCCTGCAGGGAGTCTACAGGCGCTCGCTCACAGGTAATGGGGTGGCCTGGGAGAGCCAGCTCGAGGGTCCCAATCAGCTTCTCCCCTGGAGACCCACAGAGACATCAGAGGGACGGGTTTGGCCGGAATCTTTAAGATTCCATTAATTCAACCATTTGTCATTGAGTATATATCATATAGTTGTTTTTATTTTTATTGACTTTTTACAGAGAGGAAGGGAGAGGGACAGAGAGCTAGAAACATCGATGAGAGAGAAACATAGATCAGCTGCCTCCTGCACACTCCCCACTAAGGATGTGCCCGTAACCAAGGTACATGCCCTTGACTGGAATCGAACCCGGGACCCCCCAGTCCGCAGGCCGACACTCTATCCACTGAGCCAAACCGGTTAGGGCTATCATATAGTTTTGTTCTTTAAAATATTTAAACTTTAAATTTTGAGATAACATACATAAGAATTTTAAAGTGAAAACATACATGATAAGTTCAATCATATAGAATGATACAAAATTATTTATTCTTCTCAGCGCCATTCCTCAAAGTTAAACACTACTGTTAAGAGTTTCTTGGGCCACCCAGTTTTTTCTATATGTCTACCTTCTCTCACTTTCTCCAAGTTTTATAAAAACTTGATCATCTTTCAAGGTGGCATGTGCAGTCTGAGTAATGAGGGGGAAATGCAGTCCTGTGGTTCCGAAGCAAATGGATTTGGTTCCTAATTTGTAAGGAATAGCATATCTTTAACACCAAAGCTGCATGAAACGGCTCTTTTGAGAAGTTGGCCATGGCAGGAGCCAGAAGAAAAATAGGCCTCCATGAAGGTCCAAAGGGAATCAGGGAAACGGTCTCTTAGAGCAGCGGTCGCCAACCTTTTGGACCTCATGGACCACCGGTTGGCCACCGCTGTCTTAGAGCATGGAAATGCGGAAAACCATCCAGGAGAGCCGGCTGTACAAGGGCCCGCCACAGGGAGGCAGTGTCCACACAGCAACCTGGATGGGCCTCCTTGCGGTGCCCTGAGAGAAGCCTCACTGAAAAGACGGTACCCTGTGATGTGTGTGTGACATTCTGGAAGAGACAAGCTATAGGGACAGATGAGTGTTACCAGGGGCGGGGGAAAGGGACACTGGAAGAAGGGATGATGGGAGTATTCTGTGTCATGATAAGGTGGTGGTTACCTGACTCAACTCCCAGAATTATACGCTTCATAAAGAGGGTGTATGTACACTGTACCTTCATTAAAAATGTTTAATCCTTTTTAAAAACAGTCTTGAGCATATTAAAGAAAGCAAGAGACGGTGAGAGCATGACTAGAGGGAGTTCTGTGATGCTGGTGATGGCGTTGATCTAACAGAATGGTGCCCGAAACTGGCCATTAATCCAGCCACTGGTGACACTTATTACCAATGTCACAGCACGGGCAGCTCAGGGTAACACAGGGCTTCCTGTCGCCCATGGCTGGCAGCGGAAGTCATTGGGGTGTTACTGATGTAGTTTCTTTAGGAAAAGAAGAGAGAAAGAGCAGGAAATACACCAGCCAAGATCAACTTCTGGATCTCAGCCCACAAATGAAAGCTTGGGCACATTTCCTCCCTCTCAGACGCAAATCCTTGTCTTAAAGTGAAGATTAAAACAGTCACATTGCTCCAGGAATCCAATAAGCTATAATAACACATGTAAAGCACTTAACACCATGTCTTGTCTGGATCTCCAGATGTGCATGTTTGTATTGATACCTTTTCTCATGTTATCCTTGCTTCTGCACGTACAGGAGAAGCCTTTAAAGATGTAAGTCAACATCTATTCCAATGCTTTTCCTACCTAGGAATACCAAGGGCACTTAAAACTGACAATGGGCCTGCCTATACCTCTAGAGCTTTTAAAAACTTATGCTCTACATTCGGCATCGCACATACTACAGGAATACCCTACAATCCTCAAGGCCAAGCAATAGTAGAAAGGGCTCACCAAACTTTAAAAACACAAATTAAAAAATTACAAGAAAATGAGTTTAAATATTCCTCTCCTCATCATGTTCTACAACATGCTCAATTTGTAATTAATATACTAAATGTAGATTCTGAGGGAAATTCCCCGATGTACAGGCATTGGAACCCTGATCTAACTAAACCTAAAGCCCTCGTCAAATGGAGAGACTTGCTTACAGGAGCCTGGAAGGGACCTGATGTACTTTTAACCCAGGGGAGAGGATATGCTTGTATATTTCCACAGGACGCAGACTCACCTGTGTGGATTCCAGACCGTCTAGTCCGACCTTATGTCTCACCGCCCGCCATCTCTGCCTCATCATAGCACACCTGACCAGTGCCCGTCTGCAGCAGATGTGCAGACCTGAGCTGGAACAATCTGTCCATTGGGAGGATCACATGTGCCTCCGTTTTGTCTTTCCACATGTCCCAGCTTTGCCCCACATCTCCTTTCCTTTTTCCTTTTTTTTAAAATCTAACTACTTGTTTGCTGGTTCTTTGGCCTTTCTCCTTCTTTCCTGAACACAGCCTTTTCTAGAATCTCCCTACCCTACTGTTCCAGGAAGGGCATCTTCCTTTTATGCCGTGACTAGGGGTGTTTGGTATATGCCCCATACATGGAGTTGTCTTGGGCCAAGAGCCTGACATCCTGGGCTGAGAAAGCCCTGTTCCAGGACTCTCCTTTGTCCTGTATTGGCCCCTCTTACCCTTGTGCCAAGAGGGACCCTCTTCTTACAATCCAATTGCCCATAGCTGTTGCCTGAGCTCTCTGTTCATGCTGAGGTTGAAGCCTCATGGTGGCTGGTACCATGGATCTGTCTCTGGCCCAATGGCGTAAGCCGGGCCCTCTCTAGAGAAGAAACCTGAGTTCCCTATGATCAATGCCAGAGCCCCGCCAGCAGGCGAGGGAATCCAAAGGCAGTTGCTGGGCATGGAGGCCAGAGGGACATAGGCTATCAAGGAGACAAAACTGAACCTCACATCACCCTACTTGGCCCAGAGATGGCTGGTAGTCAACGACGGGTAAGACCCCACAGGGTGGGGCAACCTAAGACAGGCACAGTCGAGGGCCAGTAGGAGAGAACTTGGGGTTCAACAGAGGTGGGGCACAGATCCTCACCCCCCCAATGGTTCAGGGGCTTGAACACTCGCCCCTTCTGAGGAAGGTCTCCTGTCCCCATGGCTGCTTCCCGTTTCCCACACCCAGCTCAGATTGGGACCCAGGTAAAGACAGAGACTGCCTGACAGCAGCTGCCCTCTCACTGCAACAGGACTTGTTTCCCATTTATACCTTGGACCACAGGAAAAGGGTCAGATGAAGGAAAGGGCTGTGTCAGGATGCTGCCTTCTTCCCTTTCTTCTCCCTCTTTTTTCTAAACACTTCCATGCCTTGTAGTTCTTTTGTTTTCTCTTCTTTTTCTCTCTACTACCCTCCATCTTCCATATCAGCTGACCCAGAGGGCACAGCTTACTCCTCCTCGGACACCGACACCACCATCAACCACGGCCCTGATGGACCCTTTGATGCAGCCCTTCAACTTGCTGATGCTTCGGGAAGCCCATCGCCAGTGATGCCACCCGCTAGCCAGACCCACAAAGACAATCAAACCAACAACTTGAGGACAGCTGAAATCCCTTGACTGAAGAGGCTGGCAACCTTCTACAGGAATGGGGCTCCTTGTGCACTCCATCCACTATGTTTATAGTTATGCTCACTGTCATTGCTTGCCAGTCTTCTTCCGAGTTTTAAACGGCCCAATCTGAGAGGTGGCCACTGATTTGCATGCATGATCATTTAAAAAATAAAAAAGGGGGAATTTGCCGGGAGCGGGTCCATCCTTGCTGTTTCAAGGGACCTGGCATATATGGCATACTGTTCTTAATATGTTTGCTCACCTTCTTGGCACTATGTGTTTTAACCAAGGTATCTGAGAAAGGTTGTTTCCCCAGGTAGGGATTTTCCCCTGAAGTTAGGGAGGGAATAAAACCTCTTAACTAAGTGCCAGGCGGGTAATTAATCACTTTAACTATGAACAATCATGCTTAAGCTACATAATCTTTACTCCCTGGAATGGAGATAAGAAACGCCCTAACCTTTGTAATAGAGATTGATAGGATTGAATCAACTGGTATAAATACAGATGTAATAAGACAGCAAGACACAGAACTTAGAATACAGAACCAAGAGAGACAGAACCTAGGCACAGAACCTACACAGAACGTTCTCTAGAGACAGAAGAACTTCGCTGGAGAGAACATGGCAAAAGTTCCTGGACAGAAACTGGCCTCAGAACCTAGAGACAGAACCTAGCGAGAGAACATGGCAAAAAATCCTGGACTGAACCTGACTACAGAAATTGGCAAGAGAACCTGACTAGAACCTAGTGACAGAACCTGGCTGGAGAACCTAGCAAGACAACATGGACACAGAACCTGGCTGGAGATCCTAAAGCAGAACCTCTCTGGAGATCCAGACCAGAACTTGGCTGGAGATCCAGACCAGAACTTCGCTGGAGATACAGACCAGAACTTGGCTGGAGATCCTGGCTAGAGATCCTGGCTAGGCTGCTGATCAACTGAACACTGTCTCCGTGTCCTTCCTTCTTCGCCAACTCCGTCCACACCTTTGGGGACCCCTGGACCTGCTGGGGTTGGACCCCAGCAGTCTTGTACATGGCAAGTGCTCAGCAAATGGTGGTAGCTGCTAAAATAATAACAACATTCTCATGAGTGAGTAGTATTATTAAGGGCGATTTGGGAGTAATCACTGTTTTTCTTTGCTTAGGGCAAGCGAGCTCAGCAACTGCTGAACAAAGTGGAAAGATGACTGAGTTTATGTCTAACCTGGCCTGGGAGTTTGCAGTCAAAGAAGGATTCCGGATTTTCAAAGAGATGCCGGCCACAAAGCCATTAACGAGGTCCTACCACACGTGGGCTGGTCCACGGTCCCTGCCGAGCACCCCAGGAGCGAGGAGTTATATCCCCCTTCCAGAACCTTCCTCAGCTCATGCCTCAAAGGGAGCTCTGGTTATCTCTCCAGAGGCCCTTTCCCCACCGGTCAGGGAGCTGTACGAGCGGCTGAAGCAGTTCATGGACCGGTACGTGTACCCCGCTGAGCCGGAGCTGCGCCGTCACCAGGCCTCCGCTGAGAGGTGGACCCCTTCCCCACTGGTCGAAGATCTCAAGGTAAAGCAGCCTTTCACGGGTCAGTGAGACCCGGTCACAGTGGCAGAGCATCAGCTCGCTCACCGGGCAGCTCTGTCCCCTCTCCAGGCAGTGCAGAGAGCGGGCTGAGCTGAACTACCTTTGCTTTCCACCACCGCCATTCCTGGCCTATGGTTTATGACCCCGGGGCAGGTGGGCTTACTATGCATATTTGAATTAGTAAGTCTGAAACAGTGATATTATAGACATCAGTTAATAAAGCCTCTCTTTAAAGAATCTATAATGTCAAAGCTAAAGGGCCAAATCAGTTATAAACTGCTTGTGCTCTTGTCTCATGGCGACACCACGTTAGCTGAAAAACGGAAACACACACTGTTCTGTCAGGATTGGTCTTGTCTTAGTTTTTAAGTTGAGATCTTCAGGAGCACCTATTTGCCTATAATACAGCCATCATCTACTTTAAAAAAAATAGCATTATCACTTTTTTCTAATTACAAACCTATTGCAAAATTAACCAAAACTCAAACGTGACAAAGTACATAACATAGAAAGAATTCTCTAACACCCTCCTGCTCTGAGATAACCACTGCCAACAATTTGGTGTATTAGGCTCCCAACTTCTTTTTTCTATCATATACTAACATATGTTATTATTCCTATGTGGGTTTTTTTGTTTTTGTTTTTAAATATATTTTATTGAGCCCTGACCGGTTTGGCTCAGTGGATGGAGCGTTGGCCTGCGGACTGAAGGGTCCCAGGTTCGATTCCAGTCAGGGGCATGTGCCTTGGTTGTGGGCACATCCCCAGTGGGGGGTGTGCAGGGGGCAGCTGATCGATGTTTCTCTCTCATCGATGTTCCTGACTCTCTATCCCTCTCCCTTCCTCTCTGTAAAATATAGAAATATATTTTATTGATTTCAGAGAGGAAGGAAGAAGGAGAGATAGGAACATCAATGATGAGAGAGAATCATTGATTGGCTGCCTCCTGCATGTTCCCTACTGGGGAGATTGAGCCCACAACACAGACATGTGCCCTGACCGGGAATCGAACCATGCTTCCCTGACTCTTTTTCCCATGCTAGGAGAAAGCCAAGGCCAAAGGACTTTGGAACCTTTTCCTACCCTTGGAGACTGATCCCGAGAGAAAATACGGAGCAGGACTGACCAACGTCGAGTATGCGCACCTGTGTGAACTCATGGGCATGTCTCTGTACGCTCCCGAGGTACCTTCTGTGATGTTCTCCGTGCGTGAGGATGTCCTTGTCCCCCATAGCCTGTGGGTCACCCTTCTGGGCAGACAGCATTTTCTCCAGCTCGGGCTGGACTCAGGAGCCCAGATACAAACTTAACTTTTCCAGTGAGGGAGGGCAGCTATGGCCAGGTGGCTGGACAGAGCAGGAGAGCAGCTAGCGCTGGAGTCTTCTGGGAAGACGGGAGCCATGTGAGGCATGAGCCTGGCTGGCGTCTGAGTCTCCAGCCCACTAGCTCCCGTCTCCTTTCAACAAAGGAGGTCGATGGCTGGGCTTTATAGGCTCTGAAATACTATCTTCAGAATGTCTGTGTCTTTGCGTTTCTCTGAGAAGAGGAAGAACTTTTTTTTCTCCTTAATATGTTTTATTGATTTTTTACAGAGAGGAAGGGAGAGGGATAGAGAGTTAGAAACATCGATGAGAGAGAAACATCGATCCGCCCTGCACACCTCCTACTGGGGATGTGCCCACAACCAAGGTACATGCCCTTGACCGGAATCGAACCTGGGACCTTTCAGTCCTTAGGCCAATGCTCTATCTACTGAGCCAAACCGGTCAGGGCAGAGGAAGAACTTTTGCTCAGGGTGTCAGAGGGCCTGTGACTTGGAAGATGCCCTGTCCCTGGGTATCTGAAGTGTTAAATATGGACATGAGAGTCACCTTCATGCTTTTCCTTTTCAGATATTTAACTGCTCCGCTCCAGACACGGGGAACATGGAGCTCCTGGTGCGCTACGGCACCGAGGAGCAGAAGGCCCGCTGGCTGACTCCGCTGCTGGAGGGGAAGGCCCGCTCCTGTTTTGCTATGACTGAGCCCCAGGTACCACCCACAGGGGCTTATCGGGCCACACCCTCGCCAGGCCCAGATGGACTCCGCGTGGGGAACCTTGCCATCCTAAGTGGAGTGTACTCTCACTCAGGTTGCCTCATCGGATGCCACCAACATTGAGTCTTCCATCAGAGAGGAGGATGGCTTCTATGTCATCAATGGTCACAAGTGGTGGATCTCAGGTATTTGGCCTAAAATCATCTTTCAGTCACACTTCAGTGGGTCTGTGTGATGGGCATGTCTCTCTTCGCCCTGCTGAAGCAGGATAGCAGCTCCATTCCCAGTTGATGCAAAAGAGATTCCGTCTCTGTGCTCCCAGCCAACGCCAGGAGAACCGGAGGTTCTGCGTGGGCCAGGATGGCCACGCCGGGGACAGTTCTAGGAACCTCCCACCCCCCCACCTCCCCACTCTCTTCATCCTACCCTCGGAGCGGCAGCAGGTCACTTCCTCAGTGGCTTCTCCTTGCTGCGAGGTCAGGGGGCTGCATCAGAAAGCTAGTGATAACCCGCCATTCATCGCAAGCTGACTCTGCAGGGCCTCCACAGGTGCTGCAAGAACCACACCTCAGTGAGTCCCACACCTCCCCAGGGGGCCATGTTATCATTCCCATCCCCACTTTACAGAGGAGGAAACTAGGTCCGAGAAGTGATGGAAGGTACCAGCTACCCCCTGACAAGAAGGTAGGGAATCCAGAGTTCAGGGTTTGCCTGATTCTGAAGCCCGTGCCCAAAGCCATTATGTTCACACTGTCTGTGGGAACAGCAGAATGCTGCCAGGGACAGGGTACCAGTTTTCTGCCTCTTGTCTTTATATTTTTCAACTCTGCATGGCGCTTTTTAAAAAATTGCTCTTATGATGTTGGATTCATTCCTCACTGGGACGAAAACCAGCCGCTCTCATTCCTGGTCCAGGCCTGCACGTAGGCATCTGATTATGTGAGTCTTAAAGAGCTCTGTCGGCTGCTGGCTTTGGCTTTCCTGGACCAGGACTGCGTCTGTGAAGAGATCTGATGGCCTTGACGTCGGATGGTGAGGGTCTGTCTCTCTCCTTTCCTGGCAGGCATCCTGGATCCTCGCTGCCAACTCTGCGTGTTTATGGGGAAAACAGATCCGCATGCCCCACGCCACCAGCAGCAGTCCGTGCTTTTGGTTCCCATGGATACCCCGGGGATAAAAGTCATTCGGCCTCTGACGGTGTATGGGCTGGATGATGCGCCAGGTTAGCCCCCACGCCTCTCCGTCTGTGTATGAGTCTGGGCCTGGGAAACATCTGGATGCAGCACCTCTAAGGGCATGATGACATTCCGAGGGCCACATGCTCCTGCCTTTCATTTCCAAAATATCAACCACATAGGCAAATTCCATACAGGCATTTATACTTTTTTTTCATTTCTGAACTTAGGAGATAAGCCCGAATCTGTGAGATAAATGGTCACTCAGGACAATAGTAGGAAGTGCACTCCAAACCTTCTCTTCTAGATCCCGGCGGTCAGCTGACCAGGCTGGAGGTCCTCTTCCGTCTGCTAACAGCATTCACGTGTTTCCTTTCAGTGACTGAGGGATCGCTATACAGTTAGCGTCCCATACTCCCAGGAAGGTTCGCTTACAGTAGTCATTACGCTTTAGAAGAGGAATGGCAGACTATTCATTTGATATTGTAAGTCAGTGATTATTTTTCCATCTTTGATAGGCTCCTTCCTGACCTACTCCCCAACCATGCCCCAGTTAGAAGGCTGAGTAAAAGGCAGGAGAGTTGCCAGCAGGTGACTAGAACTGAGGAAGGGATAAATGCATCCAACGTGGATAGGTAGGTGGATCTCTCAGGGGGAACCGTTTGGATCTTTCAGGTGGCCATGGTGAAGTCCTGTTTGAGCAGGTGCGCGTGCCCAAGGAGAGCATGGTCCTGGGCCCTGGCCGAGGCTTTGAGATCGCCCAGGGCCGACTGGGTCCCGGCAGGATCCATCACTGCATGCGGCTGATCGGGCACTCGGAGAGGGCCCTGGCGCTCATGAAGGCCCGCGTGAGTGCTTCCCCTGGTGCCTGGATCTGACCCAGAGCCTGCTGTCTCTCTTGCTGTCGGACCTTAAATCCTAACTATTTTCTGAGAGCCGACTTAGCAGGTGAAGCAAGGTGACGTTCTTGCCAGGAAGCTGTGTGCCTGTCTTTGCTTTGCATCTGCTACTTTGCTGAAGTTTGAAAGTCAGAGTAGAATGGGTCTTACTCTGTTGAGGTGGCCAGAAGGAAAAGGCTGGGCTCTGCAGCAGCAGAGGGCAAGGTTCCAAGGTCCAAAGGGTCACAGGCTGCAAAGGGCCATTCCTGCTACTCACTCATCTTTAAAAATCAGATACCAGAAAGAACCGTCGTCAGTGGCTTATGTCCCTGGAGTTCCAGCCGCTAGCCCTGTACCATCCTCTTCCCTGAGCATGTCCAGAAAACTGTTCTGTTGCGACCCCCCTCAAAGACTGGAAGCCCACGCAACAGAGAGCTTTTGCTGGGAGTGATCATTCATATCAGCGGTATCGATTCCACAAAGTTGAAGCAAACCCTTGAGACCAAACAAATCTCTCATAAGAAACCTCATGAAGATCAGAGGCAATGCAGTGCGTTTGGATTACTGAGCAAACCTCTGTGATTTACAGCCTTTTGAGTTGAGGCTGACCAATTTTTTCCTCCCTAAATAAAATGCTCTTCTCTAAGGGCTCAGAATGGCACTTCAGCCCCACCTGCCACTGGAATGCAGACCAGCCTTGCTGCAGAGCATTCTTTGTCTCATGTCTTCAGGAGGAGGGGGCACTGACGTGGCAGCTGCACACGCAGGACTTTGCCGCAAGGAACTAACTAGGAGTCTACAAAAGATTTGATATTAGGAGGTTCACCACAGCACTGAGCATAATAGCAAAATGTTGGGAACAGTCGGTAAGACTAATAATTAGAGCCTGGTCAGATAAACCCTGGTATAGGCATGCACAGAAATTCCAGAATGAATCTGTAGAAATCTATTTCTTAACATAAAGAGATGTTCACTGTATACTCTTAAATGAAAAGAAGCAGGCTACAAAGCCATAGAGTATGACTCTATTTTTATTAAAAAACTAGAGGCCTGGTGCACGAATTCGTGTACCAGTGGGATCCCTTGGCCTGGCCTGCGGGATTGGGCTGAAACCAGCTCTCCAACATCCCCTGAGGGGTCCCGGATTGCGAGAAGGTGCAGGCCAGGCCCAGGGACCCCACTGGTGCATGATTGAGGCTGGGGAGGGATGCAGGAGGTTGGCCAGCTGGGGAGGGACCTTAGGAGGGTTCCAGAGTGTGTCCAGCCCATCTCGCTCAGTCCTGATTGGCTGGACCCCAGCAACAAGCTAACCTACCAGTTGGAGCGTCTGCCCCCTGGTGGTCAGTGCACATCATAGCGACTGGTTGACTGATTGACTGTCTGCCCCCTGGTGGTCAGGGCACGTCATAGTGAGTGGCCTTAGCATATCATTAGCATATTATGGTTTGATTGGTTGGACGACTGGGCACAGCATATTAGGCTTTTATTATATAGGATGCATACAAAAAGTCTAGAAGAATAGCCACCAAATAGCCACTGTAAGTAACTAGAGGATAGGATAACAGGTGTTTCTATTTTTATCTGAAAATTTATACTTTTTCTGCCATGAGATATAATATATATGTATGTATGTGTGTGTGTATATATATATATATAATTGTTTTTAGTTAAAACAAATTAATAAAACTAAACTAACAACAACATAAAAGAATCCCTTGTAAGCTTTTCTGATTGCTGGTGTCTTTTGCAACTGTCCATAACAGTTGCCCACCATGGCACCCAGATGCAAAGCTGGGCCTTGGTCAGCAGAGGGCACCCTCCCTCACCTGTGTGAGGTACCCACAGTCATCACCTAATTCTCAGAATAGCCCTGGGCCAGATGCTGGCTCAGATCCAAAAGAACTGTTCCTGTCTGGCACCCAGAAGGGGCTGAATTGCTGGAGTAAAGGACTTCCTGGAAGTAACCTGGGCAGCCACCACGTTAACTGGCTCTGCAATATACATGAATGCTGTCTGCATCTGGATCTTCTCCCTGGAAATGGACTGTGGCTAGAGGGCTGGCAAACTGGCTGAGCTACACACTCCTGCTTCCGCTCCCTGCCCTCTCCTGTGCACGCCACACCCCTCCTCTGCAGTATCTCAAGCTGTGTCTCTTGTGTCCACAGGTGAAGTCCCGTGTGGCCTTTGGGAAGCCCCTAGTGGAGCAGGGCACGCTCCTGGCAGACATCGCCCAGTCACGCGTGGAGATTGAGCAGGCCAGGCTGCTGGTGCTGAAAGCTGCGCACCTCATGGATGTGGTAGGAAATAAGGTAGGAGCTCAAGGGGCCTCACAGAGGATGGGTCCTGAGGTCGGCATGAGGGAATCCGTTCTGGGAATCTACAACCACTGGCCTGCCTTCCCAATCAGCAAACCCTGGAGAAAGAGCCTGGCTTCTTGACATTAATAACTTTGCTTCAACTCTGCTTGGAACTGTTTGGGCAGCTTTTCAAACATGGAAAAGGCACACTAAAATAGGACTGGGCTCCCCATTTACTGAGCCAGTGAACTTCGGGGCCCAAGATAGTGGGCCTGACAGGGTCACACGGCCCCCTGGCCTCAGCTCTGCCCCAGCCTAGACTACGAGGCCCTGTCAGTGCAGGCATCAGGCAGGCTAAGAATTCACAAGAACAGCTTTATTTTCAAGCCTGACATTATTCCTTAAATGGCTTTCTGAGCGCCTTGAATGGCACGATGCCTACATTGACCTCTGCCCTCTCCAGCTCTCCGTGGGACAGCCTTTAACCCTCAGCCAGGAGGCCTCAGTAGTGAGGGGGGATGACACAGGCTCAAAATCCCAGCTCCTTGGCGCTCTAGTGCTGGGTATGGTGGAGGCTCTCGGGCCTGGTGCCAATGCCCCAACACAGGGCAGAGTCTTGCAGCTTGGTCTCCAGAGCCCTGGTTGGTCAAGGTCCACTGTCAGGTTGGAGCTGGCTGACACTGTGATCAAAGCACAAGCCACTCCCCACTCTGCCTTTGGAGTGAGCTGGTGATGCTTCCCATCATCTGGGAAGACATCTGCGTGCCCGAGTCTGTCCTTGACCAGGCACCTGCTCACACCTCACCACATCCTGAGTCACCCTCACAGTCCCCACCACTGCGCTTCCCTCCTCCCAGGTCCTGGGCATGGGCTGCCTCACGGAGCTTGTGGTCCAGCTGGACCTCAGGTCTCTGTTCTGGCCAATGTTTCTGCAGCTCCCGTGAAACTGCTTATTCCTCTAACCATTCTGCCCCGGGGTCTGCCCGTCTACTCTCATCTCCTCTTCCTTGCAGGCTGCAGCGCTAGATATTGCTATGATTAAAATGGTGGCCCCATCCATGGCGTACTGCGTGATTGATCGCGCTGTTCAGGTGAGCAGACTGTGGACCGAGGGCTCTTTGAACCACTTACAGCACATGCAGAGCTCCCTCACCTTCAGCTGCCCCACTCCCGTAAGCTCCAGCAGTCGCCTGGTGTCACACTCACCACGCATGTCATTTTCCTTCTTTGGCCTCGGGACACCCCTGCACGACGGCCACATTCCTACTCCCACTTAGAATATGAGGAGACAGGCACCGAAGAGTGAAGCAGCTTGTCCGGGGTTACTTGGCTTGGAGGTAGCTGATCTCAGACTTATGGGAACTTGGTCCTTGTTACACCAGAGCTCTGCCTCCTAGCCATGTGGGATGTCTCCTTCCCAAATCTTAGCACCTGGCCCCAATGTAGACTTCCCGGTGGCAGGAGTTATTTACCAGAGCGGGTGTGAGGGGACTGGTGTCCATGGGACGGCAAGTGTGGCCCCCTGACGTCTTCCGCAGGTGCTGTCACACAGGCGTTCTGAGCCATTCTGTGCAGGCCACGTTCCCGGGGCTCTCCGATGCGGGCTCACCGGGGCTTCCTTCCCTCCTGCCCTGTCTGCCAGGCCTTCGGAGCAGCAGGGCTGAGCGGCGACTACCCGCTGGCTCAGTTCTTCGCCTGGGCCCGAGCGCTGCGCTTTGCGGATGGCCCTGACGAGGTGCACCGGGCGGCGGTGGCCAAGATGGAGTTGAAGAACCGCATTTAGGCTGCAGGACAGCAGGAGCCAGAATGTCCCTGCCGGCCGAGACACCCAAACACGCAGTGATGCGTTTTGAAAGGCCTGCTACATGTGATTTTTGCACCCTGTCGGCAGCTGCATCCTGGGACAGTCCCTGCACACACCTTTCTGGGTCCCCACAGAAGGCGTTTCCGTGAGAAGCCCCGTGTCGGCGGTGTCAGGCAAGGAGGAAGGGCATTGGCTGAGAGCTGGGGGTCGGGACAGAGCCTGGGAAGCTGGTCTCCAGTCTCAGTGCTGGGCAGGCAGCCCGTGCGCCCTCTCTCTCTGGCAGTGGTGTGCTGAGGTTGTGGGGATCTGGGTCAGTAGTAGGAGCCCTGCTGGATGGTGTACCTGTGCTTGCACCCCAATACAGGGGCTTCCTGCTCTGTGGACCCTTCCCTTCGAGCCAAGGGGCAGTCATGATGGGCTGCATCTGAAGACCCAGGCTGATGGCTGCTGGGGAAATGAAACCGAAATCATGAAGACACTGCCATCTGATTTTCTTCGTTTGAATATCCACAACACAGAACACTAATTAAGATATTTTGTAAAGGGGATTTGGGAACACAAAAGAGTAAGAAAATACATCTCAGAGACTTCATGAATGTCTGTATGTAATACAAAAGGAACTGAGAATAAAGGTTCAAGGAGACATGTAATACTTTTAACAATAAAGATAAAAAAAAAAAAGAGAGAGAAAATAAAGGTTCACGATCAGCCCTCTGTCACAGTGTCATTTGTCTCCTCACACTTGTGTTTACACAGGATCCTGCCCAGGGCATTGGCCCACGTGTGGGCCACCACCACTGCTCATGTGAATGTCACCAAAGGACTATGGCTTTCTGAGGACCCCTGTGCCTTCCCCAGTCCATCCACGCCGTAGTCAGAACACGTTGGGGGAGGGGAGGTGGCAGATTATACGCCATTACAATGTAGAGAGCAGCGACCTCCCCTGGGAAGAGGGTAGTAATGCTCACTTACTTGAGGTCTGAGTTCTTCCAGAAATGGACGCCCCAAGGAGCCCAGGTAGCTTGCGGAGATAAGTCTCCAGCTGTTAGGACCCCGTCTGCTAATTTCATAATTCATGGGGATCTGGCCAACAGTGGCCCATTTCAGGTCAGACCAGATGGGCGGGGACCGTCCCCCTAGTCTGCTGCTTCACCCAAGAGTGCCCACCCACGTCAGCCAGAGCCACGTGCCTTCAGGGTACTGGAGAGTCTGGCGGGGCTGGTGAAAGGGCTCCCCAGTGATTTGGGGAGGCAGGCCCTCTCCAACCACAATGCTTGTTGCTCATGAAAGGTCAAGTTAAGTTGAAGCGCTCACACTAATGCTAGCACAGCACCAGCCACACTGATAAAGAACCTTTTGCAAAATCTGTTGGGTTTCTAGCAGCCTCAACTCTTGCTCCAGGCCTCAGCAGGAAGGAGGGTGTCTGGCTGCCTTGGCCAGTGCCTGACATAGCACATGCCCCTCAAATTCTCCTGTGGTCTCTGAGGTTAACCTTGCTTAACTAGTTCACAGGCTAGTGCGGCTGCAGAGATGAAAACGAGCCATGCTGCGGGGTGACCCATGCCTCCCTCAGATATTCTGCTGCAAAGGTGGGGCAGCGAGCACTGCCTGCAGAAGGTCAAGTCACAGGGACACGGCTCCAGCCCTCAGCCAGGCCTCCAGTTCTGTTCAACTGTTCCACTCACACTGTCAGTGCACCCCAGCTCTGGGCCCCGGCACCGTCCTCGCCTTGGGGATTGTGCGGGAAACAAATGCAGGCAAAGTTGCTGCTCTCAGAGCTCACATCTCGAGTGGCGGGTGGTGGTGAGTGGCGGGTGGTGGTGAGTGGCGAGACTGTGGTAGGCACTGCTAGTGAGCGGTCGGGGAGCTGGGGGTTCAGGGGAGCGCTCTTTCCAGACCTGCATGACAAGACGGGGCAGAGTGCTCTAGAAGGAGCTGTGAATGCAGAGGCCCCGGGGAGCTGGGAGGTCGCCCAGTGTGTCTGGGACGAGGAGCGGAAAGAGTAGGAGCTGCCCGGCCATGAGGAGCCACCGGGACCTTGCTCAGGAGTTTGCTGTGGATTCTAAATGTGACAACAGGGTGAGTTCAGGTAGTGGTTTGACAGGGCTTGATTTGAGTTTAAAAATATCCCCTGTTCCTCAAAGTTCACCCGGACGAAGAGGAAGAAAGGAGGCTGGCAGCCAGCTCACAGTGCCTGACACTGCAGAGGGCTCCAAATGAACCCTGCAAAATTTTTAAAAAGATAAAAGGAAGGGTGGGCAGGGCCTTCAGAAGATATGAATAAAGGATCCAAAGATCCTCTGCACCTTCAGCAAACAATGGGCATTTCTGCTTGGCCAAACGCGGTAAGCGATCTGGTGGTGCCCTGGGCACTGTGCTTCTCTGGAGTGGAAGTGAGTGTGCGATTGGGGGTGCGTGCTTGGGCATGAGTGAGCTTGGGGTAATGATCGTGCCTGACCAGTTTATCTGTGGAGCACATCTTGGCACCATCCCTACGTGGTTGGACTTGCCTTATTAGCCTGTCTTGGGGAAAGGAACAAAATGTGATCATAACATACTTATGACTTTTCCTGTCACAGCAGCATTCTACCCCAAAGCAACTGAATATACTCTTCTGCTGCTATCTTGGCAAACAAGGGGGCTAGACTGAGCCCTCCCCAGCAGTCCAGCGCCAGTCACAGGACTGCCAGGGTCCAACCCCAGCAGGTCCAGGGGTTCCCAAAGGCGTAGACGGAGTCAGCGAAGAAGGAAGGACACGGAGACAGTGTTCAGTTGATCAGCAGCCTAGCCAGGATCTCCAGCCAGGATCTCCAGCCAAGTTCTGGTCTGGATCTCCAGGGAAGTTCTGCTTAGGATCTCCAGCCAGGTTCTGTCCAGGTTCTCCAGCCAGGTTCAGTCACCAGGTTCTAGTCAGGTTCTCCTGCCAATTTCTGTAGTCAGGTTCAGTCCAGGATCTTTTGCCATGTTCTCTCGCTAGGTTCTGTCTCTAGGTTCTGTGGCCAGTTTCTGTCCAGGATCTTTTGCCATGTTCTCTCCAGCGAAGTTCTTCTGTCTCTAGGTTCTGTGTAGGCTCTGTCTTCTAAGTTCTGTGTGTAGGTTCTGTCTTCTAAGTTCTGTGTTCTAAGTTCTGTGTCTTGCTGTCTTGTTACATCTGTATTTATACCAGTTGATTCAATCCTATCAATCTCTATTACAAAGGTTAGGGCATTTCTTATCTCCATTCCAGGGAGTAAAGATTATGTAGCTTAAGCATGATTGTTCATAGTTAAAGTGATTAATTACCCGCCTGGCACTTAGTTGAGGGGTTTTATTCCCTCCCTAACTTCAGGGGAAAATCCCTACCTGGGGAAACAACCTTTCTCAGAGAGGAGACCTTGGTTAAAACACATAGTGCCAAGAAGGTGAGCAAACATATTAAGAACAGTATGCCATATATGCCAGGTCCTTTGAAACAGCAAGGATGGACTGGCTCCCGGCACAGGACCACAGGGTTCCACCAAAGATGCCAACTCTGGTGGGATTTTTCATCCTTTCCTGCTCTTCCTTCTCCTCATCCCCCCTGCATCGAATTGTGGTCTTGGCATTCACAAACTGCCTGTGTTGCCAAGTGCTGACTTCAGATAATTCCAGAATAACCCTACAGAGGCGGATAGAGACTATTCCAAGCAATTCACTTGGGTGGGGCCCCTTCAGGACAGCAGCTAGAAGTTATGCTGAAAGAACAGGTTCCAGTGTTCTCCTCTGTGGTTGCCTAGAGATGGCCCTTGTCTGTCAGCACCCAGGCCTTCAGGGTTTCTTAGGGAGGCCTTGAGGATGCCAGGGCCTATCTGTAGTCAGAGCAAAATGCTGCACAGGCCCAAGGCTGAAGTGTTAATTGAGAATCTCAGAGACATCTAGGTCTGTATCTATCCTGCCCTGTGTGGGGCCACATGGCTATTCTCCTCACTCTTTGGCCCTCTAAGGATACTTTGCTTTTTTCAGCTCCTTTTCTGGCAGTGAGTCCACAGATGAGGGATAGTGGAGAACAAGAGAGAAAGTTGAACCTAGAGAAAAGAGATTTAAAAAACAATCGGAACAAAGAATTTAAGAGTAAGAAAGCAGAACGAATGGTGGAAAAGAGAGAAGAGCCAACACAGACTGTCAGGGAGAAATCTAGGTTGAGAGTTACATTGTTCTATTAAGTTTTTATTAATGATTTGGACAGACTGAGCCACATGAGCTACAATTATATTAGGTCTTCAGCACATCGATGCTTCTCCTTCCTTCCCTCCCTTCTACTCTCTCTAAAATTCAATGGGAAAACCCTGGCCGGCGTGGCTCAGTGGTTGAGTGTCCACCTATGAACCAGGAGATCATGGTTTGATTCCCGGTCAGGGCACATGTTGTGGGCTCCATTCCCAGTGTGGGGCCTGCAGGAGGCAGTCAATCCATGATTCTCTCTCATCATGGATGTTTCTATCTCTCTCTCCCTCTCCCTTCCTCTCTGAAATCAATGAAAATATATTTTAAAAAATCAATGGGAAAAAATATCCTCAGGTGAGGATTAACAACAGCAGCAAAAAAAGAAAGTATTGGCAAAAAAAACCCAAACCAAAACAAAACAAAAAAAACCCCCCAACTCCTCCCCCCCAAAAAAAAACACCCCTGTAAAACAAAAACAAAAGGCATAAGCTAAATAAAGATACATGAGGATTGGCAGAAAGTATTTGTATCAAATATGACAGACCCAATGTTAATTGCCTTGATATCTATAAAACACCTACAAATCAATTTTAAAGAAACCAACAGTCTGATGACAAAATGAACAGCTTATAGCAGAGGAAGAACAGGTGATTTCATACTAGTATAGGCAAAGACGCTCAAGCTCACTCCTAAGAAGATAAATGTAAATTCATGTGATAGAGAAATGTTGTTTTTCACCTGATTAGCAAAGCTAAAATAATCTGATAAAATGTATCCGTGAAGGTGTGAGGAAACTCAGTCATGACAGCAGGCGGGGCATAAATTAAACCTCTATGAAGGGTAATATCATAACATCTATATTTAAATTGTAAATATCCTTTGACTTAGCGGTTCTGTTTTTATGACTTTCTCAAGTATGTCAAGGATATACATTTCTGAGTTGTTTGAGTTGGCCAAAGATTGGGAACAAGCTAAATGTGTCCACCCACAGGAAATTCATTAAATAAAAATGATACATGTATCTGTTGGCGTTCTGTGTAGCTGTTAAAGAAAATGGGATGCTCCTGTGTGCTGTTACAGAACCATCTCCCACACACATTATTAAGTGAAAAGCAAGCTGTTTTGGGAAAGAGGAGGTGGAGCTGGGGATGCATTCAGAGGAGACAGAGAGACTCTCTGCAACAGATCTCCAAACCTATTTCCCCTTCCTTCTGGGCATACAGTTTGACGGACTTCCCCAGACTCCTATACAGTGGGGCCTTGACTTACGAGTGTCCCAACTAACAAGTTTTTTGAGATACCAGTTGTCTCTCGGCTGATTTTTTGCTTTGAGTTGACAGAGTAATTTGAGTTAAGGAGCTCCTTAATGAGCTTGGTCTCCAAACGAATTAAACTCAATTAAACTCGTAAGTCAAGGCCCCACTGTACATGGAGGAATGGAAATACTGAATTCTAGCTAATGAAACAGGGCTCAGTCTACAGAACTTTCCCATGTGCCAACCTTAATGCTTTTTTCTCCTCTGGTT